CGAGCATTCCTTCGAGCACCTCACCATCAAGCCGTCCTTCCGTCTCAAACCCACCCTCGCTTCGCTCGGGTTCGTCCCTAGCTTGATTCCCCATACAAATTTTTCATCCCCATTTTCACCCCCTTAAGGGATGATTTCCGGGATAAATATCCAGAGATTACACCCTACAACCTCACAAACTTTACCTCTTTATAACGTTTGTGTAGATAATATTTGATTACCGTAACAAATTAAAATTTACCTACGTTTATAACTTAATTTAATGTAATAGAAAGAAAGCTCCGGAACAGTTGATTGGTTTTACGGAAATCTGTCAATATATTTAAGCTGTTTTTTACAGTATATCAAACGTACAATTTAGATAGATTATAATTACAGTATATTAAACGTACAATTTAAATATATTACATAATATTAGTACTGTTGGATATCATTAATATTTGTGACTATGTACGATCGGTAATCGGCCAAATAATTAAAAAAAAAATATTAATAACAGAAACATCCGTACATAATAATGATAGCGCTCTCAACGCTGAAGTCATCGGCGGGCAAGCCGTCGATGTTCCACTGCTGTATGGTGACGGGCTCGCCCAGCGACTTGATCAGGCTGTAGTTGAGCGTGCACACGATGCCGCACTCGTGGCACGCCTGCGCCCACTTCATCACCTACGTCATCATTCTTACTTTGGTTTTGTGTTTTTTTTATATTGTGTGTATAGGCATATTATATTAAAAACAACATTGGAGGAATTACATCTTACCTGTTCGTTTCTAAACGCCGATGTAAATGGTCCTAAATATGCTATGATGCCAGCAGCAATTAAAATGTCCCCTATAAAAAAACATATTTTTGAAAAAGACAGTGAAGATTTACACAGCATCACAATGGTCATACTAAAGTGAATAAAAATATATCATCAATGAATATATTTACAATTATAATTATTGATTTCTTTCAAAATTATTGTTAAAATAAAATAAATAAATGACCTGTAAGTGAATTGTAAGTTTCACGTAAAGTTTTCGCAATCTGTGTCCAGCGGGTCTTCTCACCGCCCAACCCAGATATGAGCATCTCAGCTCGTTTCAATTTATTACTGCAATCCATCACTTCGTTGTCTAATAGTCTTTGTTGACGATTCTGTTCTGATAATGCCTCTTCTAAACGGCCTAATTTCTCTTGAACCTAAAATAAATAATTATGATGACGTGATCCATTTTATGACATACTAGCGACTCACCCTCGCTACGCTCGGGTTCGTCCCTAGCTTGCTTCCTAATACAAACTTTCATCACATATTTTCACCCCCTTAACACCTCCAGGTAAATTTCTAAGAAATTATTTAAATTTCTAAGAAATCTATTGTTAACTGTAACGCCGGCGTGTCCGCGGCCGTGGGGATTAAGGTATTATTTCCGGTATAAAAAATTCGTCCTATATACTTTCTAGGGTCTTAAACTATCTTCTTACCAAATTTCATCTAAATAGGTTCAGTAGATCCTAAGATTACCACCTACAACGTCACAAACTCACAAACTTTACCTCTTTATAATATTAGTATAGACTAGTTGACTTACTTATGGGTACTTTTTAAATAAATTTAAATAGTGATTAGCCAGCGTTAGCGTTCTCTTCGCAGTTTTTTCCAATGTTTAATAGTTATTCTGCTATTCGGGCCGGACTATAATCCAATAAATAAAAGACCATAAAAATCCATCCAGTCGTTCTTGAGTTATAAATGGTGTAACTAACCCGACTTTGTTTTATATACATAGATAGATTGTACTAATTTGCAGATATAATGCAAAGGTACGATGAAATCAATACTTATAATATTTTACAAGTTGGTTGATTTATACTTTTATATTTTTTCAATTATCTTTCAACTAAAATGAATCCTTACTAAGATTATAATTTTGAAAGTGTTTGTTGGTCCATTAGTTTTTTAGTTAGTCTTTCTTTCACGGAATAACGGAGTAACGATTAAAGTGCTTCTGTTATTCCGGTACCCAGTAATCAACAAGTACCAAAAAGTATCAAGTTTCCGTGGAACATTAGGGATAGTACAGTGCAGTAGCTTAGGCAGTGGTCACTATAAACTGGTACAATATCCAAGCCATACCTCCTTGAGCTGCGCCCGCTTGACGGCGAGCGCGGCGCAGGCCTTGTCGTACACGGCCTGCGCCGCCGCCAGCCGCTGCTTCTTGGGCGCCACCACCTTCGCCACCTTGTCGTACTTCGTCATCGCTATCACCCACTTGCACATTCCTGTATTAATTATAAAGTAATTTCCATTTTATAATTATAACTATATAACTAGCTGTGCCCCGCGGTTTCACCCGCGTTAAATTTGTTTGATTATAAACATCAGTTTTACAATAATGTATGGAAGTCAGGAAGTCTGGATATTAGTATAGATATACATTCTCAAACTACTCTTCAAGTATTAACTACGTGTATATTCTTTTTCTGTTCGTTCCACCTTTGTATCTATACTTATTATAAAAATAAGTCCCCCGGCCGCGTCTTTCTGTCCTCCTGTCTGTCCTCCTGTCGAAAACTACTGAACGGATTTTTATACGGTTTTCAACAATAGAAAGAGTAATTCTTGAGGAAGGTTTAGGTATATAATTTATTATGCTTTTATGTAAATTAGCTGAAATACGGCGACAAATGTTGAAGAGGTCGCAAAAAATCTCGCCAAATGGGAACTTTCCACGCGAACGCCGCGTAAACTAGCAAAGATACAGTTAAGTAATGTACTAGAGAATTCAAAATCTATAAAAATGCTACAAAAAAGTCCGCGATAGCATATCTCTATCTCTTACGGTTGACTTACAATAACCACTTTTATGTTAACATTTTTAATTAAAAACATTACGTTATTTTCAAAGTTATTTTCTTTAGTTCGGTATTAATCCTTATCCAAATGAATATTTTAGTTAGCTTAGTCATTTAATGCAGATTAAAATTGCTCTTTACACTAAATCAATCAGATGAATAGTTTTTGAGATATCGTTGTTAGAAGTAATTAGTAGCGAAACATTTTTAATGCTTGGCGAGCATTGAGATGCCTACGGCGAGTCCATCCCCTCTGCCCCGCATCGCTCGACCGCCTGCTCAAGCTATATAAACCGGGCGATGTAGCGCGCGATCCTAGGATACTTTTTACCGCGGGAAAATATCTTATTTCTGAGGAAAAATACAAAAACTGCAATGTAAGAGTATACTAATATGTAACACCTAAGAATTTAGTTTTTGGTCATCTGAACGCGGGCGGAGCCGCGGGCAATGCTAGTTGTAAATAAAAAAAACTTTGCAATATATTGTATCGTTTTCCACTTTCTGCATTTATTAAGATATTATGCTGGCATCAAGATGTGAAACTTGTGCGGTGGAAGCGCAACTCGTATGAGCTAGGTGCTACTTGAATATATTGCCCAGATTGTTACTCAGTGTAAATGGCCGCCGTAGTCGAACTACATTTAAAAATAACCTATACGCAAACACAAAATTTAAACTTAACTTCAGCAGCCACGGATACAGCCCTGATCTTCTCCGGGACGAAGCCCTCGTCCTGCATCACTGTGGCCATGAGTTTCTTCATCACCGGCGGTGGGATGTTATCTTTGTCGTAGTTCTGCAGCGACTCGAGGAACTTGATGTCGTTCAACAATTTCTTGGACGGGCCCCAGTAGTCCTCTATCGTTCCCACTCCAGATGGATTAGGTACTTTGTCTGGTTTCACTTCCTAAATTATAAATTATTCTATTAATGTCTTAAAACTAATAATATATATTTTTTGAAAAAGTTTTATTATTTAGAAAGTTGCATGTGTAACACGTGAGTAAGCGTATTAATATTAACTTACCGGATCATCCTTTCGTATGTATGCAATATAAAAAATAAATTCAATCAATTGTTAGCATTTTTTATAACATTACCAAGCAAATCATAAAATGACCACACCAATACCAATTAAACACACTTCACCTTGAGTATACAAATAGCCTCCATAACGAGCTTGATGCCCCTGGGCGGGCTCTTCATGGTCTTGATGAAGGTGATGTCCTGCGGCGTGAGCGTGTCCAGCGCCGCCAGCGCCGCGTTGAGGATGGGCATCGCCTCCGCCAGGTCCGCGTCGCACTCGTCCTTGATTCCTTGCGCTTCTTTCGCCTAATGTATATAGCGATGTATAGATAATATTAGCGCCTCACCCTCGCTTCGCTCGGGTTCACCTCTATACAAACAAAAACAAATCTATCCCACGGGAACCGTATATATTTCCGGGATTAAAAGTAGCCTATTTATTATTCTGATGTATGCACTATATTATTATAAAGTTTCATTAAAATCCAATCAGTAGTTTTCGTGTACTAAGCTGTATAAGTTACTATAGTTTTATAGTTTTTAAGCTATACCACGGGAACTCTTTAATTTTCCGGGAAGAAAAGTATCTAAAATGTTGACCGGAGATATAAGGTACCACTATAAAACATAGGTATATTTGTCTAGTAGTTCTTTAAGATAATTTCGTCTGACATTTATATTTTATTTTTTATCTTGAATAGTATTTTATTAGTGTATTATCTCATATATTAAAATCGCATCGTATTAAACGGACAGATTAATTCCACAAAATCCCCTATTACTTATTAATCCAACAACAATCCAACCTGTTCCTCCGCGGCAGCCTGATCGACCAGCACCTCCGCCTCCACCAGAGCCACCCCCTCCTTCTCCTTCTCCACCTCGGCCGTGGTCTCCGCGACGGCGGCGGCGCCGGCCGCCAGCTTCGGCTGCAGCACCTCCAGCGCCTGCTGCAGCGCCGCCACCGACTTCGATGCGATGGCGAGCTGCTCCAGACCGGTGATGTACCTCTTTTCACTTGTTAACAACTCTCTGACAAGTTTGATATTAAATTTAAAGATGTTAATAAGAGAGAAACAGAACAAATTTCTTTAAAAAAATCCTCTTTCCAAATCTTTCAATATTTGTTGAAATTGATATTTAAATTAAATATAATAGTAGAGCAAGATATTTCACTTACGTTCGTTTCTTTCCTAACAGTGATTTAAACATATTAATAAGTTCCAAATACGCGGTAGGTGTGACATAGTTGTATCGTTTCAACCTCAACAGAAACTGTCTGGTCAGCTCTTGAGTGTCGGTGTGGAACATTTGACATAGTTTTATTGCTGTGTCCCTTTCGAGCTCAGTCAGTTCTACTTCTTTTAGGAAACGAGTTGCCACTGCGAGTAGAGCATCAGGTGGCCATTCCTGTGAACAGATTCCGTGTTAAAAGTAAATCTTACTACACACATCAAAAATTAACTAACTAAATAATTTAACTTTAAGCAACATTAACAACTTGTTAAATACCACACTACAGAGTTAGATGAATTTAAAAAAAAACTTATATAAAATATTACATAAAATAAATTTATTGTAGTATAAATCACTTACTATAGACATAGAAATCATTTTATATACACACAAAAACATTTATCTCAAAATTACAAAACTAGAAAAAGATAGGTATTAATTTACAGAAAGACATATTGAGTGAATCCCGATATCTATTTTTGGTCTTCTTTACTAGAGATAGAGATTTTAAAAAAACTTCACACAAATTATTTTAAATTTGTACGTTTAATAAGAAATATTAAATATAGGTAGTTAATGGAATTCTCCGATAGCCAGCTGCATACAGATAAGCAAGTCTGATATATACCTGGAACCAGTCGATGGTGCAGCAGTTGACGAGCGAGGGGAACTTGCGTATGCGCGTGCGCAGCGAGGTGCCGGCCGGCGACATCGCCAGCACGATGTGCAGCTGGTCGCGCACGATCGACACGAAGTACGCGTACAGCGCCGTAGGGCTGCCGTCCGTCTGCAGCGACTTGTCGCGCTGCCGGTCGATCTGCCGGCAACGGTCACATTACTATGTATCCGCTTGGAAACTAGCAAAGAAGAGAATACTATATTATTGTGTGTCTTTGGCCTTTGGGAGCTAGTGAAGAAAAAATCGGACAAGTGCAAGTCTGAGTTGCACAACGACGGATATATACAGGGATAGAATGAATTAGAAATACCCCACGTAGATAGGGATAGAATGAATACCCCACATGCTTATATAGTTACATAAATATGAAAACTTCTACTTTTTTTTGTAATTTAACAATTGGGATTGATGAGGATTGTCTGGCAGTTTACCCGAGACATCTACCAAATCTAACTAAATCTATCCACCGAATTTCAACTATGTAGCTTCGAAAGTCTTACAGTAAAATGGCTGACATATGAACAGACAGACAGATGGACAGACGAAGATATTGTAATAAAGGTTCCTTTTTAGCATTATGGGAACCTTAAAAATGACCATGATTGAAAGAACAGTTAAGGTGTGCAGAGATCGTAGAGCTTGCCAAATATATTTCACACAGCATGTCATTCTTGTCTTAGGTTCCTTTATTTTACACATGAAAACATTTAAATTAGCAATTTTTTCTATTTACATATTTAAATTCAGCATGAATATAATATTAACTCACCACACGCATTTTTTCACAAAGTTCTGCTTTTTCGTCCGCAACAAATATGTTCGGAACTTCGCCCGAATTTAGCATATTATTTACGTCTTCTAAAAAGCCTTCTTCTTTTATCTAATGAATAAAAAATATATATAACATGATGTTGCAAGCTGTCAACATTATAATTCTTAATTCTTATTGAGGTGTCGTCAACGTCATTCAATTATATGTATTATCATTTTAACTAAAATCTTCTACTTACTTGTGATTCTATAAACAAGAACACCATGTGCAAGTCCGGAGTGCTTGACTTTCTTAGTAGGGTTTTTAAATCTTCACGCCATTCTGTTTTGCCATACGTTCGACTCATTTCAACCTGTTATTTTATAAAATAATCGAAAAGTAAATTATTCAATTGTATATTTAGAAAATATTTTTATATACTTTATAATGTAAGTTACGTTGCTACGTAAATGCACAAACCAACAAAAGTTGTTGCTGCAAACATGATATAATTTAAAACCTACACTCCCGATTTAATAAACGTATCTGTATACGACTTACCCTCGTTAAAAATAGTTAATGTGAGTGTACCTAAGTGATAGACACATGCTATCATAGATTTTTCTGTAAGTCTTATTAAGACGTACTTTTTCGTGCATTGTTTGTTGTTTTGTTTTTCTCCCTTTCTCCTTTCGTAAATACCTATGTGTAATGTTTTCTTTTATCATATGATCATGTGGTAATCATGTTGAAAATGATTCGCATATAAAAATCTGAACTGGATTAGAATGCGCTTATCTAGGTTTTCCAAGTGAATTACCAAATGATTAATATGTTACAGCTAAGTCAACTCTAAGCAACTATTCTGATTCTAAGCTTTTTTGGAAAAATCATTAGATCACTTTTAATTATTAGTACAGTATTATGTGATCTGTGGTTTTAATTATTATCATATTAAGCCTCGGATTACTACAACGAGTAAAAAAAAATACAATAATCAGGCCATTGCATCATGAATGCACGTGCAGAGTTAAAAGGTGTGTTGTGTTGCTGTTTTTTAGGATTCCCTCTACTTCCGCCACTTTAATATTATACTCAATTCAATAGACTCTATTACCAGTGATAGGATTGGATGGGTACCACCCTCTTATCTATTTCTCCCTCCAAGCAACAATGATTGCATTGTTGTGTTCCGATTTGAAGGATAAGGTAGCCAGCGGAATTACTGGCAAGAGGCATATCATTTTAGTCCTCACAGTGACAACGCACCTGCAGATCTGCATTTTTGTTACATGAAACCTAAATATATGTAGGTATTATAGGCGACAGGTACCGCTTTCCATCAGGTGGGCTGTCTGCTCGTTTATCACTGAGCACCATAAAAAATACATGTAAAATTATATTATAACATACTCGTATGTATGTACGATACCTGGAAGAGATCATACTCGTTGATGTGCGCGGCGAGGCGCGTGAGCGACTGGCGGCCCGAGCCGCCCAGCCCCACCAGCAGCGCGTGCGAGCGCGGCTGCGTCAGCACGCGGCACACGCGCGACACGTGCTCGATCGCGAACCTGAACGGCGACTATTTAACGACGGTTTCTGATAACCTATCATCTTTGCGTCTATTAACGCAGCTCTAAGCCATTAAAGAAAAAAACCTATCCTACCTATGTATTGTCATAGCTTGTCTATCTACAATTTATCTATAATCGTCTTGCAAAAAAGTCTATATAAAGCAATCGTGCGGTGTGAGACGCCAGGCAAAGGCAATAAAAACTTTTGTATGGATGTTTATAACATTCGGAATACGGATTTTAGATTGACGAATGTTTATCATATCAAATTATATAATTATTTTTTATTGTAATTTAAAATATAGTTAATTCGTTATTTATTATTTGCATAATAATTAATTTATGATAATTAATTCTTATGACAATCCTTGTCTAAAATATAATTGTCTAGTCGTCGTCGACATTATAAAAATGTAAGCTGCAAAGAGCGTTCTCGACTGAATAAATATTAAGAAAGGTTTTAATTAAATAAATTTTGTATAACACCTAGTTTTTTTAACTTAATTTACGAAGACTAATAAGCTTTGGTAGTAGTGAATTGCGATATACATATAGATAAGCGAACGTATGCATGAACTCAAGCAACGATGCAGCCAATAAGCAACGTTCGAAAGCTCATACATACATATTCGTACATAAATATGTATGTATGTATACATTAAATAACAACAAAGGCTAACCCGCCATCGGAAAATAGAATACCTAGCTCAAATATATGTATATAATAATTCAATATGTAAGCTTGTTTAGCTTTGTTGTTTGTAAGCTGCTTATTTCTATACAACGAGTACTGTTAAGTGCTTCGCGCATATTGCTTAAACCTTAGAGCATTAGTACTTAATAGGTATGCCAATATTTACATAATTCGAATGTATTTAGTAATTCTAGTTTATTCTGGTAAATTATGGAACGTTTAAATTAAACAATTTTCCCCATGAATTCATTCAACTTTTAAGCATTCAGATAAGATTATTTGATTAAAAGATGATAAAATTACCTAAACAGCACAAGATTCATTGGTTTCTTGGACATATTGTTATACTCCACGAGATAAGCTTCCACTGTTGAATTCAAATGCTCCATGTTAGTCGTCTCCATGTAGAAGCGTGTATCGACTTTGGGATTTGCAAAGTCACAATATATCAAATTTCGTAAATGTAAATCCGTTATCTAAAATCATAGTAACAAAATTTTACATATACAATATTCATCAAACATTATGATAGTAGTATGAAAACTTTGTATACATACATTTTTATTAATTTTACAGTATGTTAGAAAAAAACGTATATAGTATACAAGACTCACTAACCGTATCATCAGAGCCTTCTAGCAGGCGGCCCAGCAGCTTATCGAACTCGTCGTTGAGATGCAGGCGTGTCGCGTCGCGCAGGCAGCGCACGAGCCAGCGCCGGTCCGCGTCCGCGGTGAGGCGGTCGGAGAACACGCGCAGGCACTCGTGCACCCACAGCCTTTTGATCGACTGCAAGTCCGGTGTCACTTCTGGCACTGACAACAGGACCCCCTAACGATCACATCATTTGTAATATACACGATTTATTAAATATAGATAATATGAAATTAAACTCTTAGTAATTAAAAAGTAAATGTAATTATTCCATTATGAACAGTGGATTTTTGCTTTGAAAAGAATCATTCAAATAGGTTCACAAGTAGCAATGATGTCATGTAAACAAAGATACACCCGAATGACGGTTATCGTTTCTATTTCCTTGTTTTTTGAAGTCGGACGAAAACTGAAGAAATTAATTGCAAAACATTTATTGAGGTACCGCATTCGTACCGGTAAAAGTAGTATCACTATTCAGTGTTCAATCATCACATACATACCAATATAACTTTGGAGAAATCCCGCAAGTTGAAAGTGTAATGTGACTTCGAAGGTGTGGGCAACAAGTTCAGTCTGCACTGTTTATAAACTTCTAACGTTGCCGCTACTATTTCTTCTATACAAGGATCGAACTCCTTTGAAAATCCCCTTAAATTGAAATTAAGTAAGTAAAAACATTAGTTTAAGCTCAAGAATTTAATTGTTTAGTTTTTATGTTTCCGTACCTGGTATCTAAATGCCAGAGCATAATTCTGCCGAAAATAACTTTGAGAGTGTCATCATCGAATTCATCGATGCAAAAGAAGGAGAAGTGTCGCGAGAAGCGCGGCGTGACGAGCTTAGCGCCGGGCGTGGGCTTGCCCATCGCACACATGAACTGAAAACGAGAATATATTTTTGAATACATTTTGAAAACTACTAATTTAACAACTTATAACCCCCTCCCTCCAAACCCGTTGCTCAAAATAGTGTAATTTTTTACCAATGATATGTGATATAGGACAATTTGGAGTTGGAGGAAAACTTTAACTTAGGATGTTGAGGTTAGGCTGTTTTTTTAGACTAATTGCACTGCACTATATAGTGTGTTACTCTTTGACACTATAACATCTCCGCGTATTAAGAACGACATAGAAATTATCGATATATTCTTATTTCGCGAGCGAGGAGTAACGCCGCGGGCAACAACTAGATATATTTTTTTATTTTTTTTATTTGGGAAACACATACATATATAACATAAGTAGGCACATAACAGGTAAAATATTACACAAACCAGCAAAGTTTCCACTAATTTAAACATACATAGGTACACAAAGAGTAGGTAGACAATAATAAAAGATATAAAATAACAAAGTGTGATCACCTGCACGTCGACGAGGTGCATGGCGACGTTGGTCTTGCGGTCGTACCAGAGGCCGAGGTCGATGCCCTGGCGCAGCACCTCGACGGGCGGCTGCGCGCCGTACGTCTCCGCCTGCGGCATGCTCACGTCGTCCACGAACACCACGCAGTGGCAGCCTATCGGCGGTCCAAACACGCCTGCCCACGGAATGACAAGTTTACTCATTTTTTACTCATTTCAACAAAAGGAGTACCTACATCTTAAATCCTCGACTAGCACAGGCTATCTATTTCACACATGTACAGCTACGGTCGATTGGGTTAGCAGTTGCATAGAGATTTAAGAGTCGTAACAAAGGCTTATTTCTGGCAAAATAAAACGCAAAAAGGCTCTACACGTCTGAGCAAAACCTATTCTAATATGAACATGATAAGAAATACTCATGTGCTCTTGATGAAACTTATATATTTAAAACTCAGCAGCCAACTTAACCTTTTCTCCTTTTGTCCAATTTTCCCATAATTATATCTTGTGTTTGATTACAATTTGTTTGTGCTGAGAATGCCATTATTAGCGCTTTGTACACTTTTGTGTCCACTCTTTTCACTAAGTAATCCTGAAACGACATGTACATTTAATCACTAAAAGTAAAATATCAGATTAAGAAAACTACCTTCATCTAGAGAAGAAAATGTATATCGTATATTTTTATAATATTATATTATACTCACAATGATATAAGAAGATTTGCCAGTACCAGTGGGTCCGACCATCATCACAGCCTTGTGGTGTGTCACGAGGAGCTTGAACAGTGCGAGGTAGCGCACGCTGTCCAGTGTCGTCACTAATATCTGATTGGGAGGAGTATCCCGGCTTATGGGAGGTGCTGAGACCACGTCGTCGTGCCATGGCTTCCATTTCCCTTTGCCCTGAAAAGTTACTTAATTAAAGGAATCTAGCAATAAAAGGAGTTAAAGTAGCACGATCGATAACTATTTTGATTCAGAAACTATAATATCGAAAAAAAATGAGAGAAGAGGGAAAAATGTAAGAATCATTAGTGATAATTAAAAAATGTACCTCTTTAATAAAGCGATAATCATAGACGCTTCCATCTTTAGGTATTGTAAATATATATTGTTTTTCTGGTTTCGCAATTTCTTTCGGGTAGCCTAAAATTTCTAACACCTTCTCAGGAAATTCCTTTTCTAACAAACCTCGGAACAACATGTCGAACTTAGGGCGGCCATCGCTCTCTAGAGTAGATCCAATAGACCAAATAGACGAAAAGAAAAATACACCCTGAGACGAGAAAATCGTATGAAATGATAATTTAACTCATAATTGTAAAATTTTAAATAATGAATTGTTAGATTACCTCAAGTTGCGCTCTGATATCAAGATCTGATAATTGCTCAACATACTTTTCATCATTAAAATCATCCATGAAAGTGTCAAAAAGATTCATGCAAGCCTTCACCAGATTGGTACGTGAAGTTATGTACATTTGCTGAAAGAAACACGTAATCTTGATTAAAGACCATACTACTATCCCGCTAGCCTAGTGATGAATATATAATCTATAATACGACTTTTCGAATCTTGAGGTCATGAATTAAAATTCAGAACTGAGACAAATCGATTTAGTATTTTTTGTCAGGATTTTTTTTCATATTTTGAGGAAGTATGAAGTTAACGAGGCTTACTCCCGTGTAATCGTTGCTTGTGCACTTGATCTCTCTCAAAGAAATATCAACGCCGTATCCTTTTTTAACGCTGCAAATACGCCTGAACTACAATATCACAAGCGTAAAGAGCGAGTCACAGAAACATCAAGACCAACGTTTGTTCAGGGTTCAGGGGTTGTTTTAAAAAAGCAATAAAACTATTCTAAAAGAATCAACATAAAGTATTAAATACCTTAACTTTGCCAGACAACTCCACAAGCCAAAGCATCGGCGACATAAACCGGTTGAAGAGCGTCCGAATGTAGTTACGGTTGAAGCCGTGAAGAGTTCCTGGCAAAGTGTTGAGCCACGATTCCATCAGACATTTCCATCCCAGCCCCTTGGGCTCCATGTAGATCATGCCGCAACGAGACACCTATAAAGTTTGGATTTAGTCGTATACTCTTATAAACAAATCTTTTATGTATTGTATTAAAAAATCTTTTTATGTATAATTGTGATATCGGGCTATAAGGCAATAATTAGATACCATCGAGCTGATTATTATCCAATAGGTGAGCCAATAGTTGGCTAGTGAAAGTCTTCAATGACTACTAGTAAAATTTGATAGATTATAATATTATAATTAGTAAACTTCGTATTTAAAAAAAAAAATCTTTTGTAAATATTTACTTTAAACGGCTATTGGTTTGAGCGTTAGGATGGAAATTTAATATATTCTCACTATTTTAAATAAATCTATCTTTTCGATCGTATTTTTTTCGCGGATTTATTTTGTTGTCTTTGGTTCCCGATGTTTAGAATACTTTACAACAATCAGGGTCACGGGAGAAATTGTTCTCCCGTATCTATGTTAAATATAAAATAACAATAATTAGCGTGAATCCAAGAAAGTATTATATTCTCACCAATTTGTAGTTATATTTTATTTGACACTTGATGAAATGAAAAAAGTAGTGTAAAATATTTTTCGTAAAATATATTGAGATCAACCATAATTAATATTTACGAGTTCAATAATAGTATAGAAAGAAGATATAATACCATAAATTGCTCTGAATAAGCCATTGCTCATATAATGCACAGCAAATCATGTGTATTATATGAGCGATATACTTACCGTGGCCGGCGACGCCGCTTCGAGGTCCATGGGCTCGAAGATGAGATTGGTGGTAGGCGCGAGCTGGATGATCTCACCGCTCATTAGACACAGTTTCTTGTTATCGTCTAACACTGTGTTCAAATTTTCTATCCAAATGGCATCTACTGGACCGTCGAATACTAGCCATTTCCTAATAAAATATGCATTTTAGCGAAAACTTTAAAGTTAACAATTTTGTATTTTCTAATGCTTCTTCGGCATTTTTAAAAGAAAAAGACTGAAAGACTGAAGATTAGAAAAAAAACTGTTTTAAATTATAGCAAATTCAAAAATTCTGCGGACTTTGTGATAAAAAAATATATAAATCTAAGGAATTACAAGATATGTAAAAATATCTATCTATGCATGATTTTTTTAAAACATAGAATGAAGGCTGAGTTAAGATTACAATATAATAAAAATCGCTCAACGCAGCTATAGCAATTGTCACTTATATAAGTATTATGTATATATATAGAAACAAGTATCACCTATTTTCATTAGTGGAAACAGCAAAAGCCCTGTAGCTGACGGCGAGGATGCCGTCGGACCACTCGTGCGACACCGGGTCGAACTGCCCGTACAACTGGCCCATCGTGATGGACTTGGGGTTGATCACCGTCCACTCCACTGGGTGTTCATCTATTAAACCCTACAATTATATAAACAACCTATGTTAAGCCTATGTTACTCCCTATATCATCAGCTATCTTCCAGTGAAAGTCCCGTCAAAATCAGTCCAGCCGTTTCAGAGACAAAAAATTAAAAAAGTGCGTTTTTCTTATAAGTACCGTTTATAATTTCATATACATTTAGTAAAACGCTATTATTTCGACATTACAAACAGACACTTCAATTTTATTTATCTGTATAATAGATATATAGCAAGTGTTATCGGTTGGTAGATTATATTTTCAAGATGCCGATGCATGTTCATTAGTCTTACAGATATTTCATGTGATCTTAGTGACATAAAGAGAACAGTATTAAAGTTGTGTAATACAAAAACATGATACATTCAATGTAAATACCTTTTCTGACACCATTCCCAAGGCGTGACCAAGAGCATGATAGCATTTAGTTTTCCCGGAAAATGGTAATCCCACCAACATCAAACCATGTCTTACTAGAATCATTTCATATAACTGCAGGACCTGTTTAAACAAATTCATAGTAAAAAGGATAAAATGAGTCAAATAGTAATCACTTAAGCTCACAATTAAAACAGGAGATTGTATTTTTAAAATATAAATAGTTTTTAAATATATAGAGAATAGAGACCAAATGCAAGTTACAATAATTGGCAACGTGCTTATCACATTTTTGTATATTTATTATTGTTGGAAAAATATTAAACTTCTTTTTAATATTTATTACACTTATACTACTTTAGAACTACTATACTAATTTAGAATTTCATTTATATATTTTTTTTATTTATTAAAATATAATTCATGAATAAAACTTAAAGAAGAGAGGACCTTCTCAATAAAGAAGTCGTTAGCCTGCAGGTTGAGCGGCGCGCACACCTCCTTGAGGCACGCCACGAGGTGCGGCAGCCCTGGCTGCGGCAGCGGCAGCCCGGGAAACAGGTCCCCGATTATACCCTACAAAATACCAATGTAAAAAAGATTTGTATTTTTATACATATGTTTGTAACGACTAAACTTAAAAACTACTGGACTGATTTACATGAAATTTCGTAAGAAAATAGCTTGAAACCCTGGAAAGAACATAAGATATTTTTGAGGTTGAGTCGCTAGTGTTATTATAATTTATAAATTTAATTTTAAATGTATTAAAGTATGTACCTATAACAATTACAATTTACAACTTAAATAATTTTTAAAACGGTTTTCTTTCTATTGTATGAGTCGGTATACATATAAATATATATATATATCTATATTGCTATCGAAATATATGAAGATAGTACTCATATATTCATATTAACAATTTAAGAATTATGATAATTATGATTCAGCATAATACTTATTAGATTAAACGGACTTAGTTGACTTTTCTGATGAAACAATAACTGGTCAGACACATGTAAAATAGCTGACCATAAAGAGCGGCACGTCGTGCTCGAGGAACTTGGGCAGGTTGACGTCCTTGATGGAGCGCAGCAGGATGACGTCCTCCACCTCGTCCGGGTAGCGCAGCTTGAGCGCGCCCGCCGCGCGCAGCACGGACTTCACCGCGCGCATGCCTTACGAATTATACCTCATGTTTAATTTAGAATATTGGAGTACTGCCTCGGTGGTCTAGAGGATAACATGTGCGGTCGCAGATCCGGCGGTTCTGGGTTCGAGTCCCAGGTCAAGTTCAGTTACTGAATATTTCTGTTAAAGAAAAGAGTTGGGAAGTTGGAAATGTTGGACCCCTCGGAGAGAGCTGTCGGTACTGCGCCATAACTCTAACCATTCATGTCAAAGTATCATCCCATCGGACTTTGAGAGTTAAAGGAATAGAGAGTGCAATTACGTCTGCGGCTGCGCATACACTTATGCATTATGCGCATTTGGTGGAAGTAAGTCAGTAGAACATTGTTATTATTGGAGTACAATTATAATTGTGAAACTTTTTATCTGTGTGTATATTTAATAGTCTTCGTGCTTAAATGACTGAGACTTACGAAAGAATATTAGCAAATAATACTTTTTTGTAGCTTCCATACCGTAATCATAATGACTCTGCGAGGATAGTTGTTCGGAACAAAGCTTGTAGGTGGCGACGATCTTAACGGCGAGAGGTTTGGCGTTCAAGTATCCAAACGCGTACAATTCAATCTCTGATATGAGCACGTAGTCCGGCACCATCATTGCCACTGATCGGAATAGTGCCTAAAATAGCGGATAATTTATTATTTATTAATTTTTGCCCCTAATGTTCGTAACATTATGTAAGATATCTATAAATAAGTTCCTCAAAAAATAGATTCAGGGATTAGCGCAGGCGAATAAATAAATTAAAAAAATAAACTCTTTAACTTCATAATATGAGTTTAGATTCTTTATTATATTTAAAAACTTAAAAACTTTTGTAACTTAAAAAGATAAGTGATCAAATATAATATGTATAAAAATTAAAGGGTCATTTGCTTAGCTTTACCACTTTATTAAAGATGCTATATACATATGTGGTTTCAGTGATATTATTACTATTATGGTTCCAATTTAAACTTATTATTTACAAAGTTCAGTAATTAAAATTCAATTAAATTAAAGTATGCTAAAATCGTACCTTTAAATTATCCGGCAGTTCTGATCGTCCCGCGTAACCGGGGTTCATGGTAATGAAGACAGCGCAAGTTTTGTCCAAGTGTAAGAGTGTTCCCTCAAACAATAACTCCGTTGCGCCGGAGTTTATTCCTCTCTGTATCGACAATATCTGCTGCGCTACCACAGACAACACTTCTAGATCAATTCGATTGAACTCATCAAAGCAAGACCAAGCACCGCAAGATGCTAGACCCTGAAAATTATATATTTTTTCTGTTTAATCGCTTAATGCAATAAATAATATATATTTACTATACATCATACACGAAACACTTCTTTCATTACACGGACTCGCAAAAGTACACGGAGCACTGTGCCGAAAAAATATTTTGTCATTAGATTTTCCAAGGTACTATATTGATGTATTTAACGGTTTAAAAAATAAGCACCGATTAAATAATAAAATAATGAAAACTAATATTTTTTCATTCTAAAAGAACAAATTACCTTGAAGAACTTTCCTAGAGCAAGATAATCAAGTCCATCGGAACAATTAAAGACGACGCATTGTTTAGCGACAGCCTTCGCCAAGTCCTTCGTGGTCTCCGTCTTGCCGGTACCCGCCGGACCTTCGGGCGCTCCACCTGTTGTTTGATAACGTTTGTCGTAAACCTTTGTATCATCACGCCTATCCTTATATAGTTTCTTTAGTAAATTATACTGAAGATAGTTTTTGAGTTAATGTAAGCAGAATTAAAAAAGTTGGGGAATATCTTTGTAATTTACTTCAACATATTTCAATGCTAAAATTCGTCACATAACACATATGATTTCTAATATAGATCCCTAAATTTTGATATTAAAAAAAAAATTATTTAAGCTATATGTCTTTCACTAATTTGTTTGTCTTACTTTACACCAAATCAGAGTGTAAAATACGAGAAGATAAACAAACAGAATCACAAACAAAAAAAAAGAAAACAACGTGTGTGTACTTATGTACGCACGTAAGAAGTTAATTTCTTTGGCGGAACGGAACAAAAAATATCTAAAGATATCATCCATGACGCTTTTTGGCTGTCGGTGTGCGCGCACATCGTAAAAATTTTACTCTCGTATTTTTTCCCAAACGTGCCAAAAGAAGTATAACTTAAAAAATATCGCATTATAACCCAAGTTGAGATGCAAAGCGCCAAAGAGCGTGCGGAAGCAGCGGTCGGTGAGCGGCGTGACGACGAGGCGGCCGGTGTTGCCGAGGTACTCGTAGCCGTACATCAGCTGCGAGTTGATCATGCGGGTCGCGATCTGCATGCTGTTGTCTTCCTCCTGCAGCTGCACACGATCAATGCGAATAATATCCTCAGTTAAATTTACTAATAATATTATATTTTAGCTAAGTTTCTGTTGTAATTATAGATCCTTGTTATTTATCCTATAAGGAAATAAGAGTAACACAACGTGATCGTCTCAAATCGATTAGGTCCGCTTAGATTAGGTTAGGTCAATTAGGAAATTCATTACACATCTCGATAACAAAATGTTTTTAATCATACTACTAATTATTATTTTATCTATATCAAATTAATTAATACTTGTAAATAATTTAAAACAAAAAAGATCTCATCGAACAATCACTTTCACTTACCTCCCAATAATACCTAATCTGCGAGAGCCAGTTAAAGTCATTGTCGAGTTGCACGTTGAAGTCTATAAGCTCCATGAGCACATCCCTCGCGTGCACGTCTAATACTACTAGCGCACCTGTAATGTAAATATTGCTACATTAGATCCAACGAAATATATCATAAAACAAATATTTATAGTTGGTACTTTTTAAAACAAGGGCTTCGATTTTAATTAAATATTTTTAGGTACATCAGACGCTAAATAAGTTAGAGATATGTAGATACATATTTTTAATACATCGTTTACATAAAATAGCTGCCATAATAATTACCAAGGGTAATCCGATTCTGCAAACTAAGTTCCCCGCGCACCAAATCGACAATTTTAGATATCTGGTAGTTGCACTTGTCCCAGTACGCCCGCATCGCCGCTATGCTGTTGTGGATCGCCTCCGTCACTTCCGACGTCCAGAACGTCATCGCTATACATTGTACCTGGTAATTTAATTACATTTATGTAATGAATATATACATATTAATAAAGTATATGCGGCTCAGTTTGCTTGCAGTTTGTTTTGATCCAAATTGTACCAAAAAAAATATTATCTCCACTGCGTATAAACGCACAAGTGGAAACTCCAGATCTTTATTTTTAAACACATATTAATTACTTTAGAAAATATAATACAATTAAAATACTCAATTTCTCACGGTCTTGCTGACATCAAATGATTCTGTCTATTTGATAGATTTTAAGACTGTCAACTGCTGATTTGGCTTTTATTGCTTATCAAATACACCATAACTTTAATCCTATTACCCTGAACTCTGACCCCGGTACAATAAGTGTCATCATCATCTCACTGACCATTTCCCAATTACTTGGGGTCTGCGCAGTACATCTTCCGTACTGCTGATAGAATTTGGTAAAGTTTCCAGACATCAACCCTCCTCAAGAAAGCTATTGTTTATCGCGGACGTCTTGTAATATAGCACATTCGATATTGTTTTCTTTTAAAACATTATTTACAGTATTACTTAAGTTTTAATGTAATTTTTTCATGTATTTTCAAATAAACTTTGAACACAAATAAATTATGTTTTGACGTTGTCATTTTTTTCCTAAAATATAATAAGTATAGTTATACTATATCAATGAACAATGTAGACATGAGTAATGAGTATGCCGCACCGCCTGTCCCGGCCACACCAGCACCCAGCGCTCGCGCGCGCGCCGCAGGTAGTCGTCGTACGAGAGCGCCACCACGCGGTGCACCGACGCCTTCATTGCCTTCTCCAGCTCTAACAGCCATTTCTCCACCTGTGGCATATGCCAGTCATTTAAATATACATAATTATTTTATTTCTTCTAGAACCGCCTTCAGTTCAGTCCATATCGCATAGATCTAATTATTACGATGTGTGTCCGTTTGCATGAACATTTTGCTTGAGTTAAGAAATATTTAGTTTTTCATTTCCAATTATAATATAAAATAATAGGCACAAAATAGGCCTCACTTTTGCTCATGTGTTAGATACTTTTCTCAATCACACACATATTCACTCACAGAATTACCTACTAACTTATTCGCTATAGTCTCTTTCATTTATATACTAAGCTTTAATTTCAATAGAATTAATATAAAAAATCTATCATTATTTATTATATCATCATATCATAAATATAAGTTAATATTACTTGTCCTCGAGCAGCCGCCGTATTTATTGTGATCGTGAGCTCCACGACCTCTCCCTCTGAGGAGCGCATGTGAGTGACCACCAAGTCCTCGGTGAAGTTAAGTTTAGCGATACCTTCAAAGCATTTCTTCAGATGAGGTTGTACCCTGTAAGTAATTATGACAAAATGCATTACGTACAATTTTATTATCAATAACTTATTCCTTCCTAATATTACAATATAAAAATCAATATAGTTATAGGTGATCTGATGTCCATTTATTTTAGCGGAAATACTGACAAAAATACCAATTTTCATGGGGAACATTTTTAAAGTCAAAGCACTGTAGAGCCATCTCGTGGTTAATTACAGTTATACCCGTCAACCCTAAATTGGTTTTCTAATTCCATATAAAAGTAAGTATAGCTTTCGGTTATATCTCACCGTCTAGCTTTGCTTGATCGTTGGACGATTGTATAAATTAATAGAGTGTGCTAATATCATAAAATTAAACGAGAGTAACAACTGTTTATAAACTTCTACCGTCGCCGCTACTATTTCTTCTACACAAGGATCGAATCGTATAGTTTTTTGTTTTCACGTACCTCATAGGATCTTTAGTCTCCGACAATATCTCGAGCAGCTCGTCGTTAGACAGGAAAAAGAAGCGCGGGAAGTATAGCCGCTTCTTCTCCAGATATGCGTTGAGGCCGCGTTGCACCATCTCCAGCAGGTTGTTGGACTTGCGCAGGCGGTCCAGCATCTTCTCGATGGTGATGACGTCGAGCACACGCGGCTCCGAGTACGCCGCTTTCATTATCTCCCGCCACATCTGTTAAGACCATTGTATTGGTTATTGTACTTTCTATGACATAAACATACTAACGACTCGCCCTGGCTTTGCTAGGTGTGCAATGATAGTGATATATATGTATGTACTCGCATATCAATATATGTTCCTATATCTAGTAACCTTCTGCTGGTATTCATAGTATTAAATTAAACTATAGAACGCTAAATAAAAGCTACATTACGGATTAAAATATGTAAATTAGGATATTTCTAAATTAAAGTTTATTTATTAACAAAGTGTATAGGCATTAGGCACAAAAGAAAAATAAAAAATATGTAGGTAGATTTTTCAATATCATAAAAAATATTTTCATAAAAAATGTACTTAACATAATATTTTTATTCAGACCTTATCAACAGCACTAAACCTTCTCCCTTCTTCTGGTATTTGTTGCTGAATGTCAGGAGATGAAAATATAGGCTCCAAGTACATCCACGTCGCTTGCACTTTCAGCCACTCATCCAATATCTCTTGCAGCAAAATTAGCTTGCTCTCCCAATCTCTGTACAAAATTGTGTATTTATTATAAATAGTGCTCTCCTGGAATTGTAGTGACGGTGTCCGAGCTCACTCTGACATATTAATAAAATATGAACGCAGTATTGTATGAGTAATTATTTTTATATAGGCCAACCTCCTTGTATATTTATATACTATTTTGTTTATTAAGAATAAATTACTACAGCTATCATCGTTTTTACGCTCGGTCCTTTTATTTATACTTTTCCCTATTTTATACTAGTTTTCAACACATATACGCGGGAGATATGTTTTATAGCGCAGTAAGACTATACACAACACGCAAATAAGGATACACTCATTATTCCCTCACTCTCATAGTTTAGTAGATCTTATTCATAAATCCTGTAAAATAAACACTTACAGTATAATTTCCTCAAACGGCTTAATGTACGGCGAATTTTTCATCGTCTGTGTTTTGACAATGTGATCATCCAACAATAGCTGAATTTCATCGACACTTGATAGAATATACGTTCCGGTATCCCTAAAAAGATTTATGTTTTAACTATTTCTTTACTTCTTAGAAGAAACAAAAAAAAGAAGTTTTAACTTATAAAGTAAAGTATATACTTAAATAATCCTTGAATTGTTATTAATATCATATGAAAAAGTACCAAATAAATACCAAAAGGATTCAAAAATATCGGACACAAAACTTTTTTTTTTACAAAAACTAACTTGTAAGGCAAAATCTCGAATCGCAATTCGGCCCATTCTTTGATCATCTTGTCCAAAGCCTTTTCAAGATTATTTTCCTTAGTGGCTGCTTCTGATATATTTTCGAACTTTTCAATATAATCAACCAAGTTGAAATCTATGACTTTTTCTAAGGACAATTCGTCATCTACAACGATCGGAAACCCGACAATTTCGGAAACTTTCTCCCAGTGCCTTGGTTTCATACCGGGGTTACCCAACGTTTGTATTATAGGCATGTGCGTTTTAAAATCTTCCATTTTTGACCTAAAACCAACATAACCTTGAGAACAAACATGTACAAACGAAGATACATATATTATAAAAAAAATCATATTAACATTTAACGCACCTAACAGACTGAGCAAGTTGGAATGTATCGGGCACGTCTTGGAACGACTTCTCTAGTTTGTATACAATCTTATAGTAGTAACTGACGTCACCTTCTATGTCCTCAGGATCGAAACTACCAACCTAATTAATTGTTATTAATAAAAACAAAATTGAAATGTATTGACATTTTTTTATTTTCTTATTAGAACCTTTGGGATTTAAATAATTTTAAGAACAACTTTCACTAGCCTTGCGCTTGATGTGAAAGTAAACCTACTCGTATAAAAAGCAAGAAAGTTCACGTTAAAAAAATATCCTTTATAAAATTCAATAAAAAGCAGTACAAATACACCGATAAACAAACGAGTTCTTTAAAATATTTACCTTTGACGTCATCCAAGTGTTATACTTATCGAGAAAATCATATCCAGCGTCATATAACTTTTTGAATGGAACAAGCCTATCGTAGACGGCTTTCCTCTTGGGGTACTGCGATAATTCCCACCCGAAGGCGGTTTCCTCTTCGTTGAATTGATCAATTTTCAGTAAAGCGTTAGCGAGTCTGGCGAAGTTGGATTGATTTCAGTAAAGTATGCTAATTAGAAAAGCAATGCAAAGTACATTTCGATAAGCTTACTTTTCGTCGAGGCGGCGCGCTCTCGTCACATACTTAGAAAGTTCGTTGATATCACCCCAATACTGAAGCTCATTACATTGAGTTTCATAAATATCAAGATCTTCGATGAATTTGGCGATTCGCACCTAAAAGTCATAATTTTTTTTAAATAATACGTGAGGTACGTACCTAGTGCAAGCACATTACAGTACCAACTTGGGCTACTATTCTTATTTAAAATATACCATCCCTTTTCATCATTTCGTTGAATCAATGTCATTATGTCATTGTATCAGATCAGTCTAGGCGTTGATGAACCATTTAAGATAGGCAAGTTTATTTATACAGAGTTTTTGTATTAATTTTGCTCTGCAGTTAGCTATCTCTATTCTGAATCTAACTAAAAATCGGTTTAGCCATTTCAGGGTGAAGAAGTATTAAACACACTAACGAACTCACTCCCTCATTCACTCACATATTCACAAATTTTCGTGTTTTTAATCTATATGTACTTAATATTATAAAGAGACAGAGTTTGTTCGTTTGTTTGAACGCGCTAATCTCAGAAATTTACTTATCCGATTTGAAAAAGTCTTTTTGCATTAGATAGCCCGTTTATTGAGGAAGGCTATATTATATCATCCCGGAAAATGTACGGTTCCCGTGGGATAGATTTGTTTTCGTCTAGGGACGAACCCGAAGCGAAACGAGGGTGAGTCGCTAGTATTACGTAGTTTTATAATGAGAAAATAACTTACTTGTAATAGTTCTTGATATTCAACTTTCTTTTGGTCACAAATCACTTTGCATTCTTCAATGACGCCGGGCATGCGCGCGTACCTGAATTATTTGTGTAAATTTGACTTTTTAGTTTATCTTGTGTCTCATGTCTGGTGCAGTAGCAGTATTCATAGTGAGAAGATATCGCACATTTTTCGCAGCCTAATGCAATATATTTTACTTTATGCTCGCGTCCGTTTTATATCTATTCCGTAAGTAAGTTTTGTATGTATCTTGAAACATATATTTAATTTAAGATCTTTGAAAATATAGAATAAAAACTCAGGAATATATTCACAATTTAAGTCAACTATTATAAAACAGTAATGAGTGTATTCAATCGATGTTCGAACGGAGGACATCCTCCGTTGTTAACAAGGGAGCTGGCTAATTTTGTAAAAATCTTGTAAATTTAATAAGTGTATAGTTTATGGATTATTTTAGTATTAGTATTATTATAATTAATATGAAATAAATCACATATATAATTACTTAATTATATACACTAAGCCAATAAATAATATAATGTTTAGGGAAAACTACAAATTTATTACTAGCTACTAGCTACCATAGTGTATATTTGACACATCCAACCGTGCAAATGTATTAACGGTTTCATTAACTTCAAATGAGCACTTAAACATTGCTTGGTATAGAGATGAATCGAAGCAGAAAATCAAGTAATACATGACATAGGCGCTTGCGGAGTGATTTCGCAATTGGCAAAAGCTAAAATATTATACTCTGTTGCAGGTTTGATCCCCGCGTATAACAAATATATTTATCGACCGTGAATGCATCCGTGAATTGAGACTTTTATGTTTCCAGATTCCCGATTTTTGTATACAAGTATATACTAGTTAGCCGAAGTACTTAATAGACTGAGATAAAAAATGCATTTGCCAATATTTTCAAGTCGATTCTTTAGTCTTTACTCTTTACCTGCTGCTACTAATGGCCGCACTCTCCATTTTTTAACCGACAAAAAAGGAGGTGGTTTTCAATTCGACTCTTATATATTTTTTTGTTTGACCACGCATAAATTTTTACAGTGTAATCCGATTTCGATGATTCTCAAAGTTGGTCCCATTTAAATTTGAAAAAAAATATTCACCCCTAAGTGTAGAAAATAGGGGATGATTGATTTTTCATCGACTGAGTTTTTAAAATACTTTCTTCTTACTTTTTGCTACTACTACATATGTCTACACTATAAATGGAAAAATAAGAACTTAAAAAATAAAATAAAAATGAAAACCGACTTCAAAAAAAAGTTAAAAAATAACTGATTGGCAGTTTTCATTTACTATAGATACCTAATCAGATACTTTCGAAGTTGGTGTGTTTTGATTTGTATCGGCTGGCACTGTCTATATCTATAGTAAATGAAAACTACCACTCAGTTATTTTTTATTGTATTCGTTACTTTAGTGTTTTTTTTTAATTTGTTTTTTTTTAGTTTTATTACATCATAGATTCTATGGAATTACTACTATTACTACTAACTTACCAATGAAAAGACTGATTGTTAGCCTTCATCTCGAGCGGCGTGAACACTGTATGGTCACTCAAGTAGATGATGTATTTCATAACATTCCGCAGCTTTTCCTCCATCTCGTCCAGCAACACTGTCTCTACCTTCTTGCAGTAGTCCAGTAGTTTCATTAACGCGGCCGTGTCTTGTGGCGGGGTCAGCAGTGTGTTGGCTATTGTTGAATATTCTTCGTATATGCTGCATTAAACAATGTTATTTAGTGACTAAGCACCACAAATAACAGTACTTTCAACTAATTATTCTTATATAGGGTAGAACCCGGACTGACGATACCCAACCCGGACGGACCATATCCTGGCTTAAGCAATGTCAGAAACTTTATATTCATTAAAAATGTCTGTTAGGTCACTGTCAGCGTAAATTACTAATATTTTTTTGCGATTTTTAGGCGATATAAAATGTCACAATTACTTATTTCCGATTTTTAATTCAAAAGGGGCATTTCGTATAATTGTATTATAATTAATAACTTGCGATTTACCCTCGTTTCGGTAGGGTGCAGCCCTAAGAGTCTTTTTGCTGTACATTTCATTGCTTTATTTCAAATCGTTTACGCAGCGCACTCCGACTAAGCAATTCAACAACCAGCTCTTTTCCGATTTCAATTAAACTTACTCATTTGTATCGGAACAAAAGGTATCACCTATCTATACATATAATAAAACTGCAGTAAAAAAGTAACTTAGCGAAATCTGTAGGTACATGAAATATTTTATAAAATAATGACTGTAATGTATTGTGTACAGATTATAGACGCCAAAACATAATTATGTTTTTTTTTTGTTTTTCTTTTCGTCTGCATGTCTGTTTGTGTGTGCGCGTCTCACGCAAAAAGTACTGAACCGATTTTGTGGAGTGATAACTTATTACTCAAGTCAACATTAAGTAGGTACACCTTTTACTACAGGAAAATGTTTAGTTTTCACGGGAAAACAATTATTGGTTCGAGACATCCTTAAAAATGACATGGCTAACGCTGGCTAAACATGTTAGGATTAAGGAGGTTTAACTTAAAATGGCCTATAAAAAGACCGCAATATCAAGCACGAGTCTATCTTCTAAGATACACTCGCAATAACTATTTATATCTAAGACGTACCTACCTAGGGACGCACCCGAGTGAAGCGAGGGTAAGTCGCTAGTACATATTAATAGCGCTATGTAGCTCACAGCAGTAATGTAGCCTTTTAGTGAAAGAATTTTTGGAATCAAATTCATCAAATCAAATCAAATTATAGTATTCAAAAAGACTTTTACAAGCACTTTTGAATCGTCAATTTTACATTTTTATTTCATTTCGATTTAAATTAAATTAAATATCAGTATAGTCAGTCCGTGAGGAATCTACTACCGGCTCGGAGGGCAGTTCTAGAGCATCGTTACAGAGATTACCGTCTACATCCAAATTTACAAACATTACTTCTTTATAATATTCGTATAAAAAATAAATGCATTTTAATATACTAAGTAATTGTATTAAAAAACACAGATTTATATGATTTATAAATACTTACGCTTTTATCATGTTCTGGTAGTCCTCAGTCATTCTCCTCAATAGAGTGTTGGCGAGGCGCGTGGCGGCGCCTCGTAAGGAGTTTATCAGATCGCCCCTTTGCATACGAAACATACCGATAATAATGGTCCCCTCCAATTTAGAAGGTATCTCTTTGGCGACATTTACATATTTAACAGCTTCTTCGCAAAACTCCTCAAACGTTTTTTCCGGTACCGAATTTATGAAATTTTCGACTTGTGATTGCGACTGAAATATTATTTTTTATGTACTTGACAATTTCCTAATGAACGTCTTTTATCCTGTTACGAGTAGCTTAATGAAGGCTTTTATGTATGCGTAAGGTCTTGATAACACAAACAGATTACCAAAGGTAGGTACAATATAAAAGGCTGATTAATGAAAAAAACTTGTACTAGGTACTAAACATTTACAAGTTTAGACATAAAAGTTAATATTATCTAATTATAGATTTTTAAAAACCTTCAAACGAAGAATATGTTAGACATTCTAAACATATTATATAATACTAGCGACTCACCCTCGCTCCGCTCGGGTTCGTCCCTGGGGTGGGCTCTGAGTGGACCACCCTTATCTTTATCACTCAGGGGTATGGAAAATAGATAGTAGCCGATTCTCAGACCTACTGAATACGCATATAAAATTTGGTAAAAATCGGTTAAACCGTTTCGGAGGAGTACGGTAACTAACATTGTGACATGGAAATTTTATATATTAGATAAAAAAATCTTGTGTCACGGTGTTTGTGGTCGCAATCCTCCGAAACGGTTCGGCCGATTTTAATATTTTTTTTGTATAGGTACATATTTACTAGGTATGAGAATAGGTACGTCGTAAAATATTTTTCACTCTCCTATTTTTTAATAGCGACATTAGTATTTTTGTATGAATATTGTTATTTAAATACATAGCGATGAACCTAAGCGAAGCGAGGGTGAGTCGCTGTGTATTATATAAATACATAGCTATATAACAAAAAGCCAAAGTGTTTTTTTTGTGTAGATAGATTGAACGCGGGTGGAGCCACGGGTTCTGCTAGTAATGATATTATAAATAAAACGACAATCACATAATGTAATTGGCAGGTTTAACTCCTACTCGGGTAATATTTTTGATATTTTTTGACAATAATTGGTCGTGTATCTACTGACTGCCTACAAACAGTAACATATAGAGCATCAGGTTCCTTAGTTTATTTTTGTTTTTTTCTTAAATATGATTTGAAACCGAAAATATTCAAAACGAAAATTCACATCAATAGTTTGAAAAACTACTACTCACGTCACCATTTAAAAGGCACACATAATTATCAAAGTCCTGCACTCTCAGCTCCGGGCCAATTCTTTGGTCATTTATCATGTCCGCCACTTTCTTTTTGTAATCTTCAACTAGGTCATTATCAATTATTGGCTAAAAGTAGAAATAAAAAAAAGAAATGAGGTTTATGAGTATTTTTTTTATTTATATAATATTTTTTACGCTTCTAATTTGATGAAAGCGATATAAAAAATCTAAGTAAGATTATAAAATATTTACAGAGCAAAAGTGACATATTGCCTTTAATTTAAATACGTTATATTGAATTATAATCGGTCGAAGGCCAGTTACATCCGCAGAAGTAGTTTCATTGCGAAGAGAATATCAAATCATACCCTGAGTGTAACTCTACTTGTGATAACATAATCTTGATACAGCAAAGTCTCCAAACGCGGAGATTGTCTGCATGCGTCTATGATGAAATCATACAGAAGACAGAGCTGGTCCCGGAATTGTTTAAACGTCGGCTCGAAGCCGATGGCGTCGTCTTTAAATGCCAGGTTAATCACGAAGCCTTGATTCATATCCTACGAACAATACGATTTCGTTTTTTTTTTAGAATATAAGTGAAAACGGTTTATCTTTTTGTAACTTATATTCGAGTGATGAATAATAATGGCTATGCATTACATTAAGAAAAAAATTCACATTACACATTAGTTACTTCATTAGTCCACTATTAATATAAAACTTTTGTAATGAATTTCTGATCACTCAGACTTCTAATTCAAAGAGATAAAGTTAACCTCTAGTTTAAAAGGGGTGACAATTTTAAACGTCAAAACCTTAAAGGGGTGAGAAGAGAGGAGTTTGTAGGAAGAACACTAATTTCTAATCTTCAATTAAAAAATATATAACGCGATCAAACCGACGCAGGCAGTCTATACGAATCCCTCCACGACCGCGGACACACCGGCGTTACAGTTAACAATAGATTTCTTAGAAATTTAATTAATTTCTTAGAAATTTACCTGATAGTGGTAAGCAGCTTTTTCTGTGTGTCCACAGTTGGTGGTATGCGGGACAGGGATAAAAGCTATTCCCCCCAACGTGCGTTCACCTTGTCGTGGTGGGGGGGCTCAGTAGTGTACTCGCGAAGCCAAGAAACGCACAGGGAGGTGGCCCGCTTCGGTGGGCGGTGGGAGGCGGCCTTCTTCGGAGGGTGGTGTACCATGCGGGTTGCTCCTGGTACTTCTCTGATAGCAGAGTGGACCGTGGAGCAACCCCATGGTTGTTGTGGTCTGCTTCGGCAGACCTGCCGTCAGGGCGTCGTAGTTGAATGCGTAAGCGATCCTGCGACGCCCCATTAAGACGGGGGAAGGTTTTGTTGGGTTTTAGTGGGTAGTACTGGCTTCGCCGGTGAGTCCCACACTTCGTGCGTAAATGCATTTCCCAACGTTAAAAAAAAAAAAAAAGGGATAAAAGCTATTAGATAAAAAATAAATAGTTGCATAAATCGTAGTCAAAAGTAATATATATTACAATTACCCCAACATCCAATATATACTCGGTGAAATCCTGCATGGACTTCAAGCACAGCGTCTGCAGGTTGTACGTCATGATGCAAGCCAGGCAGTTGTAGAAGCGCTTCATACGGGACACTTGCTTTGGGTCCGGTATTTGCTTCTTTTTATTACCCTTAATTACAAACAATAACTCCTTTAATTTAAAAGTGCACTGACGACAAAATCAATAAGTGAAATGTATACCTACAAAGTAACGTGGTTTATTGAAAGAATAAACATGAAAATCTGAACACAAGTGAAGGCCATATACTGTCGAATTGAGTAGGTAGCTCCTTTTTTGAAATTGGAAAAAAAACAACCGTTGATAAATTATCACTTTCTTTAGTCTAAGGTTTTTTAATTTTTAGTGATTGATTTTGTAAATATCATTTTATATGAAAATTTAAGAAAATTATTTATTAGGTATTTATTCTTATTATCACAACGGTAATGCTTAAAATATTTTTTATCTATCTACAACTTACTTCGTTGAGCCTCTCTTAAGTACATATTATAGAGTATAGTTATGATTTGTCATGTATAACATATAATTCTATTTTAACGGTATCTGCGCACTCTCTAACTACCCACTCCAGGTTATCCTGTATCGGAAAATTACGAATGTATACATTATATATCATTTAGACATTCCGCATATTGTGTTAAATGTACGCCAATATCAAATAAAAACGTGTTCCATGTTGGACTCAAACTCGGACCCATAGAAATTATTCGTCATATGCAGTCTCACAACTACGGCAGACAGTCCTCAAAAGGATCAAATCATAGATAGGTATAGTACAATTGTTTACAAAACTAGATTAAATTGCTACTTAATAGTTATGTGGGTGGATCAATGCTATTATGCAGAACGGAATAAAGAATGCCGACTTACTGATGCGTGTAAATAATAGGACTGTACTATATACAAAATAACAAATTGTAGTCATTGATTTACGTAAGCAATTTTGCAAGAATTGAAAATACAATATGAAACTTTATGCTATTTTCGTCATAGTCAATAGTGGATCATACGAAAAGTTACTTCAAAGAATAATTATGTTTCAAGTTTGATACTGGTACCCAATTCTTTTCTTGACATAACTTACCCAATACAATTATAGAACCTTTCGATCAATAATACTATGTTGATCGGAGATAGAACCCATTACTTGCTACACAATTATAATCATTCCAGACGAAATATTTTTAGAATAAATCCTAAGCTAAAAGGAGTATAAGGTTTTGAGGATTATGAGTATCTAGAAATTTCATGTTAAATTTTTTCGCTCTCTAATTTTAATGTTGACAAAACGAAACGAACTTGTAACAGATCGACATTCACTTACATGAGTACACGCGTGACTATTGTGCTGAAAATGAGTGCTGAAATATCGAAAGTAATTGAAAAACATGGTATATTTACCCGTTTGACATCAAAGGTGATCAGTGACCACAAAATCTTATAAGCATATATCATCATAATTGACAAATTCAATCTTATAAAAATACAAAGATTAATTAATGATTTAATGTGAGGATGAAAAGTTCATTAAACGTATACAGTTTAGATACGAGACCTGCAGAAACACAGCTTGTATGGTGGGCAGCCACTGCAGCGTGAGCACGTTGCCGGCGGCCTCGATGTGGCGCTTGCACACGAAGCAGAAGTCCTGCAGCTCGTACGCCTCGTGCGTCATCATTATGTCCTTCATGCTGATTAGGCGCAGGTCGCTAATATGGTGTAATTGGAGGCAAGAAAACATTTTAACCCCAGCTTCGGATCAATTCAACATCTTTCAAAAATCTATTATTTTTTAAGGGAAACCCAAAATGTCTAAATTCAGTTTTAAACACCTCCAGATAAATTTCTAAGAAATTAATTAAAATTCTAAGAAATCTATTGTTAACTGACACGCCGGCGTGTCCGCGGTCGTGGAGGGATTAAAGTAAGACTTTAACGACTGTCTGGACCAGCATACATCATTATATAAAAAAGGTAGGTATAGAGCCTAGATATTAAAATTCTTCATGTATAGAACTCTAACCATTCTTATGTTTGTTGTATAATACTGTTATAGTAATATTCTCACTTGATGTACTGTACTTAACTAACGTCACGATGTAAACAAGCAGATGAAAATAAAAACGAAAGTAGTTACTCTCATTTCGAAACAAAAAAAACTCTTATAAACATACTTGTACTGTTTGCACCAGATCTGTAACACTTGTGCTATACAAGGGTTGACAATGTGAAGATTTTTGTTCAGATATTTCTTAGCGACGGCATAACGATTTCTCCACGCGTCGTCTTTCATAGCCAGTTCACGTTTCAATGGCGTATCTTCTTCTTCCAAAGATTCTTCCTAGAATACCAGTAGATACACCTTAGAAATCATACTAATTTGGTCATTTAATCTCTTCACAATAATAATCAGACAGATATTTGATTCAATTTTGATACAGAGTATATGCATAAAAAAACACGGAGCTTATGATATAAAAAAAATGTGTGCAGTGCTTTTCAACTTTTCCATACAAAATAAGGTAATTGTTGTACACATTAGGTGCTTATGCTTACAGATATATTTGTATAGGCATATTTTGCCTATAATAACTGATTTTTTTCGGACTGTCTAAATGAAGCAAATTTTTGATATCTTAAGTACCCACTATAATTACAAGATTTAACGGGTAATAAAGCCTTATTTAAAACATTATAAGAGTAGGTATACTCGTAATATGAATAAATATTCACAATTAAAATTTGGATTACAAAAACTTGTTGAAATTTTACTAATGACCGTATATTTCATATATTTTAGGTTTTTTTTCATCTTTATTTACTCGTATTATCTTTAGTTTAAAAAAATAAATAAATATATTTTAACCGTATTAGGATCCTTAAGAACAAAATCCACGATAGCTTTCTTCATGCTCATCATAAAGTCCTCACGCATTTCATCCGTGCTCGTGAGCAAGCAATCGCGCCACTTCTTCAGTTTTGGTGATATTAAATTGTGAACTCTGCAAAACGAAGTTATAATAAAATTTAACTAGGTAGGTGTCCCATGTAAAAATTCCTTTAATGACCATATAATATTATGAAAACTTAAAATATCTTACCGCAAGATCATTTTATTATCCAACGGTGCCACATGTATTGTATCGATGCCATAACGCAAATAATAGTAATATCTTAACATGTTTTTTTCCTCTCCCGAAGGAATCATGTCACCGTCCTCACCAGGAGCAGATTTACAAATAAGATTCATCAATTTGGCTCTAAAATCTTCTCGTGCTTTTCTCATTGCCGTGAAACTTTGCATCACTGAAATAATGAAGTCGGAGTCGAATATATAAATATGAAAATTATATACTTTTCTATACATATAAACAATTACATTACATAATTTTTAATCTCATTTCGATCTCTTCTATCTGTCTATAACGGCTTTGGATAAAACGCAATTTCTATATTCCGAATTCAAATTTTCCATAAATACCGCCAAATTACTTGGGTAGTTATTTGAAATCAATAGACTATACTCGGCTTTTTTTAATCATTTACTTGCATCTCAGACATATTTGATACTAAGCCAACATATTCTGGACTTTGAAATCTGAATACTATTATAAAATATTTAAAGTACTTTTTTAGTTCACAGTCTTACTCCACTAGTAGGTAATTAGGTATACCTATATAATAACAAAATATGATTATATAATTATTTTTTTTATACATACCACTAGATTTTCTTCTTGGAACTGATCGACTAGCTTGTGATTTGGAAGTTTTCTTAATGGGAGGAGGAAGTTTTAAAATCTCCTCTGGAAGAGAAAATAATGGTTGGGTCCGGATTTTAAAATCCTCTGGCATTTTAATTTTTGGTATCTTAGGTAATTTAACATCAGATGGGCCTGGCTGTTCTTTCTTTCGTGTTGGTTTACTTCGTTGCATCTTAATACCTTAGCTCTCTGTCAATAAATGTTTAATAAAAATAGTTATCAATATGATAAGGTATGCAATCTATTATGTTTGTGAAACTTATAATTTATTTTCACTTATTTAATTATTGAAAATAATGATTCAAGTTTTTGTACTATCCAGCTTTGTCTGTGACGTTTTCAATTTTCACTATTCAGTCTGTAGTCTGTACTCCATAGAGTATATTGCTACATATATAAACTGTACTCTGTATTGTCATTGTCGTAATGACAGATTTAAAGTTTTAAATTTAAGAATAATTAATAAATATGTACTCAAATTGTTATTAAGTTAAAACGTGTATTTTAATAAACATTAAACTATATTAGAGGTATTTTTATATAAAATCCAATTCAGTTTTAACATATATTCATATACTTGTCAATTCTACTGCTTCAAAGTTATTGATCTACTAACCTCCAAAGGTAATAAGTGCTCTCATCAGTTCCTAAAGTTACACAATCTTAGTTTTTTTTATTTTATCTAATATTTTATAAGATATTTAATATGAATTGTACTGACTATGACACCTAACAACGAATTAAACATTTTATTGTTTTCTCCATGGCAACTTACTTTTTTTTAAAACCGATCTAATCGAAATATAATATTGCAGATCTGGTATATTAATACTCTTTATTTTATTAAATACAGCTATTGGTACGCAGTAATTGACATATTGACGTGTTATTAAAATAATATACATACATATATGAGGATAAAATATTTTGAGAGTAGATGAAGCAGAAAATTAAATATTCAATGGTAAATGTTGACATCTTGCTAAGCATCAAAATACTACGTATATAATAGTACTATGTATATAATAGTCGTGTTGTGTTGGTTTGCCCTTGGATAGATTTAACTGCATGATGGTGATGTCATGTAGGCCAAAGCTCATTTGATGTGTTATACAAATAACATACACTACTTATAATCATTTTTATTTTGTTTAGATTGTTGAAATATATAAAAGTCAAAAGTTACCTGTAACCTCATCATATTGTCAATATCAACTATATTGGAACATATGTAAATATTTTCATTGATTAGACAAAGTAGCATTTAAAATTAAAATAGTACAGTAATTATTTTTTTCAGATGATATTTCAATTAGTAAGGAATTTCCATACTAGTCATTTTTGTCGAGCGGCAGAATCATCATTATTGGCAAAGCTTAGGAAAAAGACTGGGTACACAATTGCCAATTGTAAAAAAGCTCTTGAAATGCACAACAATGACTCAGATAAGGTAACCTTAGAATTATACAGAATTTATATTTGAATCTATATCTAGCTCAAATCAAATAGTTTGATATAAACATTGTGTAAATGATAAGAATTATTGTCTTGAATATTTGTAATTAATGATTTATGAAAAAAAAAATATTTCTGATTATTTCCTTTGAATATGAAATTATAAAAAATTATTTACTTTATGTAAATCATTTTTTATAATTTCATATTCAAAGTGCTCAGATTACTAGCCTATGTCATCTATCAGTCCTTCTCTCTGTCTATCCGACATATACTATCATTATAGACTAAATTTTTAAATCTAGTTGAAATTTTCACAGGAATTGTTTTTTTCTGGAATATATCAAAAATATAAAGAATTCAAAAATTTGATAAAAAAGATAGCATATTTGTACTTACTCTAAAGTAAAATAACAAAATATAATAAAAAGCAAACCCTAGTATACATAAGATTAATAAGATTGTTTTTTTAACTTTTAAGCTGAAACATTACAACTATATAATAAAAGCAATATACAGTAAATATCTTTATTACATCACACTTTTATAGGCTGAAGCATGGCTAAATGATCAAGCACAAGCCATGGGTTGGGCTAAAGCTACAAAATTAGCTGGACGCAAGGCACTTCAGGGTTTGGTGGCTGTGAAATTTGACAAGAATCATGGAGCTCTTGTAGAACTCAATTGTGAAACAGACTTTGTAGCCAAAAATGAAAAATTCCAGAAAATGCTTGAAGACGCTACATTAGCTTGTTATAAATTAGCCCACACTAATTTGAAATCTAAAGGACCTGTAACTAAGGTATGTATTGATATATAGGTTTTTTTTATAACAGTAATACATACAGCTTATTATGGTTAATATCAATTTCTATGTCTATTTCCAGCTGGAGTTGGACAGTGAGCAGCTGGGAAATTTATCAAGTGAAGGTGGTAAAAAGCTTTCTGAAATATTAGCACTTTTCATTGGGTCGGTTGGCGAAAATGCTGTTCTACGTCGAGCAGAATGTTGGAAAACAAATAACAATGATGTGAAGATAACTGCATATACTCACCCGGCTCCTCCAGTAGCCAGCGACTACTCGACCGGCAAATACGGCGCACTGCTAGCTTATAAACAACCCAATGATATGGAAGATATAGGAAAACAAATCTGCCAACATATTGTTGGGTGTGCTCCACAGAGAATTGGTGTCAAGCAAAAAGATAAACCAGCAGAAAATTCTGATGATGAAACTTGCCTTATATACCAAGAGTATCTGCTAGACCCCTCATTTACGGTAGAAGAGGTGCTGGAAAAGAATAAAGTTGAAGTTATAGATTACATCAGATTCTCATGCGGTGAAGTAGCCGAAGAAAATATGCCCGGAGTTGAGAAGCAACCACTAGACACAGTTCAGACTCTGCAGTAATGAAAGTGTTGGTAATTTAGATGCATAGCATTTTATTTATAAATAATAAATGTAATTTTGTTTTTAATATCTTGTTTTATTTAATATTAAAATTTCTCATAAATTTCTAAACAGTCACTACTTTGCAGGGGCCTCTGTAATTGTTTTCTTTGATTTTCCTTTCCACAAAAACATTCTACAATCTTTCTTCCAAAACATAGCTATTTGACACGGTTCGAAATTATAGCCGTGATAATTTAATACATCGGGTGCCACAACGTGAAGAGCAAGAGTGTTCTTTTCTCTAGTTCTGAAGGGTCCCACCGCAGCCGCGCGCAGCAGGCAGCCGCAAGGGCAAACAGCGGCCAAGGGTGGTACTAACGCTACATTCGAGCGGCTACTCAGATGCACTCGTTGGAAGTTGTTGCAAAATCGAAGCTCCTCAATAGCCCCGGTAAATGATTGCGTTGAACGTAAAGCAAGAGGTCTGGCGTTTTGATTTTCGGGATTATTACGAAAGCCAACTGTCGATACCGACTTTTTTGTGACATTGTGTTCTTCTATTGGATTTTCGTCTTGTACACTATTCATATCCTCATCAGTATACATTGTAATTTCAAAAATAATTTAATCTTATAAATAAATTCTAATCATAAAATTGAATAATATTGATACATGATAGTTAAAATGACAATTTTAACATTCCGTCATTAGTATATTTTTATTTTAAAACCTCTGTCAATTATATTATGTTTAACTCTTAGGCCGACCGCAAAAATAAGTTTTTTTCTGCCAGAAAATTAAAAAACCCAACTGCACAAAAGCGAACTAAAAAGATGAAAACTAGTTGACTCATCCTTGCCGCAAGCTGTTTGAACACAAGTAAGTCTCCGACTGCATAATACTTTATTCCTTCATCAACTAGTTTTCGTCGGCTGTTTTATTCGTTTTGGTCGGGTTTTCTTATTTTTATAATATATTTTTTTCCTACTCTTTATAAACCCAAGAATATTCTAACTATGCTGCCAGCCGCAAACTAAACTCAGACTCGCTGGAGCGAAGTTTCTGATAGATGTGCGTCATGGTACCGGCGGGCGTCAGAAATTTTCTGGCAGAAAAAATCTTATAATATGCGGCCGGGCTTAGTCCTGTATAAATCATTTATTCTTTACGGTGCAAATGGAACATACAAAGGAAGTACTTACCATAAATATTAAAAATGTCAAGTTTCATTCAAAGGAAACATTCGTTTATTTTAAAAGTAATATAATATACTGATTATTCTTAAAAAAGTTTACCTGATCCGTCACTATTTAATAAAACTGATTGATTCTCACCACAGAACCTTTATGGTAAGAATAAAATCTCTCGAATAAACATTGTATCTTACCTACTACTACAGAAAGCCAAGAAATCTTACAATCCATAGGTACATGTATATGTATCTATTATCATAAACATATATACTTATGCATTTTTCTAGTCTACTTTTTTATATATTGTGATATATATACTCTATTATTTACACCCCTTCCCTCTTGCAGTTTGCTATAGCTCCTACACCTAAAGATTGCCTGGAAGAGATCGCTGTTTTAGCGATAAGGCCGCCTCTTGTACATTCCTATTCTGTGTTTATTTATTTTTCTTTTATTCTTGGTGTACAATAAAGAGTTTATTATTATTACATACCTACCATATGTACGCATGTGCGTGCTAGTCTCGAAAACTACTGATTGAATTTGAATGCCGTTGTTGCTGTTATTATTTGCATTTTTCTTAAAAGGTTTTAGTTTATTAAAATTTGCAGTAGCATTTGTAGAAACGACATCGACGGTATTAGTGGGTTGCTATAACAACATGCGCTACTTAAACGATGTTCTATAAAAAATAAGCCATACAATATATCTTAATATATATTCTTCTGTACGTGTGTTATTCACCTAACTCCTCCTAAACGGCTGGATCGATTTAGTTGAAATTTTGTGTGTATATTTCAATGGGTTCCTGGATTGGTTTGAAAGTACAAAATATGAACCCAGTAGATGGCGCTGCAGTCGGTGTGCCACTGATCATCTAAACGGCAGGGACGATTTTAATGATATTTTTTGTGTATGTTCGGGTGGGTTCCAGCAAGGGTTGAATTCACAAATTGATTCGGTAGGAGATGCTGCAGTCGGTGTGTCTCTAAATTTTCATAAGACTCCATTTTCCGAGCAATAAATAATACGCGGGCGAGGCCGCGGGTACCTACTGGTAGTCTCTTATATTTTAACACTTATTGTAACTTTGATTTTTCTAAACGTATTATTTGCCTAAATAAAATTTATATTTGACTATTTGAAATATAAAATATTACCTATTCTTATAGGTATATAAAAAGAAAATATTTCATCACAAATAGGTATGTAATAGGGGTAAAATTTTACTTTTACAGTATATTTCCTTTGGTCATATTAATATAGTTTAGTAGGTAGGTATAGTATATAATAAAAAATGAAAATAAATTACGACATGCGCGCAAAGGTGTCGCTATAAAAACTAATCTGGTGTTTTCCTGAACTCAACAGCCTTGAATTTTCAAACATAATAAATACTGTACAATACATGTTTCCTAATCTAATCGTGTCACCGCAATCGGAATTGCGACCAGTTATTGTATTGCGAACAATGGGGCTTTAAATCTAATACGTCGTGTCGTATCGAATGATGACTTACTACAAGCTTACTGAAGCACATCAAATCACTTCGTAATATACCTACGGTATAAAACATATAAGTTAAAACGGTATTAACGATTAACTTATAATTCAGACTTATAGAACAATAATTTATTTATCCTATAAAAAATATGGAGGTGCTTATTAATACCTATGTTGCATTTTTGTATGTATTATAGCAAACGCTGTGTATTTATATCACATTTTCAATGAAACTTTCAAGAATCAAGCTATCTTCGGCGAAACTAGCAGGGCCATTCCGCAATTATCAGATAGCGGTAATTATTACTATGATCTATGAAGTACTTACACAAGTATTTACTTTATGTTACTATCAAACGAGTAAACAGTCCAAATATAAACCATAAGTAACGCATAGAATTTCATTTAATTGCAATTAAATTAAATCGTTTGCATGATACACGCAGAGCGTAAAAAATAAGCTTATGAAACAACATAACGTGCCTCTCGACATTGGTCATTATAGTCTAACGCCGCGTATCTAACGAACGAAAGTGTTGTATACACGGTGGACACAAAGCGGGCGTCGGACCGTGGTTCCTGAACCAGATGTATCATCCTGCGAATTTTTCCAGCTTCTACTCAGTCAACAGGAGTAACCGACTGCCTACAACATCGACCGCTACCAACAGTGCTACATAATTACCAAAAACTTTCTAAGTTCAAGCAAGTGTAAAAAATTCAAGAACACTTTAATGGACATAATATTTCAGGTGCATATAACAATATTATTTAATTTTAGGCTAATTCATTAAGGTTCATTATAAGGGTGCTAAATAAATGTTTATGTAATAGTATGTATATTAGGAATTACTTATTTAGAAAATAAAGAAGAGAAAAGTTATCAAATTTCCTTTTATCTATCAAAGTTAATTAAGCTTTTAATGCAGATGAAATCACGATATTGTGTTCGTCGCGCCGTAGCTATCAATCGACCACACGCCATTCGGACTTTCGCGAAGAATAATTTGTTCTTGCGTTTGTTAAAATGTGCGTTGTTCAGTTAGCGTGAAAAAAATTTTCTTTTCTCGTACATCGGTCAGCGACTAGTCCGTACGTAGTAGTTAGTCGGAGGAGTGTGCATCGACGTCACGGTTGTCTTAGTCAGTGCTTTCTTAAGAGGCTACTGGGCTGCGGCTGGTGGGAGTGCGCGACCCGTGGTGATGAGATCAGTACGCCTCTGACCACGGCAGACCACGGCCAAGAATATGCATATCCTGGAAATTGGCGCTGAACAAGTAATATTATTTGTTTGTGATTGATTGTTTGTGAATGAAAAAGTGATATAAATATTATATATATTTTAAAATTATTCAGTGTCTTTATGTGTGAATCTATAAAAAATATCTTGTTTTTATTTTACTAAATTTTTGTCATTGGTAAATTAATATATTGTGTATACCTGCATTCTATAGGTAACTAAAGTGTAGGTATAATTTGGAAAATTCAATAAAATCGCGTGTGCGGTCGCTCCCTCGCCTAATTCGATTTCATTGTGATAGCTTTAGTTCATTTTAGTTTTAACCCGGTCCGGGTAAGAGATTAATGAATTTTATTTCATATAGATACTTTTAATATATTGAATTATATATAATTTAAATGTAAAGCTAATATATTATGTACGTATATAGCATTACCTGAAAAAACTTACTGTACGAACTTGGTTAAGTAAAACTTTACTAAGTTACATAAATAAGTTCAAATAAACCCTATATACCTTTAAAGAATATTGAATATTGTAAAAATTTCATGAGAGTGATAAATCACTTGAGGGTATTTATAAATTGTTTTGAAACAATCGACTTATTTATACAGTACTTTTCTATCATGACACCATGATATATGTTTTTTAAAAGAATGGTGATTTATAGTGTGCATGATGTGACACAGGAAGAAGAGGGCGGACAGGCGCGAACGGTACCTCCTGAGGCCGCCTTCCGCACCGTTCCTCGAGACTACACCACTTTTCTTATATGGAGAGTCACGGTAAGCTTTTTGTCTACTATTGAACTAATGTTAATTATTATTATTATTCTCAGTTATAACTAATTCACGTAGGTACAGATATATATGCTATAATTATTCTATATACAGAAATTTATAGATAGAATAGAAAATTACGATAGTATTCAAATCTTATCTACAAAAAAAAATAAACTTATTTTTTCTACTGCAGCAAATAATTTATAATTTATTTACCTACTTTTTATTTTGAGTAGGTAAGCATCGAGAATAAATATTTTTTTACTCAATCTATCTATGTAACGGAAATGATATCGAGCACCCCACCTTTTTTTATTATAACATTTAATTTTCTCATTAATTCTTACACTAAAAAATATTTTTTATTTTTTAGTTCGGTTAATCATTAAAGCGTGGGTTTTGGTTTTTTTTTAACTATAATTTATTATTTACTAGTAGATAAGTCGTTATTATACTTTTCTTCTCTATCTACTCTCCTAACTATACTAAAATTTTGAAAGCCTATTCTATTCTAGCGACTCACCCTCGTCTGGGAGGTCCACCCTTATCCTTATCACTTAGGGGTATGGAAAATAGATAGTAGCCGATTCTCAGACCTACTGAATACGCTTATAAAATTTGGTAAAAATCGGTAAAGCCGTTTCGGAGGAGTACGGTAACTAACATTGTGACATGGAAATTTTATATATAAGATAATATATAGGCTACCCGCCAAATAAGATTTTTTCAATTCAACCTAAAGCCAAATATATATAGCTAATGTAAAAATTATGATTTAAATATAAATTATCCTTGACCATGATTGCTATGAAGCATTTGAAACGTCGTCGGGATCCAAAAACTAAAATAAATTAAAGAAAAATTCGCGTAAATGTAAGAAAGTATTTTATGATTAATTTATTTTTTTAAACATAAATAAGTTATTTCATAAACCATATTTTTCATTTACTCGTAGATAGGTATTTTGTAACAAAGTTTGATACAAACTAAACAAAGATATTTAAAAATATAAAAAAGAAGCGAGATAACAATGTAATGATAGTAAGATTATAAGATAAAATAATAAGTGAGCTTATTTTTCTTGTTAAATAGTGTAGAACTACGAGTGCTAACACACGATTCTATTACTTAAATTATTGGGTTTTTCTTAGCTGTATTACCTATAATTAATCTTCAACGGTGAAAACGTTTTTGTGGAGTGTTCGGTAAAGAATATCGGTTATAAGTAGGTTAAAGCAGCTTGCACGTTTCGTTTGTCTACACTTTAAAATATATGATAAATAAATTTGTTTACTAACAAAGTAGACCTACTTCTTGGACATCCCTAGTAAGACAATAGTTACATAGGTATTTGTTTATGTTATTACCAATTATTTCTAATAAATAATTATCTAAATATAAATTTTAAAAAAATTATGCGATGCACTCGTCTACTCGTCGTTACTGTCATTAAACGGCTTAAATTAACAATTCATGAAAACATATGAGAAAAAAGAACGTCATTCTGTGCACGATTTACAAATTACTACAGAGCAAAGGCACTATAGTGAACTATCACGCATGTGTTATATGAATCTTATTCATGTCGGGTCTGAACTTACTTTCACTGTATTTGACAATTTAATACAACTAAGCCGTAACTATCTATAATCTCAGACATTTTCTCATGGTTCGTTACCCATGTTTTCCGGAAGTTACAAATGAAAAATTGTCATAAAGACTATACTCTAAAAAAATACAAGAGTCCTAGGTAGACGATATAACTCCAGGAATTAGGTACATAGCTATAGTTTTCTCTTCTCGCTCACTTTTCATTGGGGATTGGACAAAGAAAATAGAGAATCCATCTTTATGAAATTATTTTCATAGAAAACATCATAATGTAACCCGTATGGAGATTGAACCCTTGACCTCCGGCGCACCATTTAGAGGAAACGTCACAACGACCATTTTTTTAATATTTATCAATTAAAGACCAAATAGGTCAATAATATTTATTACATAATATTTATTATATGGCGAACGATAGGGAGCAGTGGAGAAAGAGTAGGGAGGCCTTTGCCCTGCAGTGGGACACTATAGGCTTATAATAATAATAATTTATTATATAATATTTGATGTTTAAATTAACATTCAACCATGTCTAGATGTATCATCTGTTAACTTACCTATAGGAATGAACCGTAATTTGAGTTAGATATAATATTTATATGAAATAAAAAAAGCTGATGTGGCTTAACAAATTTTGAAATAAGTAGGTACTATTAGAAACTAAAAATATTTAATTTTCTTCATAGTTGATTATTGAAATTCATGATTGAGTTTTTGTGTATCAACTATCAATGTAATAGATACATTTTAGTAGGTACTAAGTAGGTACCTGGCTAGTAGGTAGTAGAAAGTCGGTAACAAATTAATTAATAAATAAAATAAATTAATAGATGAATTTATTTCATTTGTAATAAAAACTGCATGCCATTTCGGCACTGAGTTAGTTTTGTGAAAGGCTGACACAAAAATCTCATTTATTCTCACGACCAGATATTGTAATACACCTAACAATTGCGAATTAACGCTACTTGGCGACTTTGTCACAATATAATTAATAATAATACCTACTTTATAATACCTGTGTAATAAAAAGGATTTTTTCTTTGAGGTCATAGTTTTCTTTGATACAAATTAAGGTTGCAACATCAGTCGGCGCAGTAGGTACAAGTAAATATTATATATTTATAAAAAAAACTAACAAAAACAAATCTACATGCGGGATAAAAAGTAGCCTATTTGTTATTCCGATGTATGAACTATATTATTGTAAAGTTTCATTAAAATCCAATCAGTAGTTTTTGTGTACTAAGCTGTATAAGTTACTATAGTTTTTTGCTACTACTACTATCCCACGGGAACTCTTTAATTTTGCGAGATGAAAAGTATCTAAATTGTTGACCGGGGATATAAGGTAACACTACACAAAATTTCATTTAAATCGGTTAAACATTTTCGAAGATTAGCCCGTACAAATAGGCAAACAGACAGAGAAACAAAAAATTGAAAAAAATCTGGATTTGTTCTATTTCTCTTCTCACATGCCCCTGAATCGGTTTTTAGCATATTTTTTCTATGTAATTGTATAGATATTCGACATCTACAGTTTTATTATATGTATAGATTACAAAAATATATAAATACATAACAAAAAAATCCGTACTTAAATGTAACATAATGTTGATTGTGTGCGTGCGACGCATACTCCAAATTAAAGCTTTGCGATTTCTGAATGGCTTTCTGATATCCGAACGAAGAGCTTACTCAGTTGTCAATTAAGTTTTTAAGGTAAACTACAAAATAAAAAATGCTATGTAATAAAAATGTATAATTATAAGACAGATAAAATTAAAAATAATTTATGTATTATAAAATGAAATATCTGAATCTTTGCTTTGGTTTACTTTGGTTGTGAGTGGTCTCGTGGAAACAATCTGTTAGGCGAATAATAGGAAGAGAAAGGAAATTACTACGTCTTATCTCGAGGCATATCTAATCTGCCCACCTTCATATACCTACCTATTGTGCTATATAATTATTTTAAAATGTTATGGTAATTAATATTTATATTTACGTCATCTTTGTTTATCAAATTAGTAAACATACTAGTGACTCACTCTTGCTTCGCTCGTGTTCGTCCGCTAGCTTGCTTCCCAATACAAACTTTCATCCCCATTTTCACCTCCTTAAGGGGTGATTTCCGGGATAAAAAGTATTCTATGTCCTTCCCAGGGTCTCAAACTATCTTCTTACCAAATTTCATCGGAATCGGTTCATTAGATCCAGATATTACGCCCTACAACATCGCAAACTCACAATCTCACAAACTCACAAACTTTACCTCCTTATAAAATTAGTATAGATAATACTCATAATTATGTAAATAGAAACGTAGGTACCTACTTACATGAATTAATCTTTAAAGTACTAAAAAAAAAACTTCAGAAAACAAAGTGTATTTTGAATAACATTTATACAGTGATAGCCTTTATTAAAAACTAATTTACATTAGTTATCACATCTAGTGTAGGTATTATAAAAATAATAAAAAGTAATGTTGAATATAATTTCATATTAAGAGGATTGTGAACCTGTAAATTTTCATACAAAAAGCGATAACGTTTTTCCCCCCTTAAACATAGTCTAATTTTCATAATTTTTGGAAATGTTGTAGATATAATCAAAATCTAGGTCCGTACGTTTTTATTTTTTTGAAATATTGCGTACGACAGAAGTTATTAGCATCTAAATATCTATATTTTTGACCTAAAAACTTCCTCCAGCGTTTTTATTTGTTTAAATTAAACTAAACTGAATTACAAAAAAAGGAAAACGTACAGACCTAGATTAAGGTGTACTGAATCTAATGAGACCAAAATCGTCTCATTTCGTTAATGTTTAGGGGGGTGAAAACGTTATCGCCCGAAACAATATTTCAAAAAGGAAATGTAGGTAATTGAGTCTAAGACTTGCAACTCTCTCTATCGCACCATACGGGTCGGGGGCAGGGGCATATTTTAGACTGTAGTGATGTTGAAGGTGCTATCGATATTATTATCTCCTAGGGAGGAGAAGGTAATATCGATATATCGATCGATACTGAAAGGATTCAATCCAAAGTTTAGAATTTTATTATACTCGTATGTATAGATTGTAACTAAGCCGTATCTGTACATTAAATATTTTTTGGAAAATATTATTGAAATAAACATTATTATCGATACAGAGGCCGAATCTATAGTTTTTTGAATTTTTGTCTGTCTGTCTGTATGTCTGTCTGTCTGTTACCACGTCACAGAAAAACCACTGAAGGGATTTTGATGAAATTTGGTATGGTGGTAGCTGGTTATCCGGATCAACATATTATAGCATTACCGCGGGAAAATATCTCATTTCTGAGAAAAAATACTAAACTGAATATATATATATATACAGGGTCATTTTTAATTTACTGAAGACCTTTTGGGAATATACTATTTACATCATAACAACAACCTCTGTAACAAGAAAAAAAAATATTTCTTAAATTTTCATTTTCATACAAAAATAAAAATATTTTCTATATCATCATCATCATTATATCTGGCCAAGTTTGAATGAGTAAGGACCACTTCCTACACCCCTCCACCCCTCGCCCACCACCGGTCACGCGCTTTCTTTTGCTAATTTCTGGACTATTACCGTTTAGAAGGAGCAATAAAAATACTTTTATTTTTGTAAAATTTATATTTTTAATTTTATATTCGTTATAATTTATAATATTCGTTATAATTTTTTCGAAATTATCGATATTTTATTAGTTTTTGGAGTTAATTTTATTGATTTTTCTGAAAAAAATGATTTTAGGGCAATTACAGAAAGAAATGAAAATCATTCGTAATCTAATCTTGTTTATTCATTAGTTAAAAATATATTTAAAAAAATTAAGTTGATATATTTTATAAAATTTAGTCATAGATATGTTAAAAAATCGTAAATCATCATCATTCATGATCAGGTCATTTTATGAATTTCTATTCCTTATATACCTGCTAACATTATAAAATCATAAAACTTCAGGTTTTCAATAAAATAATTATTTTAACAATAAAAGGATTCCGATGGGTCTATTAGTACCTACATAAACAACAAAAAATTCTATAACTTTCAACTTTTGGAACGAGATTTTTGTAATTGATCTAAACCACCTATTTATTTTTTTATGATTTTTTGAAGTCATCAATCTAAACAAGTCAAATTTTAAATGGTATTCGCCACAGAATTGTAATTTAGAGTTATTTCAGTTTATGAATAAAGGTGCGATGTAACTTGTAGGGAATGTATATTGTACGCAAACCGTTAAAATAATAAATATTAGATAAACTTTGAAATTGCTCTTGCACCGAGTCGCGCCGCCCCCGCCCCCGCCCCCCGCAAGCGCCCGCGCGTCACCGGCTTCTGCTATCATAGTGTGTGTGAGAATTTGCGTATGTTGTATTTGTGTTGTTCACTGCCGGGGGGATGCAAAGCGGTATGAAACAGATAGCATTTTTAAAAATACCTACTCTCGCCGCGTATCGGCACTTCACAATCCTCTTAACAATATCAAAGTTAGTAATTACATACTGTTGATGTTTTAATTGCTAGTATTTATAAAGATATTTTAATAAACAAAGCGAGGGAAAGTTAGGTACAGTTATGTGCAATAAATTGCAGTGAGACGCATGCTTAGCGAAGTGGTCGACGTCGCACGCTCGGTGGTCATCCACAATGCAGCTGGACATGATATAAGCTGCCTCTTATGATTGATAGCTGCCATTGCAGACAGACCTCTTTCTCTTTCTGACTTATCTAAAGAGGCTTTAATTAGTGATTAAGACATGACAAATTACGCACATTTAAGTCGTGATTTCTCTTTTTTTGAAATTTCCAATTATCGTACCATACAATTCTATTTATATACATATATTTGCTAAGTGGTTATTGAGGTACCTACTATTAAGGTATTTCACTTATATAATATTTTTCACTCACTAAAAATAATATCACAAAATAAAAATTGTTCCATACTAAGCGTCAAAACGAACCTGACTAAAGCGAGGGTGAGTCGCTAGTAAAACATAAATCAAAACGCCACGTTGATCCTACCCTGTGTTAAAATAGTGTAAACCAATAATCACACTTTTGCATTTCTAAGGTTCTCAGATTATATAAAAGTCATTCCTTATAGTTTGCTTTTAAAGTAATGCATTAGACGCCATGATTGCAGTCTATTGTGAGTGATAAACCATTCGTAACGGAAACTGTGATTCATTTCCACATCTCGATACCGCTAGCAAAGTCGGCGAACGACAAGAGTCGCCAGACCGCAACCAAACATTAAAAAATAGTCAAGTACGAGTCGAACTCTCATGAAGAAGTATTCCGTACATTTTGTGAATTTAAAAGAGTTTTCTTTATATTACTCCCTATATGATGGATGTCTTATATTAACTTTAAAGTTTTAAATCAATAATTCAGATAAGTTAGGGGAAATCCCTAATTTTTGCTCATATATTTTTCCTTTTGAGTGAAAGCCAATGAAACCTGCTGTTAACTGTTTCGTTAAAAGAACTAGAATTTTAATGATTTCCTAGCTCAGTTACAAGCTTTTATAGTAGATTATAATGGCAAAATTACGGAGTTTGTTAAAAAGATTAATGGAGCGGTTAAAGACTTAAAAGAGTTATTATGTAGTTTATAAGATATACAGATTAGAGTTATTTCATAATAAAGCAACATGCAAATGCTCATCTCTTTCACGTTTGAATGCATATATATGCGTTTCTAACACAATACGTTAATAAAAACATTTCTGATTAAAGGTATTTCGTGCAATACTGACCACTTAACACAAAAACGTCATCAATTCTATCGATCGCTGCTGTCGTAATTGAACCGCTATTATGCATGAATGATGCTTGTTACGAAGATATGTTATATTCGCAGACGCACTTATTTTTTTAATGTATATATGAAGTTACCGCATGGATTATTTTTTTTTTTTTTTGCTGTAATACATTACTTCTTACATTTACTAATAGATTGTAACAATAAGATTAGAGTAAACATGAGTACTTCTTTAAACTGTCTGGAAAATGATAAAATAAGCGACTTACCATCGCTTCGCTCGGGTGCATCCTTAAGCTTGAATGGTTTAAAAACAAAAACGCTAAAAGACAAACGCCCAAAGAATTTTTTTTTAGGCCAGAAAGTTTCGCTGGCGTATACATAATAACTCGCCAGTTTTATCGTAATCGGATCTATGGCTTAGACCCACATAGAGGACGAACATACGAATATTCATTTTTATTTATATAGAAATCTGGCGACATACTATGCATAACTGCGTCCGTATGTGCCTACTGCCTTATATACATATACAGTAGCTGTATTTTTCTCCAGAACTAAGTTTATCATCAGTTTACTAAGTTTTATCCAATTCCAACAGTAAAAAACATAAACACAGATAAAAAATCACGTTTTTAATAGTAGTCCGATTAGAATTGTTTATGTAATACTAATGAATTAATGATAATAAGTATTTATATCGAAACAGGAATTGGGAACTGAGCTTCTGCCGCGATCACATTATGGCACGTTCTATGATGCTGACGCATATTTGGTCTACTCCTGCTCGCTTCCAGGTCAACCTGCTGGACCCGACGTTATTGTAAGTTGAATTTAAATTGAATTAAATATTTTACTAATTGTAAATGGTTCATAAATATTGAAAAAAAAATGTTTTCTTTCTTCTTGTATGTAGCGTCGTGAAATAAAGGAAAACGGGAATGGTGATTGCGCAGAACGTCACGTGCACGCTTGGTCCAGCGAGCGCAGCGCGTCGCTGGCGGCGTTAGCTCTGCGACGCGCCACGCAACTCCTGACCCACATCGGCAGCCCACTCGTGCTGCATAGAGAAACTGCTACCAAGGAGTCACCTCGAATGCTCTCATATTTTCGCGATGGCATAAGGTTTTTTACGATAATAAACACTATTTCAATTATAATGTGAAATTGAAAGTTTACAAAGCTGTTAAATCATGTTTAATTAATAAGGTTATATAAAGTAGTAGCGCATTTTTCTTAACCGTATATATTAAAAGAAACTAATATAAGAAAAAAAGAAAAAGTTAATTAAATGTTAATCAGGTACGAGTATTATTAATTGTTTCAACCGCAAAGTTGTTTGTTTTTATACATGGTTTACATCATTAAAAAATATGAAGTCTACAACAATAACCTACAACAAATTCAATTCTTTTTAATATAATATTTTAGGGTTCCGTACCCGAAGGGTGCCAACGGAATCCCTATATTACTAAGCCTCCGCTGTTCGTCAGAGAGCTGTATCTCATGAACCGTAATAGGAAGAGAGTTGAAATTTTCACAGCGTATGTATTTCTATTACCGCTATAACATCAAATAGTAAAAAAATTATACAAGAAAAAAATTTTTAACGTCCGTAATCGATCATCGAAGCACTTCGCGGTTAATTTCTAAGAAATTAATTGCTGACCGAGCCACCTGTGGCTCGGCGGTCGTTGACAGGATAATATACTAAATAGATAGAGTAAAAGTCATATTAATAAAAAATACATGTACGATGAGACGGAACCCTTAGTGTGCGAATTCGACTCACACTTGACTGATTTTATTTTGTTATTGTCTACTTTTAACAGATTCTCGTGTATGTATAAAAACGGTATTAAGCTAATAAACTTTTAAGCTAATTAAAGCATATATATTGTGTGTTAAGGATTCTTCGTAGCGGCTCTTTGAATGGCGGTGCACGGCTATATCGCGTGCGTGGACACAGGCCGGTGGTGCTGCAGCTAGAGCCGGTGTCATGGGTTCAGCTCTCTTCTGACGGCGTTTTTGTTTTAGATGCCCCCAATCTAATCGTTTTATGGCTGGGACGTGCTGCTAACCTGATTGAAAAAATTTTTGGTGCCAAGGTCTAAATTATTTATTGAACAAATATTGCAAATTCTATTCAACTTCAAAGATACGTGTAGGTATATTCATAAACAACATAATATTTCAGATCGCTTATCGTATGGCGCGTGGACCAGAAAAATGTATGATGGTTCGTCGTATCGCAATAGCCCACGATGGGTATGAGCAAACATTACCAGTGGCTGATCGTGAACTCCTTAACGACCTGCTCGAACTCCGAGCTCGCTCCGTGCGCCCTCCGCCTCCTCTCTCTGAGACTCCTCGATCTGCGAGACTCTACAAAGTCACACAACCTCCAAGAATTTCACCTATCGCCATGCCTTCGCAAAAACTAGCTGCGCGTTTAGAAGAAATTAAACGTGCTCCTCTATATAGAGAAGATCTACGAGATGATGTAAGTTTTAATATTAGATTTAAAATTATAAAATCAAAAACGACCTTTTAAAAATATTAAAAGAGAGCACTTTCGGTTTATAGAGCGTGTATATTGTCGATGGCGGGAGCCGTGGTGTGTGGGCGTGGGTGGGGGCGGGCGCGTCGCCCACGGACGGGCGCGGGGCGCTGGCGGCCGCGCGCGGGCTGGCTCGAGCGAAGCGGCTTTCCGGACCAGTAGCGACTATGACGGCTGGCCGTGAGCCGCTGGAATTCGCAGCGCTGTTCCACAGATGGCATTGGGCAGACTCTCGGCGGGATATACGCGTGCGCGCCGCCCGCTCTGCCACTACCAAACTTGACGCTGTTAGTCTTGTTTCTAACGCATGGCTCGCTGCTGAAGTAAGTAAACATTAATAAAGTTTTAAGTGGGTACTTTACGAAATATACATTAGTAACTACAAATAATTTCTACAATTACTACTTAGGTACTAATATTAATTATACATCATATGACAATTTTAATCAGTTGCGTCAAGGAAAAAAATCATCAAATGTACCTAAATTAAATATTCCAGGCACAATTGCCTGACGACGGGTCGGGTTCGCTGCGCATGTGGCGCGTGAGGCCTGAAGAATACTCACTACAGGAATTGGAGCGACCGCAGCAAGCAGTCTTCTACGATCAAGATTGTTACATCGCTCTATACACCTATCACGCCCCCACTGGGGATCAGACCATATTGTACTATTGGATGGTAGGACTAGAAACGTTTTTATATGATAGATATGATGTGATATACTTCATTGAAAATATTTTCAATTAACGGTAATGTCCAAATTACAAAATTTCTAATATCTTATTTCAGGGTGGCTCTTCGCCAAATGAGCTGAGAAATTTGGGTGTAAAAGAAGCCAAAGATCTTTACATAAAATTAGGGCGTCTTCCTATCCAGGTATTGTTTCATTAATCTAAGTTTTAATTTATCTTAATATTTAGTCTATACATATAATAAAATTGTAATTAAGCCGAATCTGTACTGTCTGTACATTAAATATTTTTTGGGAAAATCTTATTGAAATAGACATTATTATCGATACAGAGGCCGAATCTATAGTTTTTAAAATTTTTGTCTGTCTGTTACGACATCACAGAAAAACCACTGGAGGGATTTTGATAAAATTTGTTATGATGATAGCTGGTTATCCGAGTCAACATATAGGATACGTTTTACCTCGGGAAAAATCTCATTTCTGAGAAAAAAATACAAAAACTGCATTGTAAAAGTATACTAATATGTAAAACCTAAGAATTTGGTTTTTGATCATCTGAATGCGGGCGGAGCCACGGGCAATGCTAGTATACTATAATATAGTACTGGACATCCCTTGTTTTGGCCAGACATCAGCCAATTACTTACGGCACTTGAAAATGTATTTCAAAACCTCATGTTATGTTTATAATATTTCATTTATCCCACATGGGTAATAAATTACCTAGTAAGGAGGCAACATATTATTATTTTAATAATTTAAACATGATTAATACAAAATTTCAGGCTTGGATTTATCAAGGCAAGGAGCCGGCGCACTTCTTACAAATCTTCAAAGGCCGGATGATTACCTACATTGGCCGTGCCACTGACTATGATCGTAAGTTTACACGTTATATTATTATTTTTATTGCCTAAGTGGAAGACAAGGACCTAAGTCGTTCTGACTTCATAAATATTAGACGACGACAAATCAAAATGGAAAAAATTATATCGTAAGTGTACTTTATTGACCAAATTTTTATAAACTGATTACACCAATGTATTTTTCAGGAAAAAAACGGAAAAAATGTTATCCGTAAGTGTTTAATTTGACGGTTATTATTTATGCAATGTTACGGTAAACATTCTAACTTTTCAATTTGATGAGTCGGGAAAAAAACTATAATAGTTGGAATTCACGTAAAATACACTAGTGATTTTGTATTTTTTGCCGTAGAATTTATTTATGCTATAATTTTTTCGAATTTGTCGATATTTTATTAGTTTTTGATCGATTTTGGAGTTAATTTGATTGACTTTTCCGGAAGAAATGATTTTAAGGTAATTACAGAAAGAAATATAATTCATTCATAGTTTAATCTTGTTAATTCATTAGTTAAAAATATATTTAAAAAAATTAGGTTGATATTTACAAAATTTTGTCATTTTTTATTGCGTGTTTTATTGCAAAAATTAACTATAATTCAAAAAACATGTAATACTGTTTCCGTAGCAAGTGGCCGTCGCGTGGTGCCGCCTGCGCGCGCGCTTATCCACGTGTCGGGGCAGTACGCGCGGGAGGCGCGCGGCGCGGAGGTGGCGCGCGGGGAGGGCGCGGGGGAAGGGGCGTGCTACGTGCTGCGCGAGGGCGCGCGCGTGTGGGTGTGGTGCGCCGCCAGCGCCACCGGCGACGAGCGAGAGGTCGCTAAGAACATGGCGGCCGCGGATCACACGCTTGTCATGCAGGGTAAGGCCTACACGTTGGATATTAAGTCACATACACACACAGTACTATGATAGTACAGGGTATATGTGAGGAGCGCGAGGTCGCCATGAACATGGCAACGGCGGTCTACGTGTTGGATATTTAATCACATACACACAGTATTGCATAGGATATAGTACATTTATGTAACAATAAACTAACACATACCAACATGTGCAGATGCTCCTGCGTACAAATTTTTGAAGTTATACTTCTTTTGGCGCGTTATGAAAAGAAAATGTGAGTGTTTTTTTATGATGCGACAGATTTAGACTACAGTATGAAGTTAGTCGTTATTGGCTACAGCTGCACAGTGAAAGTAGTCGTTAAATCTCCCTTTAGTATAGTGTGATGCCTACATATATTCAAGATATTTATTTCGGTATTTCTATATACACAACTTGATGAGCGAAACGCAATAAGCAACATGACGTCATTGTAAATCCTATATGGAGAACTCCCGAAGTTGGCGGACAGTTATTTTATGCACGCCCATGATATGAATATCAAATGAAAGGGTTTGTTGAGAAGAATACGAAAAAAGTAAAAAGCATTAAAAAAGTTTAAACTATAAAAAAAAACAGGTTCATATTTAATTGCTCTAAAAAAACAAAGAGAAAGAAGTATAACTTCTTCTGTGCATACATAAGTTCAGACACACACTTTTTTGTAGGTTTATAAACGAGTTATTAAACATAACCAAAGTTCTTTTGCGTATAAAAACACACGTAGAACACTGGTGAAATTATTATTTTTATTACATTTTTAATAAGATATTTGTTAACCGTTTTTTAGGAAAGGAAAAGTCTGATTTTTGGTCAGCATTGGGTGACAGACGGTTGCTGCTGCAACCCTCTCCCTTGAAAGAAGTGGAACGCCCATTACCACCGCGTTTGTTCTATGTTTCGTTTGGAGCAGCAGGCCAATATTCATGTAAGCTTTCTTTAATTGATTAAACAACAACATTGGTGCCTATATAATAAAACTTCAATATTTGGAATATTTAATGAGTAGGTATATAGAACTAATATTTTTACCGCTCATGAACAATATGTAAATATTAAACTGTAAATGCGGTAAAAGGGACCTATAATAACAATATGCAGCAATAATGCTACTTTTACGAAGAGCATGTACTTACATACATACACAAAGGGAATTTTATATCGCTCTAATTGCTAACATATAACATATAATATATATATTTATTGGCTTTTTTTAGTCGAAGAAATAATCTCATTCAGCCAGTACGACCTGGCGCCGGAGATGGCGGCGGTGCTGGACGCGCACGCCGCCGTGTTCGTGTGGCTCGGCGCGCACTGCGGCGCGCGCGCCCGCGACGACGCGCGCTCTGTAGCGCTGTCTTATCTAACGCATGGTAAAATTTACCAGTTAATAATTAGTAATACCTACTAAATATTAATAATACATATCGGCGCGATCAGAACTTTTATTAACGGACTTCCAAAAAGGAAGGGATTCCAGGTTCGTTTGTATATATTTTTTTCAATGGGATGCATCTGCCTTTATATTAAACTATTAGTTAATAGTTTAATATAAAGGCTTTAAACGATTAAATTATTTATTTTTTTATTTAACGTAAAAAGCGAACTAAAAGAGTGCATAATACTGCAATCTTGCTACGTGTATAGTTTCGTTCGTGACACCCCTTGCATGGCTTGCCGTCGCCCATATTATTTTAGTGAATTACTACATTAAAGACTTTGTACTGATACTTTAATTTTTATATTACACAATCTAAATGGTTCTTTTCGTTTTTGATAAATAAATTATTGTATATCCTAGATCCTGCAGCGCGAGATCCTGAAACACCCATAATAGTAATAAGCCAAGGCCGTGAACCACCGAACTTCACTGGATTCTTTCCGCACTGGAAAAATTCTATGTGGAAGGTACATTTTAATTTCTATAGCGTACTAAATATTTGAGTTAAATAAGCAAAACTGGTTATTTAGTTACATATCATATTTTTTTCAGAGTCACAAAACATTCAGTGCGATCGTAAGTGCACTCGAAGGAAAAGCTATCGTCCGTGGCAGTACAAGTTCGTTGCAAAGCGGAAACTCTGAAAATCGTTTTGACCAGCACGAGAAATACCCGCTATCCGTACTACGCGGACCAAAGGAGCACATGCCCTCGGATGTCGATCCTCTTACGAAGGAAGTAAGTATATACTCTTTTTAAAACATTAATTCAACATAATTTCTATAAATGAGAACAATAAAGAAAATGATGGCACATATATATTATAGTCAAACAACAGCAATCCATCCGCAAATTAATTTTGTCGTCGTTTAGGACGTCATTGTAGCAAATATGTCCATTATTTAAATTGTCTCAAAACTCTACACCCTTAATTATTACGTAATTAAATCATAAGCGATAATTACATTTGAAATAACACAAAAAAGAAACATTGTCTAGACTATAAAGCTTTTCCTATTGAGTACACTGCTAGTACTTTCTGGGTTTTACATATTTTTATTTATTTTTTAACATTTAATAAATAAACCTTGTTCCACTAAGTAACGACATTTTTTAACAACGACTTTATTGTTACAGCTTTATTTAACTCACGATGATTTTGTGTCTACTTTCAACATGACCTACAACGAGTTCCGGTCATTAACCTCGTGGAAGCAAAAGGAATTAAAAAAATCTGTAGGATTATTTTAATATCCCACGTAATATTAAATGTACTTTAAGACTTGTATTGGCGCACATTTTACCTTCAATTATTATAATTATAAAATAGTGCAAAATGATCCATTTCATATTTTAATATATTATATAACTTATTGTTTTAGAAATAAGGATAGTCACGCATTCATTATATTGTTACGCGGCATTTAATATAATCTAAGTCTAATTCACAGATTAAGAATGTATTATAATTTTCATATTATTTGTTGCGCTATGATAAAATAATTATTATCATAAATGAAAAAAAATATATATAATAATATAAATAAACGAAATAAAACAGCGAGTTTTCAGATGTTATTTATTTTTACACAAATATAGCACTTAAGGGCTAGGCATTAATTTTATGATAAAATTAATAATTCTTTACAATATACAAATTCCTTAAAAAATCCATAAAATATTGGTTTATTTTAAAAACATATGTACATAATGATAACTATCAATACATATAACATAGTATGCCTAGATGATATGGGGTGTAAGTGAAGTCGCTAAGGCACGTACACTAGTATCCAGCAATACACAAAGTGGTGTCTCGCACGCCGCACGGGCCGCAACGGGCCGCACTACAATAGTGTTATATATTCAAGCATTTTAGAAGGTTCACTAATGTTAATAGCATTATAAAAATATACCCACATCATGACAAATCTTCGGAATTAGATATTGATAAGCTAGCTAGTTAGGAACTTACACTTTTAAATTGATAAATAAAAACGTTATAGTTGTAATAATATAATAAATAATTTACATAATAATGAATTTACATAGCGAGTTGCTCACGGTACACTGGCAACATTTTGAGAGTATTTCTTGAACCACCACCGAAACCATTTCTACTTTAAATAGAAATGCTCCCAAAATGCCAAAACTATTAGAGTTCTTCACGGTATGTAAGCATTGTAAACATACATACAACATATTTTGTTACTGTATTAACAATAATGACAAGCTTGAAATATTATATATTAATAATTATGGTCGAATTTTAAAATAATAATAATTTGCAACTGTACTTGTAAAATTAAAATTTCCAAAATTTCTTTGGTTCTCTATTACAAAAAAAATCGATTATAAAAAAATATATTTTGTGGGTACACGATGGAATGACGACTCGGGAACAAAGCGATAGCTGCCTAGCAAAATAAAATTTAAAAATGCATCTCGGCGTACGACTACAATAAATTTCAATATATCAAACTTTTAAGTACGTAAAAATGAAATTCGTATTTGTATATATCGATTAGAGATTTCGAACTTAAATCTAAATAATATAAAAGCGATAACCGGTCGAGTTACGGCGCGGGTCGAACTCGAGTCGACCTAAAACTAAGATAAACAAAAATCAACATTGCTTCTGTCGCAGGAATGTTAACAGTTCGTAGGGCAATAATAAAAAGTGCATTTCGCTACGTTTAACAAGAACCATTAGTAACAACAATGCGTCGGGCATGTTCGCTTAGCACCAGGTGTTGTCACACGTCATATCACAGCCGTCGCGTCCGAGCTGAGCTTCCGCCGCCGACTACACACTACACTAGAATACTGTAGCGTAGCCTGAGTTATAAGTTACGTAATGAACTTCACATCCAGTTTTGTACTTCATTGATCACTTTAGGCTGTGTAATATTTATAGTTTAGCTTGGTGTGTGTTGTGTCCGATTCTTAATTCACACACGAAGTCTCGTTTCGATGACATTTTACTACACAACCACTTGACGCTCTAATATGTAAATAAAAGTTTATTTAACTATAATTTGTACACGTTTAGTGCTGTATAAAGATAAGAAAATTTTGGCACCGAGAAATTAAATCGTAATAAACCATACAACAATGCAGCCGCCTGCTGAACATATGTAAGCTGAACACGTATATTTTTATGCTAAAGTAATTCTCATTAAGCTCATGTTATGTGGCTAATTTTTATTAAAATATTTTAATTAAACTGAGAGTCTTAAGTGTGAAAAACACTTACAAAAGAAACTAGCCTGAGAAAGATTTTAAAGTAACAATTAAAACACATACATTCTTAGTTATTGATAACAACAATATCTACCTACTGTATATCGAAGTCGGTTAGGGAAGCACGTTTAAATCCTACATGTTATTAGGCAATATGCAATAGATGGAATATTTCAGTTGAGCAAATACCAAATTAACTACCTGTATGGCACTATTTCGTTAATAATGTAATGAGAAAACGAAGAACTCAAGCGAGTTATTAGTTTCCCACATGTAAAGTTTCGTATAAGACGAGTACTGTAACTAGTGCACGTGAATAAAAATTTACTATATAAAATCAATTCCCTCTTAATTTTCATATCGCAAGCATGACTTACGCTTACGACTGTGCTTTATTAATAATAACAATGCACTTCGATATAAAAACGTGAATTTATAATTCTTTTATTGTTTTTATATAAACTTACTAACTTTAAATATTTGTCATAATAGGCCGCGTGGAAGGTTTATGAAGTATAAAATTCGCGATTGGCTGCGATTATATTGTTTTAGTCGTTTCGACGTTTAATCTTTTAATACAAGTGCTTATAAAATGGTGTATAAAAATATTTACTATCTACCTTAATATTTAAAAAAGATATTAAAATTCTTAAGGTAAATTCAATTCCGAAGTATCAAAGAACAACATTTAGCCGTGTCAGCTTTCAACACATATATCAATCGGAGCTCGGGCCGAAAATATCGATGGTATCGATGTCATTTACTGGTTTAGTTTCACTATAAACAGCGCGTCTAGAAGCGTCAAACAATTCATTAGTCCCGCGAAGCATCTACAAGCAAATCGCACCAAAGGAACGGCGAAACGGCTTCGCCGACGCGAACTTATAATACGAGCTTATTACATATAAAATATAATATCAACACAATGTAACTATTATTTACACAAAAAAAAATCGAGTAAAAAACCGATTTGGTCGATTATAAAAGACTAATAATTTCAAATTCGATAGCACGCTGCTACTCGTGATTTAAAAAACAAAGCGTGCATGATTTTAAGTCCTCCAATGAAGAGCTCTGATATTAGCATATACCCGAATATTTTTAGGGACCACTTTTATTAGAATTATTAACATTGAGATTGAAAGTATTAAAAATCACGTCACATATCATTAACTCTCTTAGTAATAAAACATTGTCATTTTAGTCCAGATACATATCAGATCTTTCTACAATTACTTCTTCAAAGGCACATTGTATATATATTAATTAAGTGTGATTACCACGTTATAATTTTAAAAAAATTGGACGTATTTACTAGTTGAGCCCAAATAAGAACGAGACTAGTTAAAGTACACTTGAACATTTAAGGTACACTTCGATCAGTCTAAATGAAGAAAAAGATATGGGTACCATTTTATGTTGGTTGGCCACAACTGTTCGAGTATATTAAAATGGCAAAACTTGTACTGTAACTAATTGTAAATTGTAAGTATATAAATGTTGCAACATGTAACGATTGTAACAATGTCAAGAATGACGGTAATAATATATTAGGATGTTATTAGAAATAAGTAAAGACAGTGGTGTCGTGGACCGCGTCACTGGCGCGGCAGCGACGCGTTGGCGGGCAGCGTGGAGCTGCGCTGCGACGCGTTCATGTAGCCCGCCTTCAGGTTCGACCGCATCGAATCTCTGCAACGTTAACGTACAGAATATTTAATATACACGCTTTCATATAATATGGGTTATTATTATTTTATCAGGCACATAATAATGTCCTCCTAACCGATTTCGGTCACAACAGCCATTTTTACTGAGACTACCCAATTACGCAGAAGGTATTATAGTGCACAAGTATGCGTGAAGACTCTCTATTCCTACTACTCTTATATTCCAGTGGGACGACAATTCGAAATGACTGGTCAGTGGGCGAGCGACTACTTTACGTGCGCTCCGAAGCACGGACAATTTTTCATCTTTGAGTTACTGAGACTTCTTGACAGAAACACTTAATAAAAAATATATGAAACGGTACCTGGGCGAGAGTTTTGTGTGGTCGTGGCAGTTGGTGTGCGCGGCGCGGTACCCGTAGCGCTGCACGCGCCGCGCCAGGCGCGCCACCCAGCGGCGCTGCTCGGGCGCGGCGGGCGCCAGCAGCAGCAGCTCGCGCGCGCGGTCCGCGTGCAGCTTGCACGCCGCCACGCCCTCGCCCTCAGACACGTGCTCCGCGTGGATCTTCATGCGACACCCTGGAATCGATCGTACAGACTCCTATTACATGCTACTGTCACACTCTACTACAACATACAGTCGTAGAACGAAAAATATCATGCAAGGCCCCACCTCACTGTCATTACACATTCATTCTTTCACATGACAACCGAGAAGGGCTTTAGGGATTAATGGGTGTAACTATATTCTGCCACAAGATGGCACTACAGCGCTTTAACTTCGGAAAGACCGTGAAAAGACGGTTAGCTACTGTATTTATTTTTACATTGTGGTACTATCACCATGTCTGTTGTAATCCTTATATATATGACCTATAATTTAATTAGCAAATAGTTACTAATTTTAATTGCGTAATTTTGTACCTTAAACGATAGTTTTAGAAGAATATTTCCTCTTTCAAAAAGTTTTATATTATTTTTTAATTTAAAAATCAAAGCTGACAATCAATAATCTCTAATTAAAACAGTTTATTCGCTACATATGATAATGACCCAAATTAACATATTATTACTATTTACGCTTTTTCATTTATAAAAAAAGATGAAGAGGAATTTCTCGTTAATTCCTAGGCTTATCTTTACCTACCAAGAAATTACCGGGAAATGGCTTAATATGAGTAAAATATGTGACATATATGACAAGTAATGTGAAGCGGACTCACGTCGGCACTCGTAGGCCTGCGGCGGACGGAACATGTGCCAGAGCGGGCGCGTGCACACCTCGCACGCCGTGGGGATGTGGTACGTGATGCTCACCAGGTCGTGCCCCTTGTGCTGCACCGTGTTGCCTGTCGAGGTGTCGCATATCGTATTGTACTTTATTTCAAAACTTTCTACTAAATTAAAAAGCAATATACGATAGAACTTTAATAAAATTACTTATACTTATTACTAAAGTAATACGATAATTTGCTTTTTATTTCCATTATTTAATAAATTCAACCATGTATCATAAATTTTCGTATCAAAATATTTTTCAATCATTCACATTCAATAAGGAATACTCTTTAGAACAATAACTGAAACGATATTAAACTTACATACATAACTCAAAGCAAATTGTAATATGTAATAACAATAATTGTTCATATGATACACAAGCTAATATACATCTATACATATAATAAAATTGTGACTAAGCCAAATCTGTACATTAAATATTTTTATGAAAATCTTATTTAAATAAACATTATTATCGATACAGAGGCTGAATCTATAGTTTTTAGAATTTTTGTCTGTGTGTCTGTCTGTTACCGCATCACGGAAAAACCACTGGAGGGATTTTGATGAAATTTGGTATGATGATATCCGGGTCAACATATAGGATAATTTTTACCGCGGGAAAATATCTCTTTTCCGAGAAAAAATACAAAAACTGCAATGTAAGGGTATACTGATATGTTAAACCTAAGAATTTGGTATTTGGTCATCTGAATGCAGGCGGAGCCGAGGGCAATGCTCTTTTTCAATATATCCTTTTGTTTTTTACCAATCTGTACTAATATTATAAAGAGGAAAGATTTGATTTTTTTGTTTGTTTGTACCGAATAGGCTCCGAAACTACTGAACCGATTTAGATGAAATTATTTTGAGACCCTGTCGCTAGTACTTTATAAAAATAACATCAACAGAGTGAATATAAAACAAAGCCACTGACCGGCATGGTCCTGCGCGTCGGCGGGCTGGTCCTGCGCGTCGCCCGGCCGGCGCGCCTCGCCCTCGCCCGCGTACAGCAGCTGGAAGATGCGCGGGATGTCCTTCGCGTCGGCGCGGATCACGTCGCCCTGCGTCACCGACCGCACGTGGAACACTTTGCTGAAACACCATACATACATCGTATACTATATTACTAACTTACCCAGTTTTCATTTCATTTAATTTTAAATATTTAGATTTTTTGTTCCCGACGTTTTGAATGCCTTTCAGCAATAATGGTAACGGGACATTTAATACAATAAATGTATAAAAAAAATACTTTCACTTTATACCAAAACCCAATTTCAAAAAATTAATTTTGCTAAATTGACCCAGCCCCTTCTCCAGGTCCAGTGAATTTTCCAGTAATACGCTTATCATCGAAAGCATTTAAACTTTAATATATATTATATAGATTAATTTTATTCCAAGAGTAATCTAAAAATAACCTAAAAGTCGATTTTCTGCTTAAACATAATTTGTATTTAATGTGATCATGAACATAGATTTATTTGGCTATATTTAAAAAAATAAAAACACTTATTTATTATTTATATTAGAAAGAGAAACCAACCTCAGATCCAATATCATAACAGGATCGGTAGTATTCTGCTTGTCGTTTTCAGAGTTGTAGAATATGATCTTCTTGGAGGAGACCACGACATACTGCTTCTTCCAGCCGTGCCGGCGGATGTTCTGCTTGAAGGGCACGGACAGCCAGCCCTCCAGGGTCTGTTCCGTCTCGCCGTCCTCGGCGTCGGCGGACGACTGCGAGGCCGTCTCACTCGTGAGGGCCGCCAGCTTTTCTTTCAGCTGTTCGATCTCTACGTCTTTGCTGTCCACCTTCAAATAATAATTATACGTTTAAAGTAATTCAAATTTTTATTAATAAAAAAGTAGCTATAAACTAACGAAATATAAATGAACAATCATGCATTACAAATTTATAAGAGTTCCGTTTTTGCCTGTTGACTATGGATGGACCCCTAATAAATAATAAGTTTGAAGCACACAAATTCCTTAGTAGGTTGGTTAATATAGTATGGGCCACATTCCTGTTTCACTTTTGATTCTTTAACTAAATCTAATTTGAGAAATACAAAAGGAATAACTTTAATTCAGATATAATAGCTTAATAGTTTTAATTATACATACATATACATTTTATTTCAGACTTACAGTCATTTACCATGTTAGTACACACTTAACCTATGTATGTTGTTATATCTACTTACATTTTTTGCCAACAGTTTTATCATTTTAATTATCACAGTTATCAAAGTTCACACTTGTTCTGAGTATTTACCACCAAAATCTCATAAACTACACCAATTTGTAATAATAAATGATTAGCAACCTCCATGGCAAGCCGGATCCTGGTCTGCTGCTCCTCAAGCAGCTGCTGCTGCGAGTCCTGCAGGTCGCGTTGTAGCTTGGCGATATGCTGGTCGGACTTCTCCTTCTCGCGCGTCAGCTCCTGCTGCAGCTTGCGGTAGTCCTTGTCCTTGCGGACGGACATCTTGCTCTTGTTCTTCGTTGATGCTGGGTTCATGTCTTTTCTGTTATTGAAAGTTGGTATTTTAAGAAATGTATGAAGGTATATAATATGCTTTTATTTTTTAATCTCCCTCTAACACGTATAACTATAGTACTAATAAGTCAAATTAAAAAGTATCTAAAATAATAAGCCGGTGTAATATGAACCTGTTCATGATCTCGGCAAGCTTGTTAACAGCTTGCTGCTTGAGCATTATCTCAGAGTTGAGCTTCTTGGTGAGTCGGTCCACGTCCTCCTGCAGGCGGCCCAGCGACGCCACGCGCTCCGCCAGCGCCGTGCCGCTGCGCCGCAGCTCGTCTACCTCCTGCCCGCGAAACACGTACATTAGAAAAAGAAAATAATAATAAATAATAAATATGTCACCTTACTAATTAAGTGTTGTTGTATGACTATTGGCAAACGGGTTCAAGCCTCTCTAAACCATTTGCTAAGAAAATTGGCATTAGTAACGACCCTTTTTAAATGCCCAAAATCAATGGGGGATCATCTACAGTATATAAATTTTTGGAATTTTCATACTGTGTATACCTTGCGCTGCAGGTCGATGGTGGCGCGGTTCTCGTGGTCGCGGTCGCGCAGGCCCTGCACCAGCGCGTCGCGCGCCGCCAGCTCGCCGCGGTGCTGCGCCAGTGCGTCACGCATCTCCAATTCCTTCATCGTCTTCTCCTTCTCCAGCTCACCCACCGTCTCTTCGGCTATCGATCTGTATAGATCGCACGTTGTATATCAATACAAAATATACTTTATTCAAATAGACATTTATGTGCACTTTTAAATGTATGTATGTTTAATTGAAGCAACCACCGGCTTGGAAGACAGTTCTGCTTAGATAGTGCAAATATTTTAAATTAATATTACGTTTGTTATTATTGTATAATATTGATTTAAAAATATATTTATATCACAAAAAGTCTTTAGTTTAATTTTAGGTACTTATATTTATAGTATGAATACAAAGTATATAAAAATGTTTTTTTCTGTTAGAAATCCTTATAAATTTAATTGAAGTCGGAAAAATCCAATTGAGTTGTTCTATCATCGAGCCATGCCTAAAAAAATTAAAAAACAAAAACAATAAATGTATGGGCAAATAGAGACCAAGGGACAAACCTAAGCGAATCAAGGGTAAGTCGCTGCTCGCTAGTACTAAATACGTCTAAGGCATACCTCGCAATAGCCTCCGAGTCGGCGCGGGCGATGGCCAGCTGCAGCTGGTGCATGAGGCTGGCGCGCTCCTGCTCCAGGTCGCGGTTGGCGCGCGCGCTCTCGTCCAGCTGCGCGCGCGCCTCGTTCGCCTGGTTGCGGTACACTACGCAGTAGTGCTGCTCGTTCTCCAGCTGAGATCGCAGCTCTTCACTCTGGAACACAACCAATTATACTTGTTATATTATTTCGCTTCAATCCATACCATATAGAATATATTTATAATAAAATGTTGTATATACCATGTTCTAATATTTATAAAATATAAAAGTAAAATCTTTAAAATCCCGTAATAATTGAAATCTGTCGTTAAATATTAAATAATATGCCATATGGTTATTTAAATAACCATTAAATAAATTTTGGCTCTCAAATCCATTTCAATATTAAACAAATTGAATTGAAACCTGAACTTGAATTGAACATTGAAAATATCAATCACAGAAAGATTTAAGGGGGATTACAAAATTCTTTCAAATTTCTCTACTTTAGGCTATCTTTTTTCGTAGGTATATAAATAAGCATGACAATAATTTATTAGTCGCATTGTATTTGAAATAAAACATACATACATCTGTTCATCTGTCTGTCTGTTCGCGATAAACTCAAAAACTGCTGGACCGATTTTTACCCTGTTTTCACCAATGGATAGAGTGGTTCTCGAGGAAGATTTTAGTACATAATTTGTTAAGTTTTTGGATATATTTGCTAAAATATAACGATATTTGTTGGTGGTGTCGGAAAAAAATAAGCCGTCTGGGAGCTTTCAACGAAAACGCTGCGTAAACCCTTTGAGATATAACAAAATAATGTATGGTGGAATTGTATATCTTATATAGGTCTACAGAAAAGTCCGCGATGGCATATTATGTCTATCTCTTAAGGATAACATATTATATCCATTTTAATTTAAAACGTACCTAGGGACAAACCCGAGCGAAGCGAGGGTAAGTCGCTAGTCAAAGGTAGGTAATTGTCTTTTTGGAGTCAAAAGATTTTGGAAAATTAGATGGTAAAGAGATACATAGTGAAAAATCACTAAAGTCGCTCAAAATCCTAGTAATTTTATAAATTCGATGTCTATTCACTATTCAGTAAAAAATAAATTCATGTTATAGTCAAAATTGCAATGAACTAAATTTATATATATTGTTGTGTATGTGTGTGTTTTTATCTAATTTTTAGAATTTCATTATTAGTGTTTAGAATATTTTATATTTATTATAATATTACAAAATTCTTTAATACTCGTATGTATACATCTATATTCTATACTAATATTAAAGAGGTAAAGTTTGTGACGTTGTAGGGCGTAATCTCTGGAGCTACTGCACCGATTTAGATGAAATTTGGTGAAAGTCCCAGTCTCAAACTATCTGAGACTGGAAATGACATAGAATACTTTTTATCCCAGAAATCATCCCTTAAGGGGGTAAAAATGGGGATAAGAGTTTGTATGGGGATACTAGTTAGCTAGTTTAATAATAAATTTCGTGGAAGAATGTATAGAAACAGAAAAATACACGTAATTTTATGAACATTTGATTTCTTTACCATTATAAATTAATTTGGGAAAATTTACAAACGTAAAGCTTCAGAAGTTTTTAACCGTTACTTTAATACCGCTCAACGAGAAACGCCTGATTTATCGAAGCGTGACTGACCCAAGTAAATTTAAGCATCAAAAATTATTTCTTGTTCTGGGATTAGTAGCAATAATGGCCTTTATGAATGTTGATCATCTATGCATATTGTGATTCATTCATATACATTAAAACTACCGTCCGAAAACAATATGTAAAACGAAATTCGTAAGGAAACGAATCTCTATGATATACGCGTCATTAATGCAAATGAAGTAACCGCATTCAGCCGTATCTCTTAACATTTCAATTCCTATTTCAATTGTTGGGAGTTGGACATCCAAAATACACCATACTTTAATATTATAACTCTCTATCACGCCAGAACGGCTGAACGGATCTGGATGAAAGGCACAGATATAGATTATAGTTGAAATAGCACAAAGGCTACTTTTTATCCCGGAAAAATATACAGTTCCCGTGGGATAGGTTTTTGTTTTCCTAGAGTAACATTATAAATGTAAAGGTTTGTAAGGATGGATGGATGTTTGTTACTCTTTCACGCCAGAATGGCTGAACGGATCTGGCATAGAGATAGATTATAGGCTGGAATAGCACATAGGTCACTTTTTATCCCGGAAAAATGTATAGTTCCCGTGGGATAATTTGCTTTTGTCTAGGGACGAACCCTGAGCGCAGCGAGTGTGAGTCTAGTCACACTTGTATTGTTAAAATTGTTTAACCTGTGTTCAGTTTCATCAAAATCAACATGTATGTATAAAATATCAACTAATATGCTAAATAGTAATTGAAGATCATATAAAAATGTAAATAAACTAGATCTAATAAAATAACAGCCAGTTGAGGACGAGCAGGAAATAAACTCGCACAAGATATTTTGCAAATGAAACTATGCAATAATGCCGCTGTTTTATAGACTTGAATTCTTCATTGTATTTGCTTTAATAACAAAACTTATTAATTCTTACGTAAGTCGCTTAATAGATTTTAATATTTTTATTTTTATCAGTTGTCTGTTCAATTGGAAATGTACGATGTTATTAATTTCAAGATTGATTTACATAATTATTATAACATTGCTTTGACTATTTTATTTATTTTAGACTCGTAACTTATTAAACATAATTATATTCTAATTAATAAAAAAATGTTTTAAAAATATTAAGTCTTTGAGGTCGTTTGTATCTAAAAAGTTTATCTGAATATCTTATTATCCTTTTTTTGTTATCAATGTTGTAGTTGTAAAAATAAGTGCAATCTTCATATACTGTACAAGAAATAATCAAGAATCACGCGCTAAGACTAATGAAAATTATACAACATGATACGCAGTTCTCTAATTGAATAGCATTTAGGTTATATTACAAAGGACTATCTATCTTATCATAGACTATATATAGACTCACAGACAGTAAGAGCGAAATGTTAATACCTATTCTAATTAACGTATCTCAATTACAATAGTCAATATTGATAAATTGAGAGTAATCTATACTAATATTATAGAGGTAAAGTTTAGAGATTGTGAGTTTGTGACGTTGTAGGGGGTAATCTCTGGATCTACTGAACCGATTTAGATGAAATTTGATGAGAAGATAGTGTGAGACCCTGGGAAAGACATATGATACTTTTTATCCTGGAAATCATTCCTTAAGGGGGTGAAAATAAGGATAAAAGTTTGTATGGGGAATCACGGGAAGGGACGAACCCGAGCGAATCCAGGGTGAGTCGCTAGCACATTGAATAAAGAAAGTAAACAAATCTATCACACACTAACATTAACAAGCAAGCGATCATTCACTAATCACTACGTATACCTAATAATATCGAAAAATAAGCGTAAAGTCCATAATAAATAATGTTATATTATATGGGTAATTAATATGTATAGCTAATTAAGCAATTCTACGTATTTTAAGAAGTAAGATTATAATAAAGTTGTAGTCTGTTAGATTTAATATGTCTATGTATTTCTTATGCTTTATTGAATCCAATGATGCGCACACGCAATAACGAACATTCAAAAGAAAAACCACTAAATACGTAATCCTTATGAATGTTTATTTATTTGGAGACGTTTCACGCGCAGGTGTATTCCTATATGGCAAAAGCTTGCGAGTGTGTGTGCATATTTTCTTTAGTGTGCACAATGAGTCACTATGTCGTAATGCCGAAGGACAGTCTATTTCGGCGTGATGAGACTACGATTAATTTAAAGAATCAGTACAAATTATAAAAACAAATTCCCCATTACGTCTGCTGTTATTTTGCGTCAGTTGAACTGAAGTGTTTCAAACACATGTTACATAACAATATATTCTTTATTTTGTCTCATTTTTCTCATCTAACATTTTACTCCTTCTTTTCTCTCTTACCATCGCTTCGCTTTTTAGTGAATTGTATCTAAGCGAATCGAGACTTTTTAAATAAAAAAATACACCTTCAAAATAACCTTGAAAGAAATTATTCCACTAGGGCTGAACTTGTGTTTTTGAAATTCATATTATTAAACCTTAGATTATTTATCCTCGAGGTATAGCTAATTATAAACATTCACAAAATAAGCGAAAATTTCACGCAACATAATCAAATGAAAGACATCTTCCTTTTTGTAGTTAGTTAAAGACATTATTATTTCTCATTGGTGTTGTCGATAAAACTTAATAAAAATGCAGCATCTCATGATAAGTTTATAATTGACTTTATGCAAGCCAGTGACTCACGATTGTATTGATGTAATAGGTATTTGTAGTCTACAATAAATATATTCATAATGAAATATTTTTATCTTCCGAGCTCCATTGAATAATACTGAATTAAATTAATTAATCATTTTATGTACTACTGCTATATATACAGAATTAAGAAAATTGTTAAACTTCTGTTGATAATGTTCAAATTACTAATAAAGAAATTAAATCTTGAAAGTCGAATTTAACCTACTTCTAACTATTGTAGTGACAGTACAATAATTTATGATGGAATTTATTATGGCCTTTATGATGAAACTTCTATAGTAAATAATTAAACTCTTGAATGGCTAAAAATGCATGTAAAATCGTCGAGTTCGGGCTCATTTGATTCATTTTGACGAAACCCATACCCATATTAATTAGTTAAAAGTAAATATATTTTGTCACAGAACCAACGACTGATGGAATAGGCGAGTTCTCGGCAAACGTAGCCGATCGAGCACAGTGGCGTGCCAAATGAGAGTCCCATGTTCTCAGTAGACGAAAGTAAGTCGATGTTGATGACGATAATACTTTTAGTGTTTAAATGAAGATTTGTAGACTCACCCTAGCATAATGCATATCCCTCTCCGCAGTAGCAGTAGCTAGCTTCTCCGAGGCCTCGTGCAGCGCGGCGCGCGCGGCCTGCAGGTCGCGGGCGCGCGCCTCGCGGTCGGCGTGCGCGGCGCGGCTCGCCGCCTCCGCGGCCGCCGTCTCCGCCGACGCCGCCAGCCGCGCTTGGCGCTCTTGTTCCAGCGCCGCTTGTAGACCCACCACCTGTTCGATTATACATAAATAATATTGATTTAATACTAGCGTTTTCCGGCAGCTCCGCCTGCATACTTCAATTATATATGTATTTATATAAACGCTGGCCACTCGTTCTAGCGCCGTGTGTAGACCCAGCCACTAGTTCGATATATCCTTTTTAATACCATTTTCTCGCTCCATTCATATAGTTTAATTGTGTTATTGCATATTTTTAAATTAGTTTATGTTATAATAGTTTTTGCGTGAAAGAGTAACAAACATACACCCTCATAAGCTTTCGTGTTTATAATATAGTATGATTTGCGAATATCTGGTGTAATACAACAATAAGTAGTGCTTTCTTTATAAAATTCAATCAAAATATTGCAGGTTTGGTTTTTATCAAAATCTCTTTATAGCACTGTGTTTTATAATGACGCCTTCTGTCCGAATTAGATATCTAAACTCAATGGAGAATATCTCTTTGTTTAAAAAACACGAATCTCAATAGAAAGATAACATTTCTTTTTCTACTTTGCATTCCTTTTTTCTATTTTTTTTTTTTCATTATTTTCTAGTTCTACTTTGCAATGAACAAATATAAAACAATGACTAAGTTCTTGGAGTGCTTGTATGCGTCTTTTAAAAGTTGGATACCATTTTTGCGATTGTTATTTTAAGCACTCAGCTTATCTATATCTATTTTGAAGGCTTGGAGTGACATAGGCAACTTTTTACTGCGGGAGATTATCTCATCTCCACGGGAAAACACGTTATGTATTCCACAGTAACCGTTAAAACGTACCTAGGGACAAACCCGAGCGAAGCAAGGGTGAGCCGCTAGTAAGTATATTTATTTCATTCGCCCATATTTATTTTATATTTTCTAATAATTATTAAGATTATATAAAATAAGGAACCTTTTCGCTTTCCTGTCTGTGCTCGCCTTCCAGTTTCTGCAGACGTTGTTGCATTTGTCGATAATCAACACTAAGCATTGACATCTGACGATCTTTCTCTTGTGAAGCTGACTCGGCTCGCTGTCGAGCTATTTTTTCCTCATTCAGTTTGCCTTGTAGTGCTTTTAAAGCAAGTAACAAAATCGTCAAAAACTTAATTTTTGCGTATCGAATATTATATTAGTTAAATATTATTAAACAGCTTTTTAAGTTAACTCATAATTATTAAGCTTTTATGGAAAATATATTATGATGATTGTAGCAATGTAACTACAAATGTTATACTGCAATACAATCTATAAATATTGCAACACTACTAATAGTTATAAATATATACATATTTATCAGAATAAAATGTAAATTAGTAGCAAAATGGACAAACCTGTCAAGATCTTTTCCAATGTTCCTGAGGCATGCAAAATATTAACCATGATAATATGATACAGGTAATTTTTCTACATAGAGCATGAATTAAATTACAGGGACAATAGCATATGCTAGATACAAAGGTTAGGTATTATAATAAGGTACATATATAAAAAATATCTCACCCTTGACAAGCTCTAAGTTGGCTTCCTGTTTCGAAAGCATCTGCGAGCGTTGAGTCTCTTGATGTGCTCGTAATTCCTGCTGATATAAGTGTTGTGTTGTTTTTAAGTCATGAGTCATAGATGCACACTCTTTTTCCAAAGAAGCAACACGCTCCGATAACTGTCGATTATCTGTCATTATTTGTGATAATCTAGTCGATGAGCGCTCCAGCTCAGCTTGGGCAGCATTTAAACGACTGGTTGCTTCGGCCACGGAAGCTTCTGCCATTTGTTTCGCTGCTTTCACAGTTCCGAGCTCCTCAGACAGGTTACTATAATCTTCAAAAAGAGCGTCTCTCTGCGCTCGCAAATTGGCTAAGGTACCATCCTTCACTGCCGCAGCGGCAACGTGAGCAGCATTCAAGTCTGCTGCTAGTTTTCTTGATTTAGCGGCAGCTTCAGATTCTTGTTTTAATTTTTCACGCATTTCCGTCAATTGTTTCTCCAAGGCATTAATTTTCTCATTATAAAATTGTAAATTACTCATTTCTTTTGCCCGTTTGTTTTGCTCTTCATCTAAACGCTGTTTAACATCATTGTAATTTAGCTCTATTTTACGTCTAGAATCGGCTTCTATTTCGGCCTTACGTTGAATTTCTTTAAGGTCATGCTTGAGAAGAGCTAGTTCTTTATCAGTATCCGCGATAATTTTTTTACTTCTTGCTTCTCTTTGTGAAAGCTCCTCCAACTGATTGCAAAGTATAACTTGTCTGTCTTCTAGTTTACGTCTTCCGTCTCTTTCTCTTTCTAAAAGTTTTTCTAGTTGCAAAATAGCTTCAGAGCCAACACTATTTATATGATTGTTAGATATTGTATCTACGACATCAGCAGGTTTACGCTTTACTCCACAAAGTTGATAATCTCCATTATAAGTAAATCCTATAAATGGTAAATGATTTCCTACAAATGCTTTTGGAACAGGAAATGATTCATCTAATGCATCTGATTTTTCAATATCATCAAAGTTTCTTGTATCAGCATCACTGGACAGTTCAGGTACAACTGGTGGCACTGAATCTCTTAGATTATCAAAACTCCACTGGTCATTGATAAAAAATGGATGTTGTTTTATTTCATCTACACTGTTCTTTCCAAGTCTTTTTATCCTATCAGTTAATAGACCTCTTATTAGAGACTTTGCTTCTTTAGAAATTTCTACATCATCTGGGAATTGCAATGAATTTCTATGATCCATTATTTTTCCATAAGTACCTACTAAACTATCAGCATAGAAAGGTGGATCACCAATTAACATTTCGTATAAAAATATTCCTACGGCCCACCAATCACATTCACGCCCATAGATTCCTTCACCATTTTGAGATTGTAATACCTCTGGTGAAATGTAGTCTGGAGTACCAACAGCATTACTAGCCCGCACCAGTCCATCTGGCCCCATTCTCATACAAGTGCCAAAATCTGCCAACTTCAAATGACCATATTTGTCAATTAACATATTGTCAGGTTTAACATCTCTATGAACAAAACCCATACCATGTATCACATCTAATGCAAGAACAATTTCCATTGTATAAAATTTTGCCCATTTTTCAGGTATTTCATAATTAGACATAAGACTAACGAGATCACCACCAGGCATATAATCCATGACCATATAGAGATATTTATGGTCTTGAAAGGCAAAGTGAAGTTTAAGGATCCATTCTGAATTTGCATGTGCCATAATATGCCTCTCTTCCCAAAAAAAAGTTGAATCTGATCGTTTAATCATTTCTACTTTACTAAGAAGTTTCATAGCATATACTTGACGGGTAGATTTATGTCTGACTAGTTGCACCTCTCCAAATGCTCCTCTCCCTATTACTTTAATTAGGTCAAAATCAGCAGCTTTCATGCGCAAATCAACTATATCAGATGCAAATTCTTCATCTGTAAGAGAAAACAAGAATTAAAAAATATATATGATTTACTTACACTTACAACTTATTATATAAAAAAATATATTTAACAGCTTTTTTGTATATTTAAATAAATGTTTTACACAATTTCAAAGTTTGAATTGTTTCAGATCTCGATATAGATTTATTTGCTTTTAAGAAAATAAACTATATTCAAAACATTAAATAGAAAATAAACAAAACATAAAATTATACTTATATTAGAGCTCTTATCTAATAACTTTTAAGCATATTAGACAATTGTTATTTTTTATTAGGAGAATTAGCTTTATTTTATTCAATAATTTATGTAAAATGTGTTTACCTAATGTTACCATCATATGTCAAGATATAGTGTGATCTATCAAAACAAAAAACAGTACAGAATTTGTTGTACTCAATATACTAAACATTATCTAATTAAAATAATCATTAGTTATATATTCCAATGACTTAGAATATTATCAATGCAAAGTCAAGGTTTGTTTTGGTCATTAAATTATTGTAATCCAATAAACTGATCTTTTTTCTATTAACTTGCAATTAATTGATATGATATGTTTTTCTAAAAGTTGGTTAATGAAATTGAACTCTTAAAACATTTAATAGGACATTATTTTATCACAATATCCAACTATTGACAATTTTCAACATAAAAATTGAAATGATTATTCAAATATTTTTCTTCCTTTTTAAAAATTTTGCTGAGGTCATAAACAAATGATTAATAATAAAGAAGTTAATGAATTTGGAACTCATGAGAAATGAGTATTTTCTTTTTATTTAGCTACTATAATTTAATATTAGTAGGAGTAATTGCTCACATCGGCTCGTGTAGGCTTCGACATTTTTCATACGTCGAATGGCCGGGTGATCGCAGTCGGAGACGAGTGCGGTGACGGTGTCGAGCAAACAGTCCACGTTGCCGGTGGAGCGAGGATCGCATAGTTTCTCCTCTAAAGCACGTAAGCGCCGCAGGCGGTCCTCATCCTTTGCTGCCTCCATACTGAACCCTGGATCTGATTCTGTCGGCCACTAAACGACACCATACATTCTCCTGATAAGCACAACGAATGGGAACACTACTCTCATAACGACACATCAACGATTTTATTGTCTCCTTATTTTGTACTATCCAGTATTCAATAACATGCTATAAAAAAAGAAACGTATGTTTCATTATCAAAAATTTTACTTGCTATACTTTAGAGTGACAGCAGATAAAGGTGGTTCTCACAACAAAGCATATGCACGTTTACAAACATAACCGATTCATTAGCTTTTTTAACTCATCAGAATTATTTTTAGGAGTTTCATATCACTTATCTACATGATTAATTGGCACAACATTGAAAAATAATGTAAATTGACGAATTAATAAAAACCGCTTGATTGATGAACGATGATCGAACAATAATCTGAAGTTGGCAGAATATAAAAGATTCGCGATGGCGACTGGAGTGAAATTCTCTTAAGTCAAAAATCGGTTTATTATCTGTGATATCTTTTATGCTAGATACACACCTACCCAAGAACGCCAACGAAGGATATTCAGCGTTGACTACCGCACATTCGTTGGCCTTCGAAGGTACGTCCAAATACATTTAGAGGTCGAGCATACGTTTGTTGGCACCTGATTCCGGCTTGCATTTGCAATTTAATCTTGGACAACGACGAAATAATTATAATTGCTAGTTTTATATACCTTAACGAGCTAGCAAGGATAAGAAAAATTAAACGAAAGCGGAGATGGTGGATAACCACATATTTTAAGAATAGAAATGTTTACTATGGTTTAAGTAAAATGATTGCAGACTTACAAGTAGAAAAAGAATATCGTTTATTTGACAACTTTAGCAGAATATCTTCTCAGGATTTTGAATGGTTGTTGAATGGTATTGGACCAGAAATATTGGAAAAAGATACAAATTATCGTGAAGCAATCCGTTGGTTCGTGACCTTCAGTGACCGTCCACACTGAGTTCGATCTTATGGCTCGATTCCTTCGATGGTACCGCCACACTTTGCATCGCAGGCATGCGCCAACGAACGATCGTAGGCATTCGCTAAGTCGTCCAGACAGGGCCAACAAACCCATTCGTTGGACTTCGTTGGGTCGGTGTGTACCCAGCATTAGAAAAGATTTACTTGAATATCAAAAGGAGTCATAGCCCTTACGCCTAAATTTAAGTACAATATTTTTAAATATTTAAATAAATAAATATTAGTAATTTTATTTAACTATTCCATTTTTTCCATATGACATTATCATCTTAAAAAATAATCGCTAAATAATCAATCTACGAACACTTTCTCAGATTTATACGATATTTGACATTTTAAATAAAACTAGCTTTTCCGATTTTTTTCGAATTTATTCTCCCATGATTGATATAAAGCATTCGAATTTCGAAACGTCGGGAACCAAAAATCAAAATAAATTCGCGAAAAAATCCGATAGGATAGTTCTATTTAATAAATTTATATTTTATTCACGACATAAACATATTATAATTTGTTACAATTTTGTTAATAAATTTCCTTTTTTTTACGTTTAAATTTCTAATTTGCTACATAGTACAATACAAAATATTATCTAATCAGCACATTTTTTTATATTAATGTAACTATTTATAATAGGATTAGTGTGTAGAACTTACTTTTTCATTCATAAATATTTATTATGGTTTGTTTATTATCAAGGGCTCAAACTTTTATCGAAACTTATTTATTAAAGTTTTTAATTGTCTTGCATTTGTAATCCTTCATTCGTTTTCGTTTATGCCTGACGATTCTTTCCATTCACATTTTAGTCTCCTTAATCTGTGATTCACATGCAGTTGATGAACGAACGGGTATCACTTTTGTTCTCGTACGAATAGAACATGGCGGTGCTAGGCAGGATGTGCAAAAGCTTTTGATCTTAACGAGTAACGAATTGCAATAGTGATTTATTTTTAGGACATTTACGTTACTCTAAATTACTGATATATTATCATTATTATACTGTGCTATTCAAAGATTGTCCAACAGTTCATTATCTGGACCAAGTTGCAATGAAAATTATTACTTCATTGGTGGTATAAAAATAATTGTGACAAATATAGCACATAAATTCAGGTAATTTACACTTTAAATATTTTTTTTATAAATTAAAAGGTATAAGCAACATTTGAAGTCACTATACGTTTCATCGCAGCATCCTTTGCTTTGTCATTCAGTTTCAGCTGATCCTTACTTGTTCTAGATAACATACCATCGTAATTTTTAATGTGATATAATTGAGGATTACGTTTATGATATTTTAAAATTTTTGTGAAAATCTAAAAGATTTCTAAAATTGTAAAGTATGTATTTTGTAGCATAAAGTATATTATCTTTGTGCTCTCAATCACGTGTGATTTAATCTTTATTATGGGGTCAATAACTGATGACTATAGTCTATTTCTTTTTTCATCTCACATCTCAGGTCACATTATTTTTCAAATTCTTCAAAATAATATTTATTGTGAAGCCTAATTTCTTTGTTCATATTCATATAATACCTTGTTAGAGCGCACGAGCAGGCGGGTCGCATATTTGTTTTCTCGTGTGGTACTTATTTTTTTTGAATGGCAAACGTGTTACTAAGTGCAAGTGCAATCTGGTCTGTATTATTACCTGATGGTCTGTGGCTACAGATCGGTATGGTAAGGGGCGTCGAGCGCGCGGTGAGGCGAGTGAGGGGCGAGGACCCGTCCGGCAGTCAGCTGTGCGAGTGTCATGTTGTCGCATCTCATTGCGTCGTGGGAAGTGTCCTAAATTACTACCTACATTGAATATTCGCAAAATTTTGGTCTATAAAAGCAATGACCTACATATGCATTAAAAGCACTGCAGTTTGAAATATTGATTAAAGACTATTTAAAAGTGGGTGTTGTCTGGAACATATAAATTTGTAGAAATTTGATATTAGCAAAACATCAGATTGTAGATATGATTCTTTGTGCTACTGTAATAATATAAATAATATTAATAATTATAAATAATCTCTCTTCCTGTAAAGTATCAATTTTATTGATTAAAACTATAGTGCAACTTATTTAATAGTAGTATTTTTTGTGAAATTAGAAATAATTTATAATGTGAGCATTGGTTTCTTTAACTATTTAAAAGAAAATAACTTATAAATAACAAATTATTCACTTTAAAATATTTAAGAAAAGCAAGCAAAGCTTTAATCAATTTACATTCCAGTTATAAGAAAGTAATATAAACTATTGTTCAATGACATAAGTCACATAGAGTGCACATATTGTTACATGAGTGTGTTTAGCATTGCCCATTGTTGTGTAATCAAGCATTTTCAATAAAGTTCTGTTAACGGTTTTTTGCTGGACATGAGCGATAACTGAAACAGCTTAGATTGTGCTAAGTTAATCAGTATTTTATTGTTTTCTATGATTAATTTCCTGTTTTCTATTAATCCTATTTATAGTACCTTAAATGTAGATGAACAAAATGTTTTAAAAATATGTAGAGATTACAGCCAATTCTTAACTAAAAATGATAAAAGTGATCATTTCCAGTAAAAATACTATTAGTTTACAATTTACATCAAAAATAATGAAATCTAAATTACTTAAAGTATTATCTAGTATACTAATTAGCAATTTTACAATGTTTTTATATAATAAATTTTGTTTATACTTTCAGCACTCTGTGGTGGTCATGGCTACGCTCATTCAAGAGAACGGTATCAAAACTAACCATGGCATGGTGACAACTCATGGAGTTCCAAGTCATATGGTACCAGACCATGAATACTGTGAAACAGGCAAACCGGAGCAACCAACACAGCAATTTCTCGAGGCTGGGGACACGACAGTTCAACAAGCTCCTGTGGAGGAAGAGGAAGAAGAAACTCCTGAAATAGACATAATGATAAACAATGTTGTGTGCAGTTTTAGTGTTAAGTGTCACCTGAACTTGAGAGAGATTGCTTTGAATGGTGTTAACGTGGAGTTTAGACGTGAAAATGGTATGGTGACAATGAAACTCCGGCGCCCGTATACTACGGCATCGATCTGGTCATCAGGCCGCGTAACGTGCACCGGCGCTACCAGTGAGGAGCAGGCAAAGGTGGCTGCCCGGCGATACGCACGCGCGTTACAAAAGCTAGGGTTCCAAGTGCGCTTCCGCAATTTCCGCGTTGTCAATGTTCTTGGAACCTGTCGAATGCCATTCGGTATTCGAATTATAGCTTTCTCCAAAAAATACAAAGAGGCTGAGTAAGTTCCCTATTGTTTTTATAATTACTATTCAATATAAGTTTTGAGTTTAAATCATATGACTTACAAGTATAAAACGAAAGTTGTTTACTTCCATAGCTATAGTACATGGTGGTTTGTCTATACAAATATTTTAACAGATATCTTCAACAGCACTGAAATAAAGTTTTAAAAAACTTGCATAATATGTGAAGTGAACCTATTATTTATAAAGTTTTTCATAAAATAAATATATGATAAATTAGAATAACTGATGTATTTGTGTGAGTGAAAAGAAATTTATGATAGTCGTAAGTGATGAGGAAAACATTTATTCGTTATTTTTGTATTTTCTTTTTCTTTAATTGTTTATTACGTCAGAAAGATCAATTTATTATATTTTAACAACTTATGGTTTAGTGCAAGAAAATATGTCTTCCTTTAAAGGCTATTTTAGTCACAGTTGCTAGTGCCACCAATCAGTTTAAACTATTTGACAATAATTTATGAAAGCTTAAATTTGTATCTTATTTCTATGTTTATTAAAAAATCTTCCATATATGCACATGAGTATATATTTTTTATTTAAGCTATACTTTTACCTTTTTAAAGACTTATTTTATCATATCAATAAGTTACCGTTTTTCTATCTTTTATTTTTTGATATTTTTTATTAACTTGATTAAAAGTTAGGTATATTTTTTGTCAATCTAAATAGATTATTGTGATACTTTTCATGAAATAATAATATACTTTCGTTGCAATTATTGAAATGATCTAAATTTATTATGCTGTATAATCTGTACAGGTAAATAAAATTGAAGTGTCTTGAGCTGTGAAATGAAGTGAATTGAGCTTTTTACTAAAAACATATGAATTTTTATAGGATGGATTTTTAAGATGGGGTTAGTAAGGGCAGGTACCTTAATTTTGTATGGAAAAACAATTTATCCCACTAAAAACATTTTCATGTAAAATGTTGCCAAGGCGAGACCATATTGCTCGCACTATCAAAAAGTTATCATATCTCATGTAGAGTCAAGCTTCTACCTCTACAGACTTTAACTCTACAAGCTCTAACTTCACAAACTCTACACTCTCTGTCACATATGTTTCGCATCAAAAAGACCCAATGAGAAGGCTAGCTACGCTGTTCTCTACCTATTTTCAGCCTACGTTATCCAAGTTGAATCTGTCACCTAATCGGAAATCAAAAATTACTAAAATCTACGATCTGACATTTCATTTCTCGGTGTTTTACATAACCACTAATCGTTGACATGCTGCTTTGATAAATGCTAAACGTATTAATACGCAGAATTGTGTGAATGTTTTTTGTATTGTATTTATATGCTGATGACCTAAAACTTCTCAAAGTTATAGAATCTACAGTTGATATAAATTTATTGCAACATGATCTTAATAGTGTGGCCTTCTGGTCTCAAAAAAATGGTATGATATTAAGCGCGGATAAGTGCTATCAAATTACTTTTACTAGAAAGCATCATGTTATTAACGCGGATTGTCAATTGAACGGAAAGAGTTTACACAGACGCAATTGTATTATGGATTAGTGTGTAAAATTTTACAGTAAGTTAACATTTCAAGACCATTTATCGAGTATTGTTAGTAAAGCCTCAAGACAACACTAGGATTTATCCTAAGTAATTGTACAATTTTTAATGCCAATACAAAAATCAAATTATATAATAGTTACGTACGAAGTCAACTTGAATATTGTAGTACGGTTTGGAGACCACACTATTCTACACATTCACTGCATTTAGAACGAGTTCAAAAAAGATTTCTTTGGCATCTCACTCACTCAGAAGGTATCTTGGACAGAAAGAACTCATATAAAGAAAGGTTGACGCACTTCACTTTCAGAACGTAGAGATGCCTTAGATATTATTTTTCTTTCCAAAATCATAACCGCATTTAGTGACTGCCCCAATATATTAGCACCATTACGCATTAACGTACCATCAAGATGTCCTCGTAATTCCATCTCTCCTTTCTCACTTTCCCTTCGCAGAACCGTACTTGGAGCTAACTCACCCATTCCGAGACTTATGGTCGATTTCACCAACGTTACCTAAGTTTAAGGGATCCCCTAAGCACGGTTAGGGGGCTGTTAGGGGACAGTTTCTGTTTCATCGACAGGGGTTACCTAAATGTTAAAGTGCCACCTAAATATAGGTACTAGAAATACGGGCTCTCACGATGGTAAAACGACATTTAATTTAGTGGCTAGTTTAGGGGAACTTTTAAGCTAGGGATTCTATACGTAAGTGATACCTTAAGTGATGTTGGTCAAATAGGGCATTAGTCGATTAGCTAATTACTATGCAAGAGAATACGACATATTTTCGATCCCTAAAATTAAAAATATATTACTGTCTATGAAGTAGCCCCAGCTGTGAGACAAAAATCTTTTATTGTTTGTATTTTGTTTCTTTTTTATATTACTTACATGTCATTTTTGTTTTTAATGGTAGGGGAGCCCACGAAGCTAAATGGGGATTTACTCGAGCGTCGTAGAGACCTATTGGGATGCAAAGCTTAGATGATAAGAAGAAAAAAATGTTATATGATATATACCTTTACATCGGTGGGGGAAGCGGCTATAGATTTTTAAATATGTAAAAAAAACTGTTGTATAGACATCCTCGAGCGCGTCAGATATTGATAGCATAAATGCCCTACGTATTTTTAATAATGTACGTATGTTAATCTGATCGTTTGCATGATGCGGGTGGTTGTATTTAAGGGTTGAAAATGAAAAAAAAAAATTTAATCGAGCGCGTCAGATTTTCTAAGGGAGTGTTAAGTGCACCAAAAAAAAGCTCTCATTCACTAATCTGACGATTTTGATGGGACGCAAACTCGCGGCCATTTTCATAATGTGCAAAAAAAAATCGCCATTTTGAAATACTCAAGCGCGTCAGATTAAGATATATATGGTTCATCTTTATGTTCTAAACGTACTGTCTCATAATCTGACGATTATCTAGAGGGATTCGCCTGATCTGACAAAAAAAAATTAGAAAAACGGTTCACCTTAAAGGCCATACCTGCAACTTCCCGCTAATTCCATTCCTGTGCGCTTAAAATTGTACTTATGGCATTTTTGAGCTCAAAATATAATTTATGTGATATTTTGAGCTCGCAGAGTTCAAAGAAATAATATTTCTATGCATTTGAGCTCTCCCAGCTCGAAAGTCTGATAGAAGTTTCATAGAACACTATTTTTGGAATTTTCAAACCGCAATAACTTTTGAATAGATCAAGCAATTTTCACGCGGTTGACGGCATTCGACGCAGTTTTATCATCCTCATACGTTATTTTCAGGTTTTAATTGATCGAACCAAAAATTTCGGAGTAATCCTGAAAAAACACTTTTTTTCGGTTTTCTTTTGTTCACGATATCTCTCGAACGAATCAACCGATTTTGACCGGATTAGCGACGATCGGCGTGGTTTTTCTAGCTTAAGGGTGGATTAGTTTTTGAAGTTAATTGATAAAGCCGATTAAAAGTTATTCCAAAAAAACCACTTTCAAAAAAAAATCTTATTTTTTTTGAGATTATTCAAAATTTCTCAAAATCTATCGGTCCAATTGTTTTCTCTGGGTAATTTATTTTTAAACGAAAAGTATAATATTCGTAAGTAGACTATTTTGACACACGATTTGAAGGAATTTAAATTGATCCAATTGAAGATCCAGAGATATTTCATTAATTCGCGAATTATTCGAAAATGAATATTCCTTTTACAAAAAGAGACTTGTGAGTTGTGACGTACGGGATGAAATCTTTAGCTATTTTTATTCTGTTATGCCAAGTACGTACATAAGTACACACACACGTTTTTTTTCAAAAATCTAAACAAAGAAGATTTTATTTTTATTGAAATCGGTTTTAACGAGTCCATTTTCACTGGCCCTTATATTTTAGTTTCAAATTACGTTATCCACTGAAAAAAATCACCTTTATATTAATTTAATTCATTAATTTAATTCATTATTTATACTTATTAAAATATTGATTTATTTAAGCATATCAAATATTTAGAAAAAGTAACAGAATGGCAAATTAAAATTTATTTTAGTGAAATTCATTCATTCAAGCAATATAAATATGTATATTAAAATTAATAGATTCATATTTAGGTATATTGTAATTATTTAATTAAAATTATTTCTTATGTTTTTTTTTTGTATTATTTTATAGCTACGAGCCCGAACTTCATCCCGGTGTCACATATAAGCTGTACAATCCAAAAGCTACACTTAAGATATTCTCTACCGGTGGCGTCACTATAACAGGTAAACATTTAATTATTTATTTCATACTAGCGATTTTCATAGGTACGTTTTTTTTTTGAGTGGAACCCTAATTCTTTTTATAAAATAAAAAGTAGCCTAAGTTACTCCTTATAACATGAGCTATCCGCCAGTAAATGTCCCGTCAAAATCAGTCCAGCTATTTCGGAGATTAGCCGAAACAAACAGACAGACAAAAATTGTGTTTTTTCTTTTAAGTACCCCTACTGTATCTAATTTTATATGCATTTAGTAAAAAGATGTTTTTTTAACATTACAAAAATACACTTTAATTTTATTTATCTGTATAGATAGATATGAACCTGCTCTTTTTACTATTTTGCTTTTTTTACATAAATCCCGTTAGGAGAAACTTGATTATGGCTATTCAAAGTATCTAATATGTTAATGCCGAGTGCAAAAGTTTGGCGAAATGGAAATATTTTTTTAAATTTATAATGATTAAGTTCTCTTTGAAGCTTATTATTTTGATTTTTAAACTTGTTCTATTTGTACATAATTGGTACTAAAATGTACTCCACCTTCAAATCAAGGTCGAAGTTGAAACCATAATACGATTTTATCGCAGTTTTACAAAAGTGAAGAGCGTTTAATAACTTGTAAAAATAACACATATTTATTCAATTTATTAAACTCACAAAATAAGCAAGTGATATGTACGTACAGACTAACGAATGGAAGCTTAAATACGAATTTAATGTTTCCTATACAAAATATAATAAAATATTTTTGCTTTAATTTACATTGAGCCTGTGTTAAAATTATAAACTGTAAAACCTATCTATTCTTAATTATAAGATATGGTTTTACACTTCATTTGTACATAAGTATGCTTGATGTTTATGGCAGAAGCACAAATAGTTACAGATACAAAAACGAAGGTATACGGTGTCAAGGTTTTCATAAACTTATTAAGAGTATGACCATAATACTTGAAAGACGAAAGTATTAATATCTATTCATTTATACAGATAAATAAAATTTGAAGTGTCTGTTTGTTACGTCAAAATAACAGTTTGTTACTAAATGCGTATGAAATTATTCCCTTCACGACCGCGAACACGCCGGCGTTACAGTTAACAATAGATTTCTTAGAACTTTACCTGGAGGTGTATACGGTACTTATAAGAAAAACACCTTTTTTAAAATGTTTGTCTGTCTGTTTCTTTCCTCCGGCTAAGCTCTGAAACGGCCGGACTGATTTTGACGGGGCTTTCACTGGGAGATAGCTGATGATGTTATAGGGAGTAACTACTTTTATTTTCGAAAAAGAGTTAGTGTTCCGCTCAAAAAAATTATAACGTACCTAGGGACGCACCCGAGCGTAACTAGAGTTGGTCGCTAGTTAAAAATAAAATTAAACATGAAACATAATATCAAACAAACATAAAATACCGAAGTAGTATCACAATACATAACACTATATATTTGTATTACCAACAAAGAAAGGTTTGCATTGAACACCGCTTTTTGTTTTTTTTTGTCTTGCAGGTGTTTATGTGGGACTCATTATGAATGCTACGCATCCTTATTTATCATCGGCATAAATACGAATAAATATTCGTCTTAACTTTGATTAGATAACCGCAACGCTCACAGCTAGTTGCCTACTGAGGCAAGCGATATTGCATATCCCTAGTTTTTCTTATGCTTGACCAGTTTGTTATACTTTTTTCTATACTGGACTTTGGACTAAAATGACACCGAGTTTAACGAATGTGTTTTTACAATATAGCAAAACAATAAAAATCATTCTTGTAGGTTTTTTTTTCATAAAATTATTATGTAGAATACCTTTCTAGAGTATCGTTTATATTAAAGCTTTTTCTGTAATAATTACTAAGTACTTTTAGAATGGTGCAACTTTGAATAATTTTAAGAGCAGTGTTTTAGAATAGTGGTTGTAAGTCGTTTTTTGAATGATGTATGCGAGATACTGTTAACAACTGTTATTTCCATTTATTATTATCTAAACTAAAAAATAAGAACAGAGCATTTAAAACAAACCTAAGCATTTTTTGTATCTATAATAGTTTTGGAGATATATAAATTTTTCCTTTGGTAGAACTTCGTTTTATGATAAAAGAAAACTTCCCATAAAATTTAATCGAAATTGAAAGGGATCGATTCCAACCATTGGTCGATTTGACATGGAATGATTTTATGTAGGTAATATGTAAGTCAGTTGAATTGGTATACAGTATACAATATCTGCCGTTACAACTTTTCTGTCTGAATAATTAATTTATATCTAACACTTTTATTTGTTTAAATGATAGCTCGAAGCGTGAACGACGTGCAGTCTGCGGTGGAGCGCATTTTCCCTCTCGTGTACGAGTTCCGCAAGCCGCGCACGGCCGCCGACGAGGAGCTGCTGCGGCAGCGGCGTGCGGCGCGCCGGCCCGCGGGCGCCGCCGGCGAGGGGGTGGCGGCGGGCGCGGGGGTGGGGGCGGGGGTGGGTGCAGTGGGGGGGACGCGAGGCGAGCGCTCAGCGGCCGAGGCCGGCATCGCGCCCGCGCCCGCCGATGACCCCATGCACCTCGTGACGCTGTCCGACGACGACGCCGACGCCTGGGAATGACGCGCCCGCTCCCCTCCATCCCGCTATGTAACGACGGAATCCCGTTTGGCATAAAGCAATAACTATCGATTGTTAGTGCAATCGCGTGTGAACTGTCGGCGAGCTCTTTTCGGTTCATGCCAAAGATATTTATTAGAGGAGGTGCTTCGCGCTTTTGACGGACGCCGCCTCGCCGCGTCCAGCGGATGTATGTATTGACGCTCCTGTGACCTCTGTTAGCATGCGTAGGTACGGTTGATTCGTTTAACTCGTTTGATTCTAAACCAAATTACCGTAAATGATAAAGAATGAGAGAATAAATCTCTTTACCGATACTCAGTCTCGTTTTTTATTTGCCGTTGTGATTGATGAATTCGTAGTGATAATAGTGTTCACGATAACGATGTAAGGAAGTAATGACTGAATGTTAGTTAGATGTTAGTGATTGTAAATACGAAAGCTTTAGACATTATACATTTAATTAAAAAAACTTGTTTTATTACATCATTTAATATCACATAATTTGTAGACAAGTAAAAAGGTTACACAGTTAATATTGTGCCAATAAAAATATAGGTACATAAAGATAGAGAGTAGACTTTAAAAGAGGTAAAATATTTAAGTTAGACGTGTAGTTATTTCACTTGATATTTGCTATCAATAGAAACTATGAAAAATGGAAGAGCTTAAGATAACGTGTTTAATTAAGAATCTGATCCATGCGTGTCGCCCTCGTCACTGGTGAGGCGCGCGCGCGCACGCGCCGGCAAGCGCCGCGCACTCGCCCGCGCGCGCGCGGCCGTCGGCGGCGTGCGGATGTACGCGCTCAAGTCTACCACGGAGAGCCTTGGAGTTCTAACTGCTCTACCTATAATTCGTCTTAGAATAAAGTTATAGTAAATTAGCTGATCGATTAATAAAAATTTTACCTCTTTCATTGTCAAGGCACCTGAAATTTACGTAATTATTTAGCAATTCCAACGGTAGTATATTAGTGTTGTTTTCTCAAATTCATTATTATTGTCAACAATCATGGCACATTCTTGTTTGACTTACACTCACGAATTTGACTTTAGCATTTGTACAATTATTAATGATTTATGCCATACATATTAGTGACTAGCTCACCCTCGCTTCGCTCGGGCTCGTCCCTAGGTTCGTTTTAATTTTTTTGATCTGAACTCTTAATTCTTTTTCTAAAATAAAAGTAGCCTATGTTACTCCCTATAACCTCAGCTATCTTTCAGTGAAAGTCCCGTCAAAATCAGTCCAGCTGTTTCAGAGATTATCCGGAACAAACAGGCAGACAAAAATTCTAAAAATTGTGTTTTTCTTATAAGTACCGTATAAAGTTCATATGCATTTAGTAAAATAAAAACCGACTTCAAAACGCTGTAATTTTGATATTACAGACACTTCAATTTTATTTATCTGTATAGATTAAATAATTAAATAAAAGACGCAGATGTAGACCAAATCCACCCTGGGCTTGGACTACATCTGCGGTGGAGTTACCGTTCTTATTTAATTGATATTGGTCCGAAAAATAATGTAAGTTATGTATTATATAGGTACATATATACAATTATTATTAGTAACCTATTATATACCAGTAATGATAGGTAGAATATTATCTCCAACATAAGGCGTCCGTGGCTTAGCCCTGAGGGTCGCGTTGCGTGCATTGCGTACAGGCAGCGCGCGCAGTGCAGGCGGCGACGTGACGGGTATAGGAGGCGATAACACGCGCCCCGCAAGCACTCGCCTCTCAGGTGATGAGCTGGGAGACCTAAAATATTGAGACAATCTTTTGAGATATAATGTGTATCTTATATATACATATGCTTAACACCGAGTCAGGGGAATATAAGAAGAGAAATAGAACAAATCTAGATATTTTTTTGTTTCTCCGTCTGTTTGTACAGGCTAATCTCCGAATCTGTAGGACCGATTTAAATGAAATTTTGCATGGTGGTACCTTATATCCCCGGTCAACGTTGAAGATACTTTTCATTCCGGAAAACTAAAGAGTTCCCGTGGAATAGTTAAAAAAACTATGGTAACTTATACAGCTTAGTACAAAAAACTACTGATTGGATTTTAATGAAACTTAACAATTTTTTAGTTCATACATCAAAATAACAAATAGGCTAATTTTTATCCCGGAAAAATGTACGGTTCTCGTGGGATAGATTTGTTTTTGTTTGCCTCGAGGCGAATCCAAGCGAAGCGAGGGTGAGCCGCTAGTATTTACATTTAAAAATATGGATAAGTGATGATCGACGCTTCGCTTACTATTAATCGGAAAGCTTATGTTTGCGTCTTGTATAATTTTTAATATACTACATTTGTATTAATTAATCAACTATTTTCTTTATATAGCGGAACAATAAAATGGTTTTAGATGCCTAAATAATAGAAAAGGCCTGCTAGACCGATTTCATCACGGCGCGCGACTGGAGATATAACACAATAGTGTATTTGGCACTTAAAATCTGATGGAATAACATTTGATACGCTAATAAAAGTTCAGACGTAAAACCGTAACTTTATGAGTTCTTCAGGCACTGAATTATAACATCACCAACTTCATTCTTCAAGCTGCTAGTCACAATTACTAATTTGTCTATCCCGGTACTCAATCAAACCCAGGAGCTCGAGTTGTGCCACTTAACATGTAAGCCATTAGACCGACCATGGAGCGTCAAGCCACCGAATTATTGGAATAAATTCAGGTTAACCAATATATAACATTTCAATGACTTAATTATAATAATCTAATACCTATAAACGAGCAATTCTTGTATATTTATTTATTTATACCGGCGATCTCGGAAACGGCTCGAACAATTTCGCTGAAATTTGATATGTGGGGTCTTATGGCTGGGAAAACCGCATGTTTGTTATAATCTATACATAAAATAAAATTGTAACTAAGCCGAATCTGTACATTAAATATTTTTTGGAAAATCTTATTGAAATAGGCATTATTATCGAAACAGAGGCCGAATCTATAGCTTTTAGAAGTTTTGTCTGTCTGTCTGTTACCGCATCACAGAAAAACCACTGGAGGGATTTCGATGAAATTTGATATTTTTATCTCGAGAAAATATCTCATTTCTAAGAAAAAATATAAAAACTGCATCGTAAGAGTATACTAATATTTAAAACCTAAGAATTAGGTTTTCCGTCATCTGAACGCGGGCGGAGCCGCAGGCAATGCTAGTGATTATATAATATATATTTGTTCCTAACATATGCATTTCATCACCTTAGCCTTGTACATATAACCTATATGAACATATAAAATCGAAATACCACTGATTAATCACGAAATTTTAGAAAGTATAATGGGTTTATACTTTCTAAGTCAAACTTGAAATTTTGATTGTTAGATTCTTCCTAGGGTGTATATTTATCCGCAAAGGAGTTCCAAAATTCAACCTCGAAAAGAGTTTTAAATCCTCGAAAAAAATTGTTATCGTTAAAGTTACAATGATCAAAATTAGAAATAATCTTTCTGATTAAAAATTGTGACTAAGTATTGTAATTCAAAGTTTTAGGCCTACCCCTGAGGATGAAAATTAGGGGTAATGGGGTAATGTGAACCTTAAAAACAGAAATGATACATAAATAAACTTATAAGCAACGATACGATACGGTTCCTATGAAACTTTGATAAATTACTTTTACTATGTTAAATGTTTCTAAGACTTTAGTATTATGAAGGTATAATTTGTGACGCACGATTCGTATTGGAGAGTTTTTGGTTTATTAGCCTAAATTAACATACGTATGTGTGATGACTGATGCCTTAAAATAAGCTAAGCGGAGCCGGAACTGGCCGCTAATATTAAATACATACTCTTAAGTAAACTACGCAAACCTTTCTTTTTCCTTGATGGGCCTCTTTCGTCTGTGCCTCCTCCGAGATTCCTTCTTCTTTATGTTGATACCTTCACGAGGCGGAATTACTCCCACATGTCTGTAGTAGTCGCACAGAGCTTTTACTAGTGATCTTCCTATTTTAAAATCTATATATAAGTATATTTACATGTAAGTATTACTATTATTTATATAGCGATTCATGTTGTTATAGTGAAACTCATGATATCTTGGACTAGGTAGATAAAAAAATCAAATTTCAAAATAAAAGGATACAAGCATCTTCAGTGTAATGTATATAAGGTCCCGTTGGAGTCAATCGCCGTCCACCCAAGGAAGCCAGTAATGAATAAGCGTCAGTAGCGCCCGTAGGTAATGCCCGCCTCGCACTCCCTCCGGCATAATTGTCCATATTGTATAAGCAGGACTCCGGCTTCCAAGCCTCTATGCGCATCCCGAAAAACTTAGGGAGAACTGCGTGCCTTTCAAATCTGTTCATATAGTCATACTATTAAAAAAAATAGCTTTAATTTGATATATAAATGATGAATGCGATATGCGATGAACGTATAAACGTCTCAAAATATGACCCGCTACCACTTGGCTGCGAAGAGGTTGCGGCCAAATGCGCAACGGCAGCTATCATTTTTGAAGATCACTACGTATAGTTCTGTGGAGTGGGGTATAATTCATTTTAATAACAAATGCATCGTTTTTGTTCCAAAAAGTCGACTATTATTTAGTTAATTAAACATACTAGCGGGCACATTTGAATAGGCACCCCGGTCAAAACTTATTGTCCCTTTTATTATTGTATATAAAAAATTGATTTCGATTAAATACGCTATGAACGTAGCAATCTTGCAGCGGGATCTCGATCCATTATAATGTCAAAATAACAGCTTTTTACTAAATAGGTATAAAATTATATAGCCTACGGTACTTATAAGAAAAGCACAATTTTTAAAATTTTTGTCTGTTTGTCTATCTGTTTATTTCAGCTATTCTCAGAAACGGCTGGACTGATTTTGTAAAAGAGTTGAAAAAGATGAAAAAAAGTTGACTAACAAATAGTATTATGCCGTTGGAGACGATACAATACACGTAGCAAGACTCGCAGCTAGTATAAAACGTTATTGCATATTATGTCTGCAACTGCAAAATACTATGTTTCTTCATCAACTAGTTCTCATATTTTTTTATTGTTATCTTTTTACGCAGGCGGTTTTTTTTTATTTTCGTAAATTATTTTTTATTCTGATCTTTTTAGTTTTCCTCAGTCATTTTTAGTTTTATTTGCCCATTTCTTATCATATTTGCCCATTTCTTATCATTATTTTTAAACATATGAATTGCGTATATTTTTGTAATCACCTAATGTTAAGGATATTTATGTGTACCATTTAGATGATTATTATTTTAACATTCACATATTATATTATTAACGGACGTTAAATGAAAACATACATTTGTCCGAGCTTTTGTAACTAAAGTAAAAATGAGATAGGTAGGTACCTTCTTTCATTAATTAGTAAGTGAAATTTATATGATTACCCTGGAAACATTTTAATTATTGGACTTATTACCTGTACACATCATCGTAGGAGTTTCCACGTACAAAAACGCCCTCGTGGCTTACATCAGCATGAATGTCAATGATGAAATCCAATTGCAACGTCTATAAATTTGAAATATGTAGTAACTACGTCTAATTAATAATATTAAGTACTAGCGACTCACCCTCGCTTTGATCGGGTTCGTCCCTAGCTTGATTAATATAAAACACAAACTTTCATCCCCATTTTCATCCTCTTAAGGGATGATTTCAGGGATAAAAAGTGTCTTATGTCCATGTGTAAAAAGTGTATTATGTGTGTTACCAGGGTCTCAAACTATCTTCTTACCAAATTTTATCTAAATCGGTTCAGTAGATCCAGAGATTATCCCCTACAATTTCACAAATTCACAAACTTTACCTCTTTATAATATTAGTATAGATTATTAGCATTTAAAAAAAAAACCTCTTTTTTCGATTAGTCTTCAGTAACTTAAATAACTGTAAATTGTACCACTCTTAATGTTTCATTTAAGTTTGAAAAAGACTAATCCCATAGTTAAATACTGGGAAAAAGAGTAGCCCAACCCCCTCACTCGCCCAAATATATGTATATGTACAAGTACCACATATAGCTAAGAGATGTACCTATGTTACCTACATAAGTGCCACTGAAAAATATCGATGTGAGTACCATAATTTGCTTATAAAGATTAATTTATTATCTATTGCTAAATAACATACTTTTTCAGCGTTAATTTTTTGTATTAGTTGATTGATTGCAATAAGAGCTGGGTGAGCGAAAGTTGTGGCTCTGTTCCAACAACGATTGAGGTCCGAACCAAGAAGGTCAGATCGCTGGTTTCCCAAAAATACACCATCGGGGTTTAACATTGGTACAACCTAAAACCAATGATGGATATTTTTATATGTTAGTTAAGTACAATTAAAAATTATGGAGGTTGTAGTGATAGTTTCACCTGTATTACAATTCCATTTCGTAATGCTACCGCTTTTTCTAAAGAACTTACTAGGTAGTCCAAAACACCTGGAATTAGCAAAAGGTTTAAACACATCTATTTATTTCCCAAAAAAGATAACAGTTCAGTTAAAATATGAGAAAAATTGAATATAATAAATATTTATGTAACTAACACACAATTGGTAAGTAACATATTTTGTATGAATAATATTATAAATCAATGAAAAATATTACCTTGACAAATAAAGGAAGCTGGTTGTTCACCGCCATGTACTCTTGCTAAAATAAGAACTACACGTTTTTTTTTATCAATTTTTCCTTTCACGTTGTGTTCTTCCTTAATTTCTTCTTTTAAAATCGGATTACCTATAGTAATTAAATCTATTCGGCGTTTTTGCTAAAAATATTTCATTAAGGTTCTTAGATATACGATTTAATAAAATCAATAAATACTGAAAAATCTAGGCGAATCTATTTCGAAGCTCATTTTTGCATATTGTATCTAAGTAATATTCTATTCTTGTTTACCTGCATACACAGTTTTTATGCTCAATTTTTATAAATTAGATATTCAAAAAAATATCACTCACAGTGCTCTGCGCAATACTTTCTCTTGTGGCAAATGATAGAGCACGTTTTTCCCATGCAGCCAGATATTTTTGCAATCTCGAATAAGAATATGGAGCGGCTGCTGCGATCTGGTATACATCTTCCTCTTTATCAAATCCAAAGGCTAAACTGAGTATCTTGCGGCCGCGATGAACCAGTGATCGGTGGTAAAATAGCAGACGTCGAGGAATACGTTGCCTAAACATTTATACGATACTACTTTCTTAGATTTACGCGAATACTTGACATTTTAAATAAAACTATCTTTTCGGATTTTTTCGCGAATTTATTTTGATTTTTGGTTCCCGACGTTTCGAATGCTTTACAGCAATCATGGTCACGGGAGAGACTGAGGTGTTAGATGTCTCTAAGGTATTATATAGTTGTTACAGACAGCCTACCCACAAACAAAATGAATTCTAAAATTTCAGAAAAGATAGTTTTATTTAAAATTGATACGATATTTTATTATTTTCATTAAAACGAATGTTTTTCTGATTCCAAAAAATCTTACCATTTTGGTCGTGATGTCGATCGCACTAACGGTGTCATATTTTCATTAAATAGGTTGTTTTCTTTTCCTAAATTAACAATGTTGAAAATAACCCGCTGAAAATAAAGTGTTCAAATAAATATTTATGTAAACTTTCGTTATTAAAATATTGTAAGGATCAATAGAGTAAAAGGTTTAAATACCTGCTCTTGTTTCACATTCTCTACAGTGAAATTAAACCAAAAACGTGACCGAGGTCTACAGGTATCTGGTCTAACGAAAAGATCATATTCGAGCTCTGTAATGTGGTCAGCACGACCAAGATTACCACACTCGAAGGCTGCATCAAAGCAGAGATGACCGCGCTTTGCTTTACCACTGTGCCCAGGAGGACGTACGATTAAGCGGTTGAGATTACCGAGACCTCCCTCTCCGTCACTTTCTTCACTGTCTATATAAGAAATATTAGGTACAGATTAAGCAACGTTTATTTAGTTTATGTTTAACCAACCATCAAAAACTTAATATTATTGAACCTGAACTATTTTTCTATATTCGACATAGAATCCGGTAACTGCACGCAAAATTGAAAAGAATAATAATAATTGATTAATTATTTAATTTTAAAGTTTGAATACTATAACTACCATTACGAGGCCGGAGATAAATTGTGGTGTGCTCGAGATCGTCCACAAATGCATCCATTATATAAACTGATCGTGCGTATATGACTTTAAATTATACTTAAAATATTTATAGTATTTGATCAGCTACGTGTGATCTTTACTGAAAGTCTCAGAAGAAAATGCCTCAAGCATACTAAGCCATCAATAAGAAAACCGTTTACCTAACACGCCATGAGTTAAAAGCAATTGAAAATCCACATTCAATTTATAAAGTAGCTCAGTTAAACTAAACACATTGCTACCCTATAAAGTATAAACATAACTATGGCTAGGTACTATAAATATATACATATTTTCTCGTTTGTAGGAAATCGTTCGAAACCAGTTTTTTCATGTGGCTTTGTACGCATATTTTTCAATTTTGATTGATAGTATAAGCTCGTTGCAGTAGTAGTAATGAAGCATAAAAGTTTTTAAAAACCCTATGGATTTAGATTTCAAACTTCAATATATTTAGTTTTATTTTACTCTTCATTTTTAAGCTTAATTAATAATTGGTAGATAAGAATTTGATGTCAGATAATCATGGTGGATTACTATGCATAATGTATTAAATTGTCTCGATGGTCTAGTGGATAGCATGTACGCATGTCCGCACATTCGGAGGTTTTGGGGTCGGGCCAAGTTCAGCTATTGAGTATTTCTGTCAAGAAATTCTCAGTAACAGCCCAGAGTTGGGAAGTTGGCGGTGTTGTACCCCCGTGGCTCGGAGAGCACGTAAAGCTGTCGGTCCTGCGCCTTAACTTTCACCAGTTGTATCAAAGTATCGTCGCATCGAACTTTGAGAGTAAAAGGAATAGAGTGCACTTGTGTCTGCGCATACACTTGTGCACTATAATATGTCTTGCGCATCTGGCTAGTCTCAGTGAGATTAGCCGCTGTGGCCGAAATCGACCAGGAGGATATTTATTATTATTAGAATTAATTTATTACGTACCCATCTAAGTGAATATAGAACAATAACATTTATTTTCAAAGAAATAGTGCATGACTATGAGTTATTCAATTTTTGCAATACAATATGGAATTTATTGTTTTTGCATTTACTACGTTACCGAGCAAAATCGTATATTATTATATTTTACTTAAGAAAATAAACTTTATTGATTATTTTAAATCTATTTAGCGTATATGTTTAAAATAACAGTAAAAATAACAAAGTAAGAAAAAAATAGCCTAAATAGCCTAAAAATAATCTAGATGACTCGTGAAATTTTGTTATTATATTTCATAACTTCGTAAATAATTTTATTTTAAGGTATAATAATATACATACTAACGTTTATTAAGCACTAGCAGAACCCGAGGCACTGCTCTCGCTAAAACTACAAAAAAACTCTAAAAAGGTAGGTTTCATACCAACTTTCATCCGCTATTTTACCCCCTTATGGGATGAATTTCGAGAAATGCTAAAACATGAATTAAATAATTGTATTGAAGAGTATTAATACCAACTTTCAAGTAATTCTGATCATAAATAATTTTTTGGATTGTATTATAACGTGTTTTCCCGTGGGAAAGAGATAATCTGCCGCGGTAATTAGTCGCCAATGTCACTCTCCAGCCCTCAAACTATCTCCATACAAAAAATCACGCCATTCTGCCAAGCCATTTCGACGTGAAAGAAAGACAGACAAACAAACAAACAACAAACAAACAAAGAAACAAACAAACAAATACACTTTTACATTTATAATATTAGTATGGAAGTATGGATTTTATCATTTTAGAAAAGATTATTCATTTAGTTTAACCTATTAAGGTTTTCGATTATTAAATCGATATTAGGAATGTAGCGCAATTTCATTACTTCATTCTAAGCGTATGTGTATGTAGGTACGCCGTAAAGCGCCAATTTTCATGTGTATCGCATTTCCGCCAAACGCCTTACACGAACACAGCTAAGGTATTTTCTTAAAGGAGCGTTAGTCACGCAAGCTTTGCCGTAAGGACTTATATTTATGTAGGTATTACGAGTATATACATGTATTTAAAATACTGCATTGGTGCACATTGTCGAAGTACCTAAGTAATTAAGTAGCAGGCAGGTACGTGTTATAAGAAAAATAATTATTATCATCATCATTCATGTTTTTAGCTCGCATTTTACGTAGTCGAGTTTTTTTACATAAGTACGCGAAGCCTAAGAGAGTGTCATGTGTTTGATTTGTAATGATGTATGTATTTGTTTGTATTTCCGATTCTATATTCACTTGTTATTACTAAATGACTAAATGTCATTAAATATTAAAATAGCAGGTCTTAGGCGCCACTTGGTCCCTTGAAAGAAAATATTACTCCAATTTTAAATCAATTATTATTATATATATATATATATATATATATATATATATATATATATATATATATATATATATATATATATATATATATATATATATAAGGTGATTTCAGCAGTCGGAGGACCTTGCGACAAGCGTGAATGATTAAATTGAACAAACGAAACAGGTATGTAGAGATCGCAGCGTCAGATACTCAGCCAGATATATATTAACTAGTCTACTCATTATAATTCAATTGTTTATGACATAAAACTTAAGCACTTACCCGACATTATGATTTAATCTTCAGTAAAATAACAACAGTATATAAATAGTAAGGTTTGAACACATTGTAAATTACGAACAATTTCCTTTCATTTTTCTCTTTCCTGTGCAGGTTCATTTGTTGTTGCCACGATACGATACACTGCGACATTTTTGCTTAATAATAATAACAAAAATAAAAATGTTTATTTCAATGCGTAACTGTTCAAATTGGTCACTAAGCAACCAAGATAGTTTGTTAAAATCCATACGATGTGCTCAGAAGCATTTTAATATTAAGAGAGTGTTTTGTCATATCGTATGTATGTTTTTTTTATTAAATGCTTAAGTATAATTTAGTGCCAAGAGTTAACATAAAGTTAATTTCTTTATTTTTATTCTTTCTTGATTAGGCTAATCTATGTGAGTTATAGTACTAGTATATCAATTAGGGATAAGCTTTTTAGCTCTACATAAAAACTTATTAAAGTGACACTTATTATATTTTAAATTCAGATTTTAACGTATACAATTAAAAATTATTTAAATCCAACCAGCAGTCATAGGCTTATAAGCGATTTAACAGACAGACTACAATTCTTACTAATTTATTATCTATACATAATAAAATTGTAACTAAGACGAATCTGTACATTAAATATTTTTTGGAAAATCTTATTGAAATAGACTTTATTATCGATACAGAGGCTATAATCTATAGTTTTTAGAATTTTTGTCTGTCTGTCTGTTACCGCATCACAGAAAAACCACTGGATGGATTTTGATGAAATTGGGTATGATGATACCTGGTTATCTGGGTCAACATATAGGATACTTTTTACTGCGTAAAAATGTCTCATTTCTGAGAAAAATACAAAAACTGCAATGTAAGAGTATACTAATATGTAAAACCTAAGAATTTGGTTTTTGGTCATCTAAACGCGGGCGGAGCCGCAGGCAATGCTAATATATTATAAATACTAAAGTGTAAGTATGTAAGTTTGTACTTTCAAAACCTTTTTAGGTTCCTATATTGTCACTTTTTATCCATACCTATGGATAAAAAGTGACAATATAGGAACTTTTTTCATTAAGGCATCTACAGGTGATTTACATGACATTTTTTTGACTTAGATACTTTAACATGTCATTTACTTTTCATGACGTCTTACTGACTTAGATTATCTGTTACATGTTGCTGGTATTCGGGATAGCAAAAAAAATTATTTGAATCTTTTCCTTTATTTAACAAATACATATATTAATAATAATGTTAAATATTTTGGCATCACAACGCCTCACGCACCGCAAACATTTAATAAAGCTCAACATAGTTAAATCAACATCCAGACTAAATCATGAGACAATTATTTTAAATGCTATTTACAAAAATAATTATAACATTTTTTCCAACCGTACAAAGATATATAATTTGGTAAAAAATTACGTAAAAATTAATAAGGTTATTGGTAGAAGCTGTCATTAAAAAATTGTTAATTAAGTGTAAGTTTAGCAATTCCTTATTTCCAGGGCGATTCCAGTATATTGTATATATAATAATGTACATACATATTATGCTAGATATAAAGTTAGATGAAGTGATTTTCTACTTTCAATACTTATTACCATTTTGAGTTTGCAATGGCCAATATAACATGTTTAGAAAAATATTAAGCTGGCAATTATTAAAAAAAAAATTCGCTAAAGAAATGAAAATTTCTCTGAATTTCAATAAACGGATTATATGTTATGAATTAGTATTTAATTGTATCAAGTAGGTACATGCTCAATCATCAACCGACTTCAAAAAGGAGGAGGTTCTCAATTCGACTGTATGTTTTTTTTTTTGATAAAAAATATTCAGCAACGAAACATCTTAAAGTCTAACATTCCGATCTTCGTGGTGGATTCCTCGCTCTATTTTTCCAGGCGAAATATATTTTTTAAACAATAAAACATATTAACGAACACGACTCATGGGGATTGTCTCCAAAAATTTGCTCCAGGCTATTTTTAATTTTATACTTGGAACGTCAAACAAAGCATGGAGCCTTTTACTTCTCTATAATATATAGCTGTCAACTTCTTCGATTATTAAAATATTTAAAAAAAAGTAGTGTTGCTCATAAAAAGAACTTTTATAAATATTTAACGGCAAATTAATGTACTATTTTTTTATTAAAAAACTTTATTCTTTAACTTATTTTTTATATGACGTGTTGTGATGTAATACACAGTGGAATGGAGATAGATTAAAATAGTTTTATTTGAATACAGAACGGACGGGTCCAGACATATTTAAAAAATGTAATTTTATGAATACACAAACGTGCTAAAATAAACAATGATAAAGAAATACTTTTTCTTCAAGACTGTTTTTGTTGAGACCACGCATAAACGACAAGGTTTATCTTTAGGTTCTAATTCCTCATTTATTTTTTATTACTAATTCTGTTTGAAGAGAGAGTCATTCTAGCATACTTGGTAAGGTTTTCATATATTTTGATTTCATGTACTTTTTTCCATCAATAACCATACTACTGCATATGTACTTACATATGTACCTAAAATTATACTACAGAAAACATATACATATGTGTATATATTCATATGGAAATTTAAACAAAGTAAGAATGTTATCCGTTTGATAAAACTTACATTCATAATTAGACAACGATATGAAGACATGAAATATAAATTCAACATTTAAAGACGACGAACTAGTTTTATACAATATCAATGGTTATATTATTAACATAATGTATAATAAAAACTTAGTGACCCCGTTTCTTATGACTACGTATTCAATTCCTTTTATAACAATAAAAAGTAGTTGTGTTAAATGTTCTTTATTAGGTACACTTAGTATATTTCTAGTCTGTTCACGTCTACGAGTCTCCGTCGGTGTAATGTGACGGGCCCTCGGCTGAGCATACGGAGTCTTCAGGAGTTCTAGAAGCGTCTCCCGCCTCACTCGCCTCCATCACGCTCGCGCTACCACCTCCTTTATTTTTACCACCTCGTCGAGCTTGCAGAGCCTACATTTTGAAAACAACACGAAAAGTTAATATTTTTGTAAACGTTTATAAGCAGATCGTACTAAATAAAATTAAATAATACTAAGAGTAGACATATAGACATACTATGTAGGTACGTTTCATTAACAAATTTATCCTAAACTGAAAAAGATTTTTTTATAATTTATTGTGTGTTTTCAATGTAGGTATTATACCTATAGGTAAGTATAACGTATTGGTACAATAGCAGGTTTCAGCAAGTTGGTGCACCAAAAGCGATGTAGATAAAAAAGACACTGTTGTCAATGTAGTGGAAGTTCAGCGTGTTTTAGGATAAAAAGCTTAATCTCTCAGCAAATGCGCACTATACACGAGTGTGCAAATAGTGCAGATTTAATAAACGAATGTTAGCTAATTGATTTAAACCGATGTTATCATCTTGTTATAAGAAAAAGTATATGCCAGAGCAGACAAAGCGTAAATATTATGACACATTATAAAATAAGATCACTCAATAGTGCGGGGCGGGACCGTTATATGTGTTTCTTTAATTTATTGACGCAGAAATGACTTGGGCGTGGGACCATAGCCCTATAAAAATTATTAGTTGATATTTGTGACCATAGGTTTTTCTCATCAGTTTAAATGAAGCTATGAGATATAAATATATGTATGTGTATTGAAAATTGTATATATTGTTGTTGGTAATGAATTCTTCCAATAATATAGTAAAAACACGTGTGTAATTTTCGCCTTTGCCACAGATATAATAAAGACAGTTCCACGTCAACAAATACATATAGTACAGGGACTTCATATGGGCGGGGCGTGGGCTGACATCCAAAGGGGGCATGCGGGTGCTCCAATTCAGTGTGCATGCGATATAGTCCACTTATCCTTACCTTTTCACGACTGCCTTTTTTCTAAAGTTGGAGGAGGATGGAATATGAAACATTAAATTAATGAAAGTGATCTAACATCAAATATAGATGACACCATTTCTAAAAGTATAGGTTTTAGTGGAAAGGGCGCTTAAATATTTGGTAAAACGGTAGGTACACATAACAGTAAGTGACCTCGATTAACTATTATTATACAATAAGGGTGTGTAACACATCGTATAAATAGAATAACATAATAGACTCATCTTAATAAAATAAAAATAATATAAGAAAATAACGAGTTTAATTGAAGTTACTATTTAAACGAAGAGTTATTCCATAACTTATAAGTGTAACTTGATGGTTCCCTAGTATATATTACACTTGCCTATCAATATTAAACAAAAAATACATATTGTATCAATTGTATATAAGTAGATGGAAGCAATTTTATATACCATCTTAATTCTTAACAATTGTAAATTTATGGGTTTAGGTTATTCAGTCACTGCATGAACAGAAATGTATTTTAGTTGAAATAGGTTTGAGATGTCCCCCGTCATTATTTCTGACATTGCCATCCTCTAGAACCATGTTACATTAAAATAAAATTATTGTTCCGCTTGTATAGTCTGTTGTTTGATAATGTTTATAATATTTTGTGATAATAATATGTTAATCACCTGTAACGAGAACCGCCTATGTGGAGGTTTTCTACCTCCACGGCGTTTACTGATGTGCGGGTTATCGCGACGTAGAGTCTGGTTGCGTAGAATTTCCAATTGTACATAAAGTCTTTTTAGTTCTGCACGTACTTCTTCCGATGTTGGTTCTTCTTCTCCTTCAGCGCCGAAGCCTTCTGCGGGCCCGCGCCTTGATACCTGCAATTTTTTTTTATATCTGATAGTTGTAAGGGGCCGTTCATAAAATACGTTCAATACCGATTGTAGATATTTCAGCCCATTTAGAAAATCCTTGGACTTCTGAATAATAGAAATATTATTTAATATTTATATGTTCGTTATGAAAGATATTTATTAATTTATTTAAATAATCACAGAAAGCGTGACAATAGGGGGGGAGGAGGTCAAAAAAAGCTGATTTTAGTGTGACGTATTTTATGAACGGCTCCTAAGAGAGGGTCTTATAACATTCCGACTTGGGATGTACCTAAATATGTCGGTCTCATTCTAATGTAACTACATATTTATCATAAACTAATCAATTAAAATAGTTAGACACAGACCGACGAATAAAATTAAACCACTTATTATTATTAGAATCTGTTTAATCAAAATAAATTATTGACTTATCTGTAAGTTAGTATAAAAGAATAATTCTATTTCACCAATGTCTTACTTCCTGAGCAAGTGAGCGTGTGCGGTATCCGTGCCACAGACGAGGTGCAAGTACGCAGGCGAGAGCGATGCCCGAGGAGAGGTGTGCGCGTGCGGCTGCTGCTAGGGCAGAGCGCTCGGGCGCCGCCCCCGCCACGGCCGCCGCCCGCCACGCCGTCCCGCATAGACCCTCCGCCCATATCGCCGTTGCTAACCACCCGCGCTCCTGTTCATGTAATAGTTGTTTTTACTATAATATTAAAAAGCTGAAAATGTTATTTTGCATTATATGGTCTATTACTTAAGCACTAAATATAACAAAATTTAAAAGCCAAAATCACTAACGCAAATGTATTCAAAATATCTATACCTGAAATGGTACATTAGCATTTCTTGCAGCGTACGCTATCTGAAGTCCAGCAAAAAGGAGTAGTAATTCTGCAGCAGCGGTGACATGATGCCAGGCGGCGCGCGCGCAGCCTCCACTTACATCTGCCTCACACGCTGTTGTCGCCGTGAACGCAGAGAGGTAGCACGCTGCTCCAAGCACCATTGCTGCTACTATCCTAAGCACCTGAAATTTAGCCAGATAATTATTATAAATAAGACTTAACATCTAAAACTACATATGCGACAATCGTTCTCAATACCATACTCTATATTTGCAAGAGACAGGCGTGGTATTCTTCGGTATTATAGCTAATTCATGTAACAAAAGACTGATCAAGTTAGATCCGGGTATAGAACGGCTCCTTACATGGTGTCCCCACGATTAAAAATCTTTTGTTAACGCCATGTATACATCATTAAATTACATTTCTCATTTAGTAAAGAAAAATAGGCCCTGATAGACGGACAGATAACGAGAGGAACGAGTGTAAAGTGATTTTCTCCCGAGTCACGGAACCCAAGCAATTAAGAGGATTGTAAAGTGCCGATACGCAGCGCGAGTAGATTTAAAAAAAAATGTTACCTGTGTCATACCGCTCGCTTTGCCGTGAGAGAAGAGAGAGTTGCAAGTCTTAGAGGCAATTTACCTACATTTTGTTTTTGAAATATTGTTTCGGGCGATAACGTTCTCACCCCCCTAAACATTTAAGAAATGAGACAATTTTGGTCTTATTAGATTTAGACCTACACCTTAATCTAGGTTTGTGCGTTTTTTTTAGTAATTCAGTTTAGTTTAATTAAAAAAAAATGAAAACGCTCGAGGAAGTTTTTAAGTAAAAAATATAGATATTTAGATAGATTCTAATAATTTCTATCGTACGTAATATTTATTTAAAACAAAAACTTAAGGACCTACTTTTTCATTATATCTACAACATTTCCAAAAATAATGAAAATTACACTAAGTTAATGGGGAAGAAGGAGGGGGGGGGGGCGTGTTTTTGTATGAAAATTTACAGCTTCACAATCTTCTTAATCGCTCCTTGGTTGTTTTTTTTATTACTTTGAAACCCGATGTCACGAAAACTAAACTGTATTATTTACTATAATAAAATATCATATGATTTCCAATAAATTCGTGTAGAGATTTTTTATCCCACCAGTGTATTTAAAAAATATCATCATACTTTTTCTTAGTGCATATAAAATGTATCTACTAATACTCGTATAGAATGTTACTTTTATTAAACGTCCGTCAACGTATACTTTTATGTCAAAGTGCTTGTTACTGTTTCTTTTTTTCGGCAGTAAGTATAAATATTCTGCCCTCCCGAACCTAAAGTGCAGTAACAGCAAAAACACGAATTCGAGAAAAACGCGCCTAAAGTTTAGAATCCATAAAAATATATCAAAAAGAGACTTTTCGATAAAACCTTGAATGGAAAGTGAAAGAATATGTACCAAACTAAAATACTAAACATTGTTACGTTAGTTTTTTTATAAAAAACTATAATTATGGCAATTTTAATTTTTTTGCCCCTATTACTACACACACTTTATTTGTATAATCTTTTCAAAAACTGTTTTAAATGCAGTAAATCCTGTTATTACTGCATTTTAGACATTTCTTCCATGATCGTTACTAACTAAAGTGCAGTAATATTATAAAAATACTGCTATTTAATCTGTTTTTTTGAACAAAACACTGATATTCCACACTTATAGTAATATAAAATTACCTTTAATTTTGATAAAAATATGTAATTTCTTAAACAAAACTGGACATGCATTTATGACTATGCTATTAAAACTATTCATCAAAACATTGTACATTATAATCTAATAGTGTAAATTGTTTTATATGACTAACAATATAACAATCTTTACAAGATGTTGATAATCTTAACTAGTTAATCCACCATAAAACTATATCACATGTATTTCTCATGCATGGATCAATAAAATTTACATAAAATCTTTCTTCTGAACATAACTAGTTACTAAATGAGTATTCTTGTCTTACAAAAATAATAGTCTGAAAAGATTATGGAAGGGAGAACTAAGGAGAATTAACTTATATGGGAAACAGGTTGAAAAAGTGTCCAGTAGTGAGTAGCAAATTATAGCTCAGAAACTCACCGTTAAGCCTAGTTCGCATTGAGCTAGTATTTTAATCTAGTAGCGAGTAATTTAGTAACTAAACGTGTCTGAACACTAAAAATTTAGTCGATTAGTTTAGTAAGAAATTTAGCCGAGTCAATCCATTTTATTCTATTTTTTGGGCGAGTAGCAGCCCCCACCACGCGTCCGAGCTCACTGGTTCACCGGCTAAACAAGTACGAACCTGTCGAATTAGTCGAGTTCATTAGTTGCCGCCATAACATTCATTAACAGAAAATTTACACAACTTTCGGACATTCTCAAACTATCGAAGTATTCTTTGGGATCTTCCAATGCTAATTCCTTCAGAAGACAATTAGTAGCTCCTAGTTTATCTCGTCTTTCGATCCATTTTCTTACCCATAGCTTCTGTTTATTAATCACACAAATTTCCTCATCAACCTCTTCTAAAATAGCCGTTACGATCAGCTTAATCAGTTTATTTACTTTATTGCGTTGTAGGCTGTTCATCTTGCAAAACACCACTCACTTGTAAACTGTACTCGACCAAAGTGCGAAAGATTTTTGGTGAGTAGCGAGTAATTTAGCTACTAAATTACTCGCTACTAGACTAAAATACTAGCTTAATGCGAACTAGGCTTTACAGCACTAGCGTAGCAAGTAGATGTGATGTGAAGTTAGTAGTTTTTAACGGAGTGAAGTGTGCTGAATTATTATTACTTGAAAATAATATATAATTATATTGCTGTTTGCCTATGCTAGAACTATTTTGAAAAGTGCGCCACAGCAAAGCGGAAATCTTTCTTTCCTTGTTTAACTCACCTTCTTACTTTTATGACGCTATGTTTTAAACTAGCGACTCACCCTCGCCTCACTCGGGTTCGTCCCTGGATACTTTTTTTTGAGCGGAACTCTAATTCTTTTTTTTAAATAAAAGTAGCCTATATTACTCCCTATAACATCAGTTACCTTCCACTGAAAGTCCGTCAAAATCAGTCCAGCCGTTTCAGAGATTATTCGGAACAAACAGACAGACAAAAAATTTTAAAAATGTGTTTTTCTTATGAGTACCGTTTATAATTTCATATGCATTTAGTAAAAAGGTTTATTTTGACATTACAAACAGACACTACAATTTTATTTATCTGTATAGATGTATAGATTCATATACTTGTTTTCTGTGGCGCCACCAATTTCATGCTTGTCAGCGGTCACTTTTTATACTAGAAATAGTTCGCCTTAGTTCTACTCTCCATATCTCTTTGGTACATGGCACGTCAAGTCAGCCTTAAGCCACAGATTAAGGAGACTGCCTCAAACCGCGATATTGCCTGTCCTGTGTTTTAATATTTTAATAATTTTACCTATTAAACCGCAGTATTAGGGAATAGTATTTGACTTTAAGTATTTTAGGTAGTATGAATTGGATGAAGCAAACTAACTAATATGCAGTAAAATTTATAAATATTGTAAACTAAATGGTCTTTTACAAGCAACTACAAAACATCCTACAAGTTAAACTGCAGTAAAGTTATTAAATACTGCATGTCTTTTAGTTTTTCACAAGAAATTACAAAATCCCCCACAAGTTAATGTGCAGTATGGAATGTTAATACTGCACTTTAATTAGGAATATAAATAAAAAATATTTTTTCTTAACCTTTGCAGTATAATCAATTTGTATAGAGTCGAATAATACTGCATTTTAATAAGTTTTTTCTTGAATCTCCTAGAACAAACTACTATTTTAAGTGCCACAAAATATGATAAAACACTGCAGTTTAGTTAGGAAACAGAGAAAAATCTTGTGCAGTATTAATTGTACTGCGGTTTAGCTGGTAAACATGGAATATTTTAACAGATTTGTGATATTTTTGCTGTTACACCTTCCGAAAAAACATTAAAATAAAATACTTTTATTAGCGCTACAGAAAAAAGAATTAATTTGACTGATAGCTACTAAAATGGGGATTTAGAATATATATTTAACTCAAAACCGACCAAAATGTCTATTACTGCACTTTAGGCTCAGGTGGGCAGTATTATGATCACGCCAATGATCTCTTATTGTTTGCGCGCAAACAACCTTATCTGTCGTTAGAGTTAAGGGATTTCAGCATACCTCAGAGTCTCTCGGTGTCCACCGATGCGCTTTTCGTGTGCGAAATTCTGCCAAAAGCACCCACAGCCGCAATACTACGGATCCGTAGCAAGCTACGAATCCGAGCTCCCGCAACCAAGCGCCCGCTACACACCGCCATCGAGCAACCGATATGTATTGGGAAGCGGCCTGTAAAGTTATTGTTGTTGTTGCTGATGAATTATGAATGTTTGTTTGTTTTATTGTTTGTTTGAACGCGCTAACCGTTGGAACTACCAGTCTGACAAAAAAAATCATAAAGAAGGTTATAGGCTCTCTTATCTATAAAACTTTTATAAACAGGGTACATGTAAATAAACTACACGGTCGGAGCCCTAGGCCACGTTTGTATTGTAATATTTTAATTAAAAAGGTACAAACACCCATCGACAATTTTATTATAAAATAGCTTATAGCGATGCTATTACAGTGAGAGATTCCACCATTGTTTTTGTTAACTAAATTCGGAATAAGAGTATAACACTTGATGGATATTTGTATTTGTTCAATAATGGAGTGTACTTATTATTTCTTATCTCTTACGTCAATTAAATGCTCATTTGTATATAGTTTTCATATTAATAGATCTCCTGCAAAGACATAAGTTGTCAACATACTTGAGCGTTATTTGAAATATGATTGAGTAGGTACTTTAGAAAGTATATCTTATCAATTATATCATAACATCTGGCAAACATAATGTCAGTTGCAGATGATAAAAGATTTAAAGGTATCTGACGTATAAAAAATATATCTTTATGGAATTATGTAGCGAATTATTTGTCCTATAGTCGTATCGTCCTATATACGAAACAATAGATCTACGTGATTTTTACAACATTTTTTCATTACGGATCGGATAGTAATTAGCAACATGGGATATTTGAGACCCGGTAAAGAAAGAGGTTCCTACAGAACATATGTCTATAGTAAAAGGTTACTAGGAACGAGTCACTATTGTGTTTTTAACAAAACTGATAATAAAGCAATTATTTCGTGAATATTTAAAGAAAAATAGCTTAATATTTACTGTTGCAATAATCAATAACACTTATGCATGGGTCGTTAAATACATCGGTCTAATACTTCATTCAATTTCAATAATAAAACAACTTACCGATGCATACATTAACATTGCACCAAGAAGAACTACTTCAAGTACAGTCCACATACCCATAGCAACCGCCTGAAAATTGAATTGTGCGAATTATTCATACATGGTACTTCGATATCGATAAAAGTAATATAAATATTTCTATTATTCTATTTAGTATAATACATCTATACATATAATAAGAATGAAAGCTCTGCATGTCTGTACGTTGCTTATATTTGCAGAAAAAAATAGTGTGGAGGACTGACAATATGTAGTAAAAGAAATTTGTATAGTTTTTGGAATTTTTGTCTGTTGTTTTATGTGTGTACTTGAAATCGCATCAAATCAAAACTAATGAATTGAATATTAATACATTTTTATTGCGTGAACTGTGATGCTAACAGAAGTAAAATTTCAAAATGATAACATCAAGTATATGATAAATATAGATAAAATATATATAATAATATATATATATATATATATATATTTTAAAGTTTAATCGTAAAAATCTATTTTTATTTTAAATTTGACACTAGCGACTCACGTCTTACGACGCACTTCGCTTGCTTCCCAATACAAACTTTCATTCCCATTTTCACTCCTTTAAGGGATTATTTCCGGCATAAAAAGTATCCTATGTTTGTCGCCATTTTCATAATGTACCTACATATACTACCTTGTAGTCAGGTAGTGTATCTATTGCTTCAAAGTGTGCTATTTCCAAAAGAAAGCTTACATGGTTCATCTTCATTAAATGCATAAATGGAGAAAATGAAAATAATAAATAGATTTGTTTTTCATTATCAGTTACTAGTAGTTAGTAGTAGGTACTATATCAGCTAGTTGATATGCAATATATATACATATGTATGTATATTATCAACTAAGTAATAACGATTTTGTAAACTTACTTTACATTTTCTCTTTTTAAATATAATAAATCCGATAATAATGCAGAGAAGCATGCCGGCAAGATTTGCTGCCAGAAGAGAGGCGCGATAGGCATCTGCGAGACAGGCGGCAGGGTTGCTACCCAGGCCACAGGGCGTGCAGTTCAGTTGACCTCTTTGAGACAGGGTCGTTCTACTGATCCATCCTCCTCCCCCTGCGTGCCAGTGACCGGAGCTGCATTTACAATGATACTGGAACATATATACATTTTAAAACTTTAATAAATATAAAAATTAGATGTAGCATTCGTTTTTAATCTACTTATGTATATAAAATATTAATATTATATAGTTCTTAAATAGGTAGATAGGAAATAGAAAAATATATTTATAATGGACCGATATATTTTCAAATATTTTTTTTTACTTACAGCATCACACAAATCTGAAATTGTTTAGTTTATTATGTGCAGTTTGTTACTTAATATTTTAAAAATCTTATTATTCTTTTTCCTCCCAAGTAGATAATAAACACAAAAAAACCGGCCAAGTGCGAGTCGGACTCACGCACGAAGGGTTCCTATCTATAAAAACGGTAAAAAATGTTTGTTGTATGGGAACCCCACTTAAATAGTTGTTTAATATCAATTTATTTTTAAATTATTAATTTTTATAGTGAATATTGTATTGTATTCAGCCCTTTTTAACGTCCCACTGCTGGACACGGGTCTTCAGTACAAGGGGAAATCAGGCCATAGTCCACCACGCTGGCCAAGTGCGGGTTGGCGAACTTCACATGTCTTTTGCAAACATGCTAGGTTCTCTCAGACATGCAGGTTTCCTCACGATGTTTTCTTTCACCGTAAGGCAAGTGGTAATCATGTTAGAAATGATTCGCACATGAAAGTATCAGAAGTGCGAGACCCGGGATTTGAACCCGCTTCACTCGGTTTCCCAAGCGAGCGCGTTACCACTGGGCTACTACTGCCTCTTCATTTAAAGTGAATAGGCATATAACTACATATTCTGTGAATATTTCAACTTTCAAGCGTCTACCTGTTGCCATTATCAATATCGAGCGAAAACGACCATAAAAATCACTTTTGCTATATGGGAGCCTCTTTAAATATTTATTTTATTCTGCTTTTTTAGTATTTGTTATTATAGCGGCTACAGAAATACATACATCATCTGTGAAAATTTCAACTGTCTAACTATCACGGTTCATGAGATACAACAGCCTGGTGACAGACGGACAGACAGACGGACGGACAGCGAAGTCTTAGTAATAGGGTCCCGTTTTACCCTTTGAGTACGGAACCCTAAAAATTATTTTATCATTTATTTGATTAGGATAAAGAATAATGAAAATTTTCTAATTTTATTAAATTTATTTAAGTAGCTTCTCGCTACTTAAAGGAAAAAGAATATTTAGATCTTTTAAATTATTAAGGTAACAAACTGCACTTCATACATTTCCATTCTTGCGAAAGCATTATTAATAAATTGTTACAACTTTTTTTATTAGCATTTAAATTTTACATATCAATTAAGTAATTTTACCTCCAATCTTCGATTTTTGCTTTCAGGTGGAAAAGCTTCACATTCTGTTGTCATTGGATCACATAAAGGCTTCCCACCCAGCCAATCATACATAGCTTCCTCACAAGGTAAAGCAGGTATACGCCGAAAGAGAGCAGCAGCCGCACGATATGAACCTGCACCTCTCGCCGCCGCAGTCCCACCCCACCAACCTGCTGTCCCTTCGCACGAATACCACGTATTGGACCAAAGGACCATGCTAGCATTCCAGGCTGAGGCTAAAGTGCGCCAGAATTGTTGAAGAGAGGCTGAGTTGTTTTGTTGGAATACAATAAGAGTTTGTGGCTCTGTAATGAAGAGTATTCCGAGGTGTAGTTGAGGAGCGCCTAGAGCTACAGCAGCGGGAGGAGGTCGGAGGGGAGTGCGGGAAGCGGCCCTGGCAAGTGCTGCTGCTCTCGCCTCATCCGCTGCGCCCTGTTCCACCAGCTCCGATAATGCACGCGCTGTTTGTGCAACTGCAGCTTCATACTCTCGAACATTCTAGGAAATAAAGTGACAATATTTTAATAATATGTTTATTATAAAAGTTAAAAAAAAAATACTTGTGTTGTTTATTGATTATTTATATATTATGTATTTATTTATTATCTGTGGGCAAAAATATTTTATTAAAAGAATACCGGTGGCAACGGTGGTGTCTTTTTAAGCATCAGTGGGTCGCAGGGGACGGGAGCGGACGGGGGCGCGGACGGCGAGCCGGCGGGCGCGGCGGCGCACGCGCACCATGCCAGCGCCAGAGCCGCACACCGCGCCCACCGCGCCCCCATCACTCTCCTGCTCCCCGCCCTCTGTAATTATTATTAAGACGATTATTTATAACAATCAAATTAATCAATAGAAACACATTTTATGAAATCGTTATATTATTTAAGATTGTATATTTTCTTATAACACAGTGACATACATGTTTCATAATATTGTGTACTTGCGACTCACCCTCGCTTCGCTCGGATTCGTTCCTAGGTACGTTTTATTAACTCAATGATGATATGGGCTTACTCTTAACCTTCATCTTATGTAGCACGAAAGCGTAGATAAGGTAGAATCTCGCAAGTTGCTCGGGAAAAAACAAACAGGTATAGAAAAGTAGGTAAGTAGGTATTATAAAAAATAAAAATCTATACATATAATATACTTTTACGCTAATCGTAGAGACCTTGAATCTATTGTAATTGCTATTTAAAGTTTGCTTTGCAATGACCATTAATATATCTCAAGGCCAGTATCGCAAAATAAGAATGGCGCTTTATATATCTAACTTACAAAAGAGAGGAGAAGGAGGAAGACTGTAAGCTTCAGGTGTACATAGCATTGGGTTTTCAAAAACAGCGTAGATAGATTAGCCTGTTAATATGTTAATTAAAAAACCCATATTAGCCAAGTTACATGATTCTAAAGTCGTAAACATTATATGCGTTGTACTCTCTTCCTCCAATTTTCGAAAAATGGAGTAGAAAAATGTGTAAAAAATACAGGTAGTAGAGCTTCCTAAATACCTAAAATGAAAATTTATTTACAGACAATGTAACCTATGTTTAACATCTTTTAAGATACTGAATATTTTGATAATGTAATTTGATCGCAGGCGAAGCAGCGGGTTCTGCTAGTATCTAATAAAACTGTCTTATCTATATTATGGAAAACCTACAAAGTAAGATAATGTTTGTATCTACTGATACGAAACTACATATAAAGCTTTGGTTTTTGATACAAAAACCTAATGTAATGATAATATCACAATGGGAAATTTCATATTGATACATTTGATGTAAGTTTCTTAAATAATATAATTGGAATTTGAAGACCTAGAAAAGTAGATTAATTCATTTGTTTCGTTTGAAACTCTTTGCAGTTTATTGATAAGCACTTGCATAATATTATCGCAATGCAACTCAATGTCTCGCCACAGTATAAGAAAGTTTCCCGCTGATTTCATGTTTGGAACAGCGACAGCGTCCTATCAAATCGAGGGTGCTTGGGATGCCGATGGTAAATTAATTTTACTATAATTATTACTTTAAATCCAATACTAAACATAACAAATTGTATGTCTAATAATCTTGTTTTAACTACCTATCTCCCTCGTGTCTACGTGGCGTTAGCGAAGTAGTCTGTGCTTAACTGGCACGCTTTAGGGTCATTACACAAGAAATTTTATTTGAACTTATGTATATGCCATTCGGACACAGAACAATTATATGTATTAACTAGCATTGCCCACGGCTCCTGCGTTCAGATGACTGAAAATCAAATTCTTAAGTTTTACATATTAATGTACATATACCAGTTCATTGCGCACCACAAGACTCAGAAAAAATGGCGGTAATTGGCAATGTTCAAAAAAAAAAAACAATTCACAAATATGAAGAAGAGGCGGTACCGCGGCTAATGCTAGTAATTCTTAAAAAATCATAGAAAAGTAATATCTGTACATTACATTTTTTTTGGAATTAAAAATACGTATTTTAAAAACATCATTATCTAGTGATGCATAAATATTTGTCGAGTTATTTTTATGAATACAATATCGCTATTTTTATGTACACAATATCGCGTTTAATTTTCAAGTTGTTTTATTTTGTTTTCATATTTATTTTTTGACCTATTTTGTTATTTACCTTACTAAAATGTTTATAGTTTTAGCGTGGTTTTATTCTAACCAGTTTTTGGATTTTTCCTCAGAAATGTGATATTTTTCCGCAGTAGTAAGTAAAAGTATCATATATATTAACAGACTGATAGACAAAAAATCTAAAAACTATAGATTCGGCCTCTGTATCGATAATAATGACTACTTCAATAAGATTTTCTAAAAAATATTTAATGTACAGATTCTGCTCAGTTATAATTTTATTTTATGTATAAGTAGATTATTTTATTTAGAGTAACATCTTTAAACCGTAATATGTGACTCTAGCAATGACTCAAATTGCTAGTGCTGCAAGTATTTAGCAACACGTCGAAACCAGCACCATGTCGAAAGCTTACAGCTTGTCTAAATCTCTATACATAATTTTAGCGATATCTTTTTATTTTTTTATTCTTATTATCGAAAAACAAAGTAATAAATCGAATTACTCTTATATTGAGTATTTTTAAAGAAATTACTATTAAAAAAAAGTTAGACCCGTCACGGAACACCCGGCAGATATGAAACATCTATGTTAATATTAGAATTGATAATTAATAAGAACAAACGAAATATCGAGTAAAGTAAAGAAAAAATAGAGTTTCGTTAATAAAATCAATTTAATTTTCTAATTTATTATATATATATATATATATATATATATATATATATACATATATATATATATATATATATAAGTAAGTATTTTAATAGAAACTATTTTACAATGGAGCTTGTTTAGTATACCCGCTCGCGCGCAAGGGAGTCGAGACTCGAGAGAAGTCGCGTAGAACATCGCATGACAGCTGTTTATATCCGTCACGCCACCGTTTGCCGTAATAACACGATTCGGTTTTACTGCACAGGCGCGCCTATAGATGTTTCACATTAAAACCGTATTTAAATCGATATCAGTATAATTGAATACTATATTTTACATATAATACATTGCGACCATTTTAAGAAACAGGCGTAAACGTCCTTAAAGCGGCATTTCCCTTTTTACTGTCCCTCGATATGTGTGTGACTAGGAGTGTACAACAACTGTGTGTACAACATGGTGTGTTTAGGTCAACATAGTCTGGTCATGAATACCGTTACAGTTAAAAATAAACAAAATATTACATTTGAATTTAGAATCTGTCATTTTTATATGATTGTTCATTGTGTTTTCTCATTTTCGCGCCAATACATTGTAAAATTTTTGGATATGATTTTAAAATGGAGTGGGGTGATAAAGAGAACCGAATCGCTGTGATTGCATTACACAAAAAAGGTATGGAACCAAATACAATTTTTAAAACTCTCCATACGCTTGGTATTAGTCAAATGTTTGTGTACAGTCCTCGCGCCTTAAGCTCAGCTTTGCATTTGTGTAAGTGTACACACATAGAGTACGGAGAGGTACGGCTTGTGGCTTAGCGCGTCCCGCGCATGGTTTAAACCCGTTTATACTGGTTTTTAAGCGCGGCCTGAGCCGCGGTGCGTCCCTTACGTGTCATCTCCCTGCCCTGCACTTTCCGCATTTCACCTCTTGTACCGTTTGCAGCTTGACGTATAATATTCCGCTGGGTTATGATCTATGGTCAGTTTTAGAGAGTATGGTTTGCTCTAAATGCCAATGATAATTTGGAGTCCCTAAAACAATCCATACGATTGGCAGTGAAGAATTTTCCCATGGAAAGAGTGCGTGCTTCTATTGATAACTGGCCTCAACGTTTAAAGGACTGTATTGCAGCCAATGGAGACCACTTCGAATAAGCTTTATATATGTTTTATGGTTTTATATTAATATATTAGACTAACACATTGTAATAGTATTAAATGTTACGTGCGATAGAAAAAATGTTCTTTTCTTTCTAACAATATTTAGGGCAACACTGTGTATGTATATAATTTTCCTATACAAAAAGCTTAAAGCTATTATTGAATGAAATAATTATAATGTATTGTATGGATATTTAACAGGCACAACATAATAAAACTACTATCATTAACACACGATATTCGTTGTAAAAAACATTCTGTTATTATATTATAGTCATGTCTACATTACAGGTAAATCTGAAAATATTTGGGATCATTTCACTCATAATAATCCATCCATGATACTTGATGGTTCAAATGGGGATATCGCTGACGATTCTTATCATTTATATAAGAGAGATGTGGAAATGTTGAGAGAGCTGGGGGTCGATTTCTATAGATTTTCTCTATCGTGGACTAGAATCCTTCCAACTAGTTTTCCGGATAAAATCAACGAAGCTGGTGTACAGTACTATAATAACTTAATTGATGAAATGCTTAAATATAATATTCAGCCGATGATAACTCTTTACCACTGGGATTTGCCACAGAAGTTGCAAGAACTAGGTGGATGGACCAATCCGGAAATTGTAAACTGGTTCTCTGATTACGCTCGTGTAGCTTTTGAGCTTTTTGGCGATAGAGTGAAGTATTGGATTACTATAAACGAACCGCATCAAATATGTTATTATGGATATGGTTCTATGTTATTTGCTCCTGCAATTAATGTACAAGGAATTGCTGAGTACATGTGTGCTAAAAACGTACTGGTGGCTCATGCTAAAGCTTATCATATTTATAATAAAGAATTCAGGCCAAAGCAAAAGGGATCTATATCTATTTCACTAAGCGCCCAATGGTACGATTCAGAAACTGAAGACCATGTACAAGCTGCACACGAGGCTAATCAATTCAATGTTAGTAACTTAACACAACATTTTTTTAAATATTACACTAAGAAAGCGATTTCAATTGAACAAAGTAATAATTAAAATAAGCTCAGCTGCTATAACTTAATTTAGTAAGAAAATTTATATTTAAATATAGTATTTAAATTTTACTCGATTTTGCCCTCGATAAAAAATAACGTGTTAATCTAGGATAAATACAACGATTTTTCAATTTTGACCCAAATTATACATAACTAGCGACTCAGGGTCTCAAACTATCTTCTCACCAAATTTCATCTAATCGGTTTAGTAGATCCAGAGATTACCCCCTACAACGTCACAAACTCACAATTTACAAACTTTACCTCTTTATAATATTAGTATAGATTATGTAATTTTCTTTTTATTGTTTTTAGTGGGCAACATATTCCCATCCAATTTTTTCAAAGACAGGAGATTTTCCTCCCGTAGTGAAGGAAAGAATAGCATTGAAAAGCGCTGCTCAAGGCTTCTCAAGATCGAGGCTGCCCGAATTTACACCTGAAGAGATTGAACTTATCCTAGGGAGCTCTGATTTTTTCGGATTGAATCATTATTCATCGTATTATGTATATAGAAATGAAACCGTTCTTAACGCTTATGAAGAACCTTCATATTGGGATGATCTTCAAGTATTAAGTTATCAGTTGCCTCATTGGATAATTGGTGAATCAACATTTACCAAGGTATTTCAAAATCACTCATCTTCAATAAATTTAATGTAACTATTAGCGACTCACCCACTCTTTGCTCGGGTTCGTCCCCATACAATCATGCCCATTTCCACCTCTTTAAGGGATGATTTCCGGGATAAAAAGTAAAAACTATCCTTTGTCCTTCCCAGAGTCTCAAACTATCTTCTTACCAAATTTAATCTAAATCGGTCCAGTAGTTTCGGAGCTTATTCGGTACAAACTAACAAACAAAAATATTTTTCCTCTTTATAATATTAGTAAAGATAAGATTTTACAAATTATAATTACTTTAGATTATTAGAATTATGTAGAAAAGACCTGAGCAAAAGTCAAGGTGTGTTATTAACAAAATTAGATCTTAACAAAACCAGGTTCTGTTCTTAAAAACCACATTTCATTGATTGATTTCTGTTCGATTATAGTTTGTTCCATGGGGCTTTTATAAGCTATTAATGCAAATTAAAAATGATTACGGAAACCCTCCTGTTTTCATCACTGAAAATGGTTTTGCGACTCATGGTGGCCTGAACGACGATGATCGCGTCAATTATTACAGAGAGTACCTATCTGCCATGCTTGACGCCATGGATGATGGCTGCGATGTCAAAGGATACACAGCATGGAGTTTATTAGATAACTTCGAATGGTCGCGGGGATACACGTAAGCCATTCATTTACTTATCTTTGAAATTATGCGCATACATACATAATATATACCGTATTTGTACGGATTTAGGTTATTTATTTAATTAACGTTTAATAACATTTTAATTTTATATTATCGTCATGCCTAATTTACTTCAATGTAGGACATTGAAAACGTCTTCCAAAATAGCAGTAAACAGCTTCGAGAAATAATAACTTACTGTTTTACTCTTTAATGCTTTATTGAATAGATCTTAAGACCAGGGTATAAAGTCCGACAGACGTTGTGTTTTCATACAAGAACTTTGCATTTCAATATATCATTGGAAAAACTATTATAAGTGAAGATCTCAATCAAATTAAAGGCTTTTTGCAGTCCACAAATTTTATACAAAGATTTGGTTGCGTTGCTCAGCATACAGCATATTCTGTATAATATGCGATATGGTATGGTATGACATGTGGTAGATCCTCACGGACATACATACTGACATTTAAGTAATTTAAATTTTGAAAATGTAAAAGTGACGATTCAATAGTGCTGTCTGTGGCGGTGTTATTATTGCCATTTATCAATTCTTGTCCATTTATCACTTTTTGTCTCAAGTATAAAATGTAATATCATGCCATTACACTAATGTACCAAAAATTATAATGAATATGTTATACAAGCATATAAAATTGATTACCGTCAAAGCGATACAAATACTTTTAAATTTATTTCAAATTCTGTGTGATTTAAGAGTTTATAATCATTATACTTGATATAGAAAGGAAAATATAAATTATTTTATATTCATATTTTTGCAGCGAGCGGTTTGGCTTATATGAAGTGGACTACAGTTCACAGCTACTCACACGTACACCACGCAAGTCGGCCTTCGTGTACAAGGAGATCGTGCGGTCCCATGAACTTAATTATCATTACGAGCCCGATATGAGCAAGCCAATCGCCGTCGATGACTCTTTTCATTGAATGCTTAAAACATTGTATAAATATACGTTTTCATTGTTACTTGTTAGTTTAATTTTTTATTTATTTATTTATGTACTAAAAAACATATAAAATAGGAAATAGATACCATGTGTACAAAGGATGTCTTATGTCTTTAAGAGATCTTTACCAGAAGGGTTTCTGGTAAAGATTGATAAAAGTTTAGGGTTCAAGCATGAGAAAATATAAAAATATTAATCAGGTGCGGTGTAAGTGCAAACTACAAACATTAATTATTATATAAATATATACATATACAAACATACATACGAACATAGATACATACATACACATACTTCAAGAAATATATTATACTAGCATTGCCCGTGGCTCCGCCCGCGTTCAGATGACCAAAAACCAGATTCTTAGGTTTTACATATTAGTATACTCTTACATGGCAGTTTTTGTATTTTTTCTCAAAAATGAGATATTTTCCCGCGGTAAAAAGTGTCCTATATGTTGACCCGGATAACCAGCTATCATCATACCAAATTTCATCAAAATCTTTCCAGTGGTATTTCTGTGATACGGTAACAGACAGACAGACAGACAAAAATTCTAAAAACTATAGATTCGGCCTCTTTATCGATAATAATGTCTATAGAGGATGAAAATTTTGTAATCGTTTTAGTGAGTGAAGCGAGTAATGCAAACGTCTACCTATGACCTCATTAACGTGTGCCGCCCAAGACTAATCGCTTTCCATAATCAGACCTAGATTTTTTGTTTTTTCAATGATTTCTATTATTGTACCCTCCTAAGTTAAGATACAAGGCAAATTATGGAAATTTACTTTTTTGCGTAATTATTGTCTACTACCGATAATCATAGCTTGTAATCTAGTCAACAAGTTCAAAACGTGTTAAATAGAAATAAAGTTCCTAAAAATATGTGCGATAGCTCATTCAATTCGGAATGACGCCTAGAAAAATGTTTTTAAGGGTTTATTAGCATATGAATTATCTGTACTAGTATTACCATTACCAGAAATTGGCAGCGCCAATTTTAACTATTTTCTGGCAATATTTGTTTACTCGAATAGATGTCGTTAATTCGAAAATTGTAGAACTACATTATTTTATAAATGTGTGTAAACTAAAATATGATAAATATTGCAAAATTCATTCTGATTGTTATTGAACAAAATAAATTCACTGGGCTTTAACATTGCCCACAACTGCGGCAAAGCCTAAAGAAGGGTTATGTGTTTGACCTTTATGTATATATGTATGTATATATTGTCGTGTAATGGAGAGTGTTTAGGCAGTTGTCAACACTTAAATAACACAATAACAGTCCATTGTAAATTGCTGTGTGTAAGAGTGGGACAAAAACATTTTCCCGGATTAAAATTACAAAGTGAAATTATTAGAAAACATTCGAAATTCGAATACTAAAATGTTCTTTGTTTCTGTATATAAAAATTGGCTAAATTGATATTACCAATAGTTCTCAGCCGTTTCAGATAATACATATATGTATATTTAAAAAAATATGTTCCTATGTGGAAATTTGGGTAAAGAATTACATATGAAAAATTCATAAAAATAAAATATCGGAACACTATTGAAAATGTGAAAACACATAGGCTACTGTCAGAGATCTAGGAACGCGCCGGAGCGTAGCAATGATAAATAGTAGTTTACTATATGTACATATCATGAAACATACATAAAATGAAACTTAGCGAAATCTATACATGAAATAATTTTTTAAAAACCATGACCGTAACGTATTATGTACACAATATAGATTAAAAAACAATAGTTATTAAAATTTTTCTCTTCTGTTTCTGTTTGTCTGTTTGCGTGGGCGCATTTTACGTAAAAAGTAATGAACCAATTTTAACAAAATTTGGTGAAGTGGTAATTTATTACTTGGGTCAACATTTAGGACAGCTTTTACTTCAGGAAAATCTTTCTCTCCTATGGGAAAACACAGTAACTGGTTTTATCGAGTCGTCCTTAGAAACCTTCCGCTGGCTTAACCTAAAAACATACATCAAAATAATGTACTAAAAAATTGTAAGTCTTGAAGAGGCCTACAGAAAAGTCTGCAATAGTATAGTCTATTTCCTAAGGTACACTCGCAATAATTTTTTTTTATTTTTTTATTATATATTACGGCAATGTCGCGACTCACTGACTGACTTATCAACTTCCAGCAAAAGCCGATGATAACAGACCAGTTCCACAAAAAAAACCGGCTTTATATATCCATGGATAATAATATTAAATGCGAAAGTAACTGTATATCTGTCTGTCCGTCACCTTTTCACGCTTAATCCACTGAACCGATTTCAATGAAATTTGGCATGGCGATGTTTGAGACTCTGGGAAGGATATAGGATAGTTTTCATCCCGGAAAACACATCTTAAGGGGGTGAAATAGGGTGTGGAAGTTTGAATTTGGAATCAATCATTTCTCAATATCAATATATATATATTGAATTTTTAAAATATTTACCTACTTTTCTATACCTACCTACTATGTACATATTCAAATTCAAAATATTTTATTCAGCATTAAATTATTACCATTTTTTACTGAACCTCCTGAACGAAACTCAGCGAGACTTTCGTAATATATATGTCACCTGTACACATAACATCTGTATAATATTATAAATGTGAAAGTTTGTGAGTATGTATGGATGTTTGAAACTCTTTCACGCTAGAACGGCTGAACGGATGTGGATGAAATATGGCACATAAAAAAATTATAGTCTGAAACACACATAGGCTACTTTTTATCCCGGAAAAATGTACGGTTCCGGATGGATAGATTTGTTTTTATTTTTCTAATTGCTAGTTATACATACATATTATAGTCTATTTTATACTAACTGTCAAAATGTACATAGGGAGTAAGGACAAAGCCTAGCGAAGCGAGGGTGAGTCGCTAGTATATTTACCTAATAAAACTGTCTTATCGTGATTATTGAAATCTGTTACTGTTAAGTGAAAAAATAAATACGATAATGTTTGTATCTACTGATACGAAACTACATATAAAGCTATGGTTTTTTCGGTAAAAGACTTAGTGTAATCATAATAACACAATGGGAAATTACATATTGATATACTTTATGTAAGTTTGTTAAAATATAATTGGCATTTGAAGACCTAGAAACGTAGATTTATTGACTTATTTTGTTTGAAACTCTTTGCAGTTTATTGACAAGCAATTACATAATAATATCGCAATGCAACTCAACGTCTCGCCAAAGTATAAGGAAGTTTCCCGCTGATTTCTTGTTTGGAACAGCGACAGCGTCCTATCAAATCGAGGGTGCTTGGGATGCCGATGGTAAATTAGTTTTACTATAATTATTGCTTTAAATCCAATACTAAACAACAAATTTTATGCTTAATAATCTTGTTTTACCTACCTATCTCCCTCGTGTCTGTGCTTAACTGAAACGCTTTAAAGCCATTACACAATATATGAACTTATGTACTAGGTCAATACATAAGTTTTGTCGTACTTTTGTATTTTTTTCAAAATCGATGCTCCAAAACACGTTAGACGCTGTTTTTTAAATTACATCTAAAATCAGAGTTCAACTTAATTAAAAGTTAATTAAGTTGAGCTTATCTAAATATTTGCCCATACTGTAATAAGCGAGTGGACATGCATGCGAGGGATACCGTCATACAGTTAAACTAGTACGGAGGGTAGTGTTTACTTAAACATTGTTAGCTCGACTATTAAATACTTCTTTATAAAGTGCTGCTTATTGTACAATAAACTGTTGATGTTATCATATATAAATAAATAAATAAAACATGTACCTTTTTCTTATATTTACAAATACTTTACAAAACATAAAAATAATTCTTAAAAAGACGATGGAATGATATAAGCACAATTTTTTTTTTACAGCTTAAATTTTTTTTAATAAAAACTCCCACCATCCTAACTTCTGCCAGCTTTAATTTCATTATCTATAAAATGTATTTAATGGATACATAATTTTAGCGATATATTTTTTACTTTTTTACTCTTACTATCGAAAAACATAAAGTTATAAACAAAATTCGTAAAAATTAGATAGCGTAGTAGTACCTTTTTTTTTTTTTTTTTAACGTTGGGAAATGCATTTACGCACGAGGTGTGGGACTCACCGGCAAAGCCAGTACTACCCACTAAAACCCAACAAAACCTTCCCCCGTCTTAATGGGGCGTCGCAGGATCGCTTACGCATTCAACTACGACGCCCCGACGGCAGGTCTGCCGAAGCAGACCACAACTACCACGGGGTTGCTCCACAGTCCACTCTGCTATCAGAGAAATACCAGGAGCAACCCGCATGGTACACTGCCCTCCGAAGAGGGCCACCTCCCACCGCCCACCGAAGTGGGCCACCTCCCTGTGCGTTTCTTGGCTTCGCGCCCGGTTGGGTGGCGTAGTAGTACCTATCTTTAGAGAAGTTAACACAAGAAACCGAATTAAAATCGATTTCAGTATAATAAAATACTGTATTTTAAATATAATTGAGAAAATTTTAAGAAACACGCGTAAATGTCCTTAAAGCGAAATTAATCTCTTTTTATTATCCCTCTATTTTGAATTATTGTTACAGGGTGTGTTTAAGTGAAGATACATATGATTTTCTTATATAAAATGCTGCTGTTGAATAAAAGAATTGTACCTAATGCAGTGCATGGATATTTAACAACCACAACAGTTCAAAAGAAAAGAAAATTTTAAGAAACACGCGTAAATGTCCTTAAAGCGAAATTAATCTCTTTTTATTATCCCTCTATTTTGAATTATTGTTACAGGGTGTGTTTAAGTGAAGATACATATGATTTTCTTATATAAAATGCTGCTGTTGAATAAAAGAATTGTACCTAATGCAGTGCATGGATATTTAACAACCACAACAGTTCAAAACTATATCACGATCATTAACACGCGATATTCGTTGTAAAAGATATTCAGTTATTATTTATAGTCATTTCTACATTACAGGT